TCATTCGTGCGCTCTTGCGCTCTCTTCGCCATACGTAGTGGTAGCAGTCGATGTCAATGGCGACTACAAACTCGACATTATTGTCGTAAACCGCTTTTCAAACAATGTCAATGTTCTCCTCAATATAGGCAACGGCACGTTTGCTGCTCAAGCGACCTATTCAACTGGCTCTGGTCCTTTCTTTGTGACAGCAGCCGATGTCAATGGCGACGGCAAACCCGACATTATTGTCGCAAACTACGGGTCGAACAATATCGCTGTTTTTTTGGGTTATTGCTGATACACAAACTGTATCCTGTTTTTTGGTGGGTGTCTGTGTGGAAACATACAAAGTCCCAACGCACCCACAAGCACGCTCACACCCACCCACACCCAAATTTTTGATGACCTCTACTTATAACTTTTCTTTCAGCTTCATAAACTTTTTCTATATAGATTTCTGCAATAATATGAGCACTACCTGTACCTTCAGCTTTTTCAATTGTTCCTTCAATTGATCGAGTAAAATAAACTCCTAGTCCTAGGCAACCGTTTTTACCTGGACGAAATTCAGTATGAACAATAGATAAAGCAGAAATTGCAATGCGGCAATGGTAAACTCCTAAACTCCAAAAAGTTGGAGTCTACCGTCTCCTCTCAAAATCATTCATGTTACTTTTATTTCTAATTGTTTACAAATGTTTCATTCGAATTTAAAATATTAAATTCATTCGAATAAATATTAAATTTCATCTCTTAAAATATTTAAATGATTTAAAAAGAACATTTGAATCTTCAAAAAGTAAATTCGGATATGTATGAATAAAATCATCGTTATGCTATTCTATATGTTGGGTGTGGGTGTAGGTGTGCTAGACCAATTCTATCACCCACACCCCAAGGGGGAAATAGCGTATTCCAGGACTCCATTGGGCTCCAGTCTTGTCTGGAGTCCAGCAAGCCAAGCTATGATAAAATTTGCTGCTTATTGCCTTCAGCTATCGGAAATAAAAAACAGACTATGCATTAACTGTCGATTAAAAATTTCCGTTTTTTACCATCACAATCTTTTGAAGATGCTTCATAGCGTCTGATAAAGTGTAAAAATATGAAAAAATATAGATATGAAAACAATTAACGAATGACAAACTTTAAAAAATAATAAGGAAATTGTAAAGTTAAAAAAATCCAGCTTCATAAGAAGACTATATACTGTATGATATACTATGAAAGAAGTAAAACGAGAAGTATAAACAGGAAAATGTTTCTAAGGTAAATATTATTGTCTTCTCGTTCTTTTTACAACTTCTTTCGTATTATAAGATGATTCTACTGAATGAAACTTTATTTTCGTTCTATTTTTACTTTTTAATAATGGCGAAGGTCGTTCAAGACTCTCATGATCATCGGTTGTTATAGAGGTAGACGTAGAATTAAGTAATACCGCATTTGATGATGATTCGTGATCTGGTGTAGTATCTGATGATGATTCTTGATCTGATACAGTATCTGAACATGTAAAAGATTGTTGATTATCTGCAGCTATTGATGAAATCAGCTTACAATTTTTTTATTAATTCTTTCATTTTATCACATGTATTATTATTACGAAAATCTTGTAAATGCCTGTAAAAGTTTGATAGTTGAAATTTGCCACGATTATTTGTTAATGATATCCATTTGTTACAGCAACATTTTATATTAGCTTTTAATACACCACTTGCATCATTTTATATGGAAATAGAGTAATGTTGACCTTCAATCAAGGACACATTTGACAAATTAAGTCTTGATTCATTATTTTTACACCAATTGTTCAGTGTATTATTTATATAAGTTTTATGTTCATCGAGTGATAAGTTTAAAGATTTTGATGTGACAACGTTTGATGAATTACTCGATAAAAACGCCATTGTTGATTCTGTGGTAGTTGAGGATCTGTTTATGGTTCTATCTAATGGTGATGATGATTGATTGCGTTTTGAAGATTTTGTTAACTTTGCATCATCAGTACATTTTTGTTTTAATAAATCAATAAGATAGTCCATATTTCCTTTTATACCAGTTTTTATAATGAATGTATCATCATCAAGCATAAAACCATGTTTATTTTTAAAACAATCTAAAGCTTTGCTTCTCAAATTCATAATACAATAAACATCAACTGTCATCAACAAAGATTTAACACAATTGATACTTTGAATTTCAAAAAGATCAACAGCAGCATCACCAGCTTCTTTTCGAACAAAATCAAAAAATTTAACGTCACGTAATAACATGATATCAGATGGCAAAATTGATGTATCAATAAGAGCTTCTGTTGGAAACATATTTAAATATTAATTATATTTGTATAAATAAAATTCTCTCTCTCGAGAGAGAGAGCAAGCGAGAAAGGTTTAATGATTCATGAATATTATGAGCCAATAGCTTCTAAAGTGATGTTCTCTACACAAGCGTAGCTAGTACTTTTCAATTTTTTGTAACATTCCATCCTTTCAAATGATGGATGTTTTCTTCAGATTACCGACATGTGACTCATCACAGTCGTTTATCAGCCGGAAGTGTTTGAAAAATATATCAGATTTTTGTTTCCAAACTTATTATAAACTATTATATCTGAACACATTTGGTTTTCTAGATAAAAAAATCGATCGTTTTCTTCTTATGGGTGATAGATTGCCAGAGAATGTTTTTTCTTTAAAGAACAATAATTTTTATGAATTTATTCAAGTATTCGTTGGACAACAAATGGTGGATATTCTAAAATTCCAATCAATTACATCTACACAATCTCTTATTCGAAACCCGAATATCTTTGAAATATTTAATATGAATTGTTCGGAATCTAGTTTCTTAATGATAAGAGAAAGATCATGTTTTCAACTTGATAATGGAACATTTATTGTGAAGATTGGGTTAATAAATAATTTGAATTGTTTATTAGAATTTTTAAAGCAACAGCAACAAAAACAAATTAAAACAAGTAGTAATGCAGATTCTAATCCCAGCTTATCATTTGATTTTATAAAAAAATATCCATTGTTAAAAAAATTAATTATTTGGTATCAACGAGTTAGCAATGAAAATGAAGCTGATGAAAATAAAGATAAATTTTTAGACCATTTTATTGATACTATCACTGATAATTTGACAAAATCGAAAAATAATTTTCGATATAGTAATTCGATTAAGAATTTTGCTTTATCATTGTATATTTTGGGTGGTAAATTGACCTATGAATTTCTTAGATTAAATTTACCTGGATCTTTACCGCATCTCTCTTTATTAAATTCATTGATTTCAAGTTCAGATTCAAGAATCAGTGAAGGAGAATTTAGATTCGATCAACTTCAAAAACATTTTGATAGCCTTAAATGTGCAATATGCATTCGGCTCTGAAGATTGTACTGGTATAGTTAACAGAATTAAATATGATTCAACAACAAATACATTTACTGGATTTCCTTCATTACTTGATCGTGGAGTGCCAGTTAAATCATATTATCAGACTGACTCACCAGTACAATCCACAGATAATAGTAACATACAAAGTCCTTAACTATTATCAGCATATGGAATTGACAATACTGCAACAGCGAACGATATATTACAGAGATGGTGGTATATATTTAATCAATTCTTACAAAGAAATATCAGAATCATTGGTTTTTCTACTGGTGAGACAATTTTTTTTCAAATTTTATTAAAGAATAACTGCGTTTTCTTTATAGACGCGGATCCAAAATATCTACGTGCTATGCGTTTAATGGGCGGTTTTCTTGGAGCTCTTCCGAATTTTCAAGTTCGCCAGCACCCACAAGCATTTCAAATAAAAATAAAATCACACTGGTCTTGGTTTTATCTTCGTGAACAACAATTATTATTAGTTGTTCAAGATCCGACACATTTGGTAGCCAAATGGTGTAATCGTTTATTATCAGCAACAACAGAATTATGTCTCGGAAATCAGTCAATATCGATCAATCATTTGCATGATATTATTGAAAATGATACTTATTCTAAGCTTGATCATGGCCTAACAAAATCTGACATTAACCCTAAAGATCGTCAAAACTTTAGTTCTTGTTTGAAATTAACATCAAATGATCTATTCAATATTTTAAACGCTACTGCACTGTAAATAAAAACCGTATATTAATATACCCTTAAAAGGTTTATGATACGTTGCACTTTCATAAACCCTTCAACGGGTATATTACTTTTGTTCCATACCCAAAAAAGGGTTTATTACTTTTGTCCCATACCCAAAAATGGGTTTATTACTTTTGTTCCATACCAAAAAAAGGGTTTATTACTTTTGTTCCATACCCAAAAAGGGTTTATTACAATTTCCATTCAGACAAGCGCCTTAAAAAACGCGTTAACAATCTTTCAGAAAAAAGAATCCAAAAACAAATGAGTACACTATGATTCTTTTTCGTTTGTGTTTACAATGCGCATCACAACGTATTTTTTTGTAGTTTATCTATCCGATTAAAATTTTGGAACTTACTGCGTTGTCCTAGGTTCGATCATGAGATGTATTGATTGATAGTCCGAGATGTTATCCATTCGGTCAGTCGTATGATATAAATATGAAGTAAGAAATGCTACTTAAATCAAACGAAACTTTATAGGAAACTGAAGATGATATAAAGTTAAGCGGAACAATTGTTATTACATTTTTAATTGTCATAGAAAGATACAGAAGAAGATTTTGCATTTAAAAAATTATTTCTTTGAAAATAAAAATAACGTTTTTAAATATTCAAATAAATTAGGAAAAATTTGTTTTTGAAATATATTTCCTCAAAAAGATTTTTAAAAAGATTTAAAAACGTTTTGATCCATTTTTTCAAAAATTTTCTAACATATTTCTTATTTTTCTAGAAATCTATAACTTATATATTTCTCATACTGTTATAAAGTTGTTGATCAATTTTTTAAATCTTTATAAGTACATGTGTTAAAAATAGCACATATTTGTCTGGAGAGGTGCATAGGGTGTGGGTCGTAAGAAATTCTGTTAGGAGATGTAGATGCAAAATGCATGAAATCATAAATACGGTGTTTTTACGAAATTTTAAGATGTTTTAACGTCTTACAACACGAGAGCGTCAAAATATGTATTCGCTGTAACGCATTTTTCAAGGCGCTTGTTTGACTGGGTTGTCCCATATGTCAGAAATCGATCTTCATAGCTCTTTCCCATGTATAGTTTCGACGAATCTAAATAGAAAAAAAAGAAATAGCTATTTATAAAATATTTTTATACTTGCACTNAACTGAACAATTTTTAAATCTTGTTGAAATTGTGGTTTTATTAACGTTAACACTAAGATCAATATTATTTTCAACACAAAATTCAGTTATTTCGACAAGTAGTCTAGAAAATTCTTTTCCACTTCGAAGTTCATTAATTTGATTAATAGTAGCACTAGTCAAGGTATGCGCTTTCCCAAAATCAATCAATTTAGCTAGAATAATTATAAAAAGAGGGATGCCACTCTCGAACAGGCATTTTAAATGTGTGTAACTATAACTAACATTACATTTAAAAAAACAGAAATCTTAGAAATCTTTATATTTTTTCCGGATGGTAGGGCAAAGGCTGGCGGTGGTAGGGCGGTGCCCTGCCATGCCCACCCCTGGTTACGCCACTAGTAGTACGTATGTAGAATAAACAAAAGAAATAACCACTCGAATCCTTACATATTGAAAAATACGTGACATCCGGTAAATTAAAATTTCATTTATCATAAAAGGTGTACTTCTTACAATTTTTTCTTTTTCTCTTTTTCTGTTTTATCCCAAACTTAATTTATACATGTTTTTGATAATGATAAATGTTAATATCAAACGTTCTTTTTAAATGTATTTATTAAACGTTAAAGATAAATGTTTACTTTATTTTATATAAATGTATTTTATCCTATCATTGTGTAAAGTGCTATTCTGTGGGAGAAAGAAGTCGAACAAAGACAGATAGTGATGTTTCACCCCATATATGAATGTAACAAATATGAGCTACCTCTCTTACTCATTCTTTCTTTTTTCTTCTACACATGTGGACCATTAACGGCACAATAGACTATTACTAAATGTAAAAAAACGAAACTGTCAAATTCGAGCTACCCAGGTCAATGGTTCCGGCATATATGTCAAACTTGAAACTTGAATTCAATTGAAAATTGAAAAGTTTAATTTTCAGCTTTTAAACCAATAGCATTCTGAAGAATCGTGACTCACACATATATCGCTATGAGTTGAAAGTTAAAATTTCCTATTTTCAACTGAATTCAAGTTTCAAGTTTGACACTACTGGATTCCGGAGAACGGATACTGCGGGAACCGACAGGAAAATGCGGGAAAAACCACCGATCCTGCCTGAAAGCACAAGAAATCGCTGGAAATTCACAGGAAAATTTCCGAAACTTTCCGACCGGAATACTGTTTCCACGTTCCAGTGATTCACGGTGTTTCCTGCCGTACGAGTTCGACCTGGGTAAAAAAAAGACTGAGTTCAAGAAACATTCACCAAAAACAAAAAATCTTAGTCGAAAACTAAAAACTTGTTTTAGACAAAATAGATCATCAAAAATTAAAATACTTTTTCCTATTATAAAACATATTATATAAAAGATTGGTTTGAGTGATCGATGTAAATGGGAATTTAAAAAAGTCATGAGCCCACAAAACAATGTTCAACTTCACGACATTTATTCGCAGCTGGTTTTCTGTTTACGACAAGTGTATGAACTTGGTGGTACTTCAAATATTGTACTCTTTCTTTTTGTATCTATCGTGTAACTTATTTCAGTTAAGTATTAGCTTTACGTAATATTATCAAGTTAATTTAATATCGTATCAATTACACATTTACAACTGAAAGTTTTAGCCGTTTTTTAATTTAGTTAAAGAATTGTGAACTATCCTATACAATCAACAACTTTCATTTGATCTTCGTTTGGTTTTATATGCGCTTAATTCCAACTCAATAGAAGTAAAAATAAAATAATCTGAACTACTATTCATTGAAATAGTGAACAACGATATTTACTATTTTTTCTTTTTTCTCTTTCTGTAATAAGATAGCTCAATGATAATCTTTGTTTTGCTCGTAGATACCAAACTGTAATTGAATATATTTCAAATATTTCTCGTCTTATTCTTTTTGATATGTTATGTCACAGTAAATGTTTATAGACGAAGCATCAAGCCTTACAGAATCATCTCAACATAATATGATCTTATTAAATTCTCAAGTGCTCAATTTGAATTCGATTTAGCACTGATCTTCGTTGTACAAAAGAGACACAGTATCGCTGCTTAAAGTTTTTATTATCTATCAAGTACGAACTAAACATGTATTTCATTATACGAGTAAAAATTTACCGATTCATTCATCAGAGTATATCAATCCTGCACAGTCATGGCATAGATGTCACAGAGACATTGTCATAGACGTAACAGATATCTTTAGTAGCATCTCTTTTGCATCACAAGATATGACAGATGCATTATCAATACTCTTCCTCTCCAATAATCGCTCTATACTTAGTAACTATATTATGTCTCAGATTTGAACTCGAAGCGCATTATGGTTACTGTTTTTCTATTCTACAAGCACAATAAGATAAAAATATTAAATTTATCTTCAAAATTATAATTGATTTTATTCAGAAACGATCTTTGATGGTAGCTGTTATTCTCTGCATGATTGAAAGGCTTTAACTAAATATCGGAAGTTATATTTCAATATATACGTGACTATGTTTTACAGCGTCTAAAAATTTGTAGTTTATTCAGAGAAAAACAAATTGTAGTACTTGAGCCTTGAAAGCTGCAAAATTACAATGTCGACTACAGCCATTATCATTATTGCTTCATATACTACTCAAATTCATGTTGCAAAAGCATGTCAATTAACTGATCCTGATACTATTTCATAGATCTCGTTATGTTCCGGATAGACCTAAAGCGGAAGATCATCTCTCTGTTAATTTGATAGCGAAAGACTAACTTCTGTTGATCGAGCAAGTATTAGATTGTGACTGGAGGTGCACATATTGTGTTACTAGTGTTGTACTTCATTTTTCGTATATAATCAAAGAAGAAGGATATGATGATTTAATTTTATTAATAGAATTTTAAACATTAATAGACGCACGATAATGTTGGTTGTTCTAATCGTAAAGAGGAAATTGATTGATTTTATCGAAACATTCTTCAAACGACATGTAAAGAAAAAAGTTTGTATTAGTATTCTCATACCAGATCATAAATATTCCTTTATTAATTCGATTGAAACTATCAAAAATTCTAAATATTTATTTCCCGCGAATCTCTTATAAAACACTGAAAGAAGTTGGCTCATAATCTGTTTACAACTTTAAACATATTTTATGTTTATGCACATGCACCATGGAAACAACAATTTTGTTAGCAATATCATTTTTTTCATTGAACAAAGTTAATTTTATTCTAATTCATCTATGAGCAGTGAACTTTTCATATCGAATCTTATTCTTATTTAAGCTAGCTGTCCATACAAGTAAAATAAATATCCAACAAGAATAATATGAATTATTATCAATATCGAGTATGGCCAACATTTAATAATATTAAAACATTTTTTGGTTATAGGTATCTATGAAATAACTAAATAATAAATATTTTCTTGCAAAAAAAAAAATAAAACTATTTATCAATTGAAGAAATCAACAGTATCAATCTGTATCGCAAAGTGAACTTTCAGAAGCGAAATGTTCGATTGATGAAAATAAATCATGCATGGACGATCATACGTTAATCGGCAATAGAAAATCATCATCAATAGATCATATAAACAATATAAATATTAAGCAAATAGATGAAATCTTACCACTTATGACTGGCAAATCGATAAATCTAAAACTGGCTGTACCAATTGTGAGTATTTTGAATTTTGCTTTTGTTTTTTGAAACTTTATTTCAATCTTTCATTTATACTTAAGAGTACATACACCAATGACACACAAGCAGATGCAGATTTACTTGACTTTTAGTTGTATATAAAAATGTTGTTATAGATCAGGACCTCTGCTGTAAATATTAACTAAAGACAATGAATATTTAGTTTCAAATAAATTTCTAAATGAATTTATATAAATAGAAATTAGGTAGAAAAGATTTTGATCGAGAAAAAACAATTCTACGTTGATACATTCAAGAAAATCATATGAAGTATCATTTAGTTTTATAAATTGAAATGTGTGATGTCATCAATTTTTATCAAAGCTGACGAATGGTCATAGTTTAAAATCACAAGAAGGACCGGATGGATCCAAAAATCTACTCTTTTGTATTATCATCAAATTGTTTGATTCTTTTTGATACAAGATTAGGTACAGTTATGTTAGAAACTCATTTGAAATATTGAGAGACTACAATAGTATCTAATGTCTGTATTCTTATTCTTCAAATAGCAATATTTGCATCAGTGCATCAAACTTTGGTTGATTTGATTGATTGAAGCATAAATTTTTTGGAAATAAATATCTATGCTAAGATTATATCAAATTATGAATTGACTTAGATGTATCGTAGATTCACGATACAGCAGATTCAATACCATGTTAGCCGAAGAAATTCGACTAGTTAATCAATTAAGTTGAAATTTGCAAAGTAATGAAGAGTTTTGGGTACCAAGACTACTTCAATAAAATCCTTGAATATTTATTTCATTGATTTATAGAAAGATGTAATCATTGAAATACCATTGATTCCTTTCAACTCATAGATAAAAATCTAATATCTAGCATCAATCAAGAGACAAAAATCAGAAATTGATAAGTTTCATCGTATACTTGATCAGGGCCAAAAATGTCATTCCTGAAGGAAAGCGAATGTAGGAGGTGTACAAGAGTTTCACCATATACAAGTATCGAAAGTAGCGACATAAAACAGTAGAATTTCTAAAGAATAATTAAAAAAACAGAGCTCGCCACGTGTTATGCCTATCCTCCCCTCTGCTAGTTAAGTTTCTGTATTCAATATTGAATACATCCTATGTCAGATCCATAATTTACTTTATCTACAGTAAACTTAAATATGAATTGATCTCAGCACCAACACAAGTATACACAATGGTTGCTCATATGATCCTCATATAGAATGAAAAGTAGTGAAACTAAGTATAATTTCCAGTAAACAGGGCAACTGTATAAATCAATATCTGTCAAGATTACGATCTACTACAGTAGCTAAGGTCTGCGTCAAGTTAAGCTACATTGAATTGCATAGAAATTAATAATTAATTTTATCATGCAAACGTTAAAATCAGTCTGAAAAAATACAATGGGTGAAAATTGTGCTATATGAAGCGTTCAATAAAACTCGAAAGTCTTTTACAAAGCATCATAAATCAGACTTTTGTCGTAAATTTCACGGCAACATATTTTTAATTTTTAATATTTTATTTTTTTGTTTCACTTAATTATGAATATCAATACTATTTTTCAATGTTGAACATTTATTCTAATCGAATTGAATCTATTGATGGATGAATAAACGACGAAACTACAGATACGGAAGCAGTTCTAGACACTTCACGCGATGAATAAAAAATATTCAATAATGCGCGTTAGAATGAGTTCTTTGGATACCCTCAACGTTCTTAAATTTTGAGTATGTATAATTGTAAATATGAATAGTCTAAAGAAAATCAGGAATGCTTACATTCGACGCATGAAACCAAAAGAAAATAGTATTCAACGAAAAATCAAACTTTTCTTTTTTCTATAGGTGAGAGAAAACCTATAGATACGATACGTATTGTATGCGTACATGAACTCTAGACATACTATTGTATGTGAAAAATTTAATGATGAAATTGTTTACTGTTTTTAAAAGGAAATCTTTACATAGTACGGAATGTTTCAGTTATTTATCAAACATTTTAAATTAATATAAATGAAAAATCTTGTAGATATATTTATTTTGAGATGAAAAGGCTAAATTTAAATCAAACACCTAATCGACACAAATAAACTGCGATTATCTTTAAAAAGACACAGATAATTACGAACGTCAGATTCAATCCTACTATGATTAGTTTTAATTAGATATTAATATATATATATATATAGAGAGAGAGAGAGAGAGAGAAAACAACAATACAATAAATCCTGTTTGATATTGCATGTCAAAAAAAAGTTCTAATTAGATTTGAAATATGAGTAAACTTCTTTACAACTGTGAAGTGTAGCTTTGCTATTCTTTCCATCACTGATCTCATTCTGTGTCAAATAACTAATCTCGTCATTAGAATTATGAATATACATTTCTGTATGTATATTCAATGAATATAAATCGTCATTAAGTGCAAATTTGATTCCAATTTTATTTGTGTGAAATCAAACAGACATGTGATATTTATTTGTTTCTCATTCTCTTAACATTTACTCATCGCTTTGAAATTAATGCCTTTAATTTAATTGATTCAATAAAATAATAAAACTGAAAATTCTTGCGTAAGAGAAAATAATGTATTTCACATACTATCTAACTGCTTGATATTGTATTCAAAATATGCATTCGTGTGCTTGACAGAATCGATTACGTACGATGCTGACTTCTCGTTTTTGTGTACTCAAAAAAAGTGAGTACACTAGATTCGGTCAGTGTGTCCGGCCGTTAACACGATAACCTTTGAAAGCCTCATCCAACTGTCATGAAATTTTGTACACATAATGATCTCATTAATATCTCAGTCGAGTTCGAAGATGAGAAGGACCCGTCAAGAAATGGCTGAGTTATCGAAAAAATTGTCAGTATTGACCAGAGCATCCCTGAGAGGGAGGGGGATACAGGGATTTTTCAAAAAAAAATTTTTTTCTTAGAATTATTCACAACATATATAAATCGACTCAGCTTTTGCAGTACACATAACAATCGGATGCGAATCCGATGTTTCCTCATTTATTTGATGTTGTCCATGGTCAAAACAAAAATAAGGAGAATTAATGAAAGTTTTAGTTCAAAAGTGATCATGAATAATACAACCACTATTACATTTTATGCTTCCACTTGTGATCTCAGCATCACCGAAATAATCATTTACAAGTATTATGTAAGAGTCAACTGACATCATTCAACTATTTTGCCCCTATTGTGATTTTATTTAGAGTTGATTGATGTGTTATTTAAACAATACTTAACGTTATGCATACATAAGAAAATGTCTTTTAATCGGTCATAAAATAATAGATAAATATCAATAATTGTCCTACCATAAAATACGATAATTCTTTCTCGTCATTATCTTGGTTTCTGTAAGAGAGAAAGAAAACTTCATCTAACAATCATATGGAGTATGCCGATAAGAAACCTATCAAAAAAAGTCTGTATCAAAAAGAAAATAAGTATCTTAAACTAACAAAAGGATAGCAATAACAATAGATAAAGTTTATTCTTGGTTGATATGTCTATTATTCTGCTTATTTCATTATATCGATCGATTCGACGATATATTCGTGCGCGTACTCTGCGTATGTACACAGTTTAATGAAAGATCAACATTTTTACGTATAGGTGCGCTGAACAAAATGTCTCGCAGAAGCAAACAAAGTAAAACATATGTAAAAGAAAATAGAACTCGAAATTGTACTGTATACATGTGTGATATTTTGCTTTTTGTTATCATTACCACATATTATTGACCTATATATGTGGATCATTGAATGCCTATTTTATTCTTTCTTTTGATTGTCATTCGAATTCACGCCTTTAATGATAATAAGTAGCTATGTCAGGTGTTTAGAATTGTCTATTTATTTTTGATTATTTCTACTCATTCGCGTTTATTTTCGAGCAATCAATCAAACTATAGAAAACGATGAGAACAAAAGGGAAGAGAAGCACAACATTAAGAAAATGATAAATCGTATGAAGATAGATGAGTCAGAAAAGATATAGAATTAGTCGGAATGTCTTGTTCTCGTTGGTTCATGCTAGTTGTATATGCAGACGCATTAATTTAGTTGAACCTCATGACCGCTGTCCTTCTTTTTCTTTTTCTTTTTCTCTATTCTGAATAAAAATTGCTTGAACTGAATTTAGCTGATGACCATACAGACACACACATAGGCACGTTCATCGGTCGAAAGGGACGTTAGAGAAAAGAGAAGAGAAAGAATACGAAGAAAGAAAAGACAGAAATGGTTAGTGCCGCATCCATCGACGTAAAAAGTAAAGGAGAAGAAAAAAACGAGTGTTGATTGTGTATGTAAGTGTGAGATAGACAGCTGCGCCTATGTATATAAATGAACAGTTCTATAGCGGGTTGAAAAAAAGTAGTAGTAGTAGTAATGACATTTACTGCTAACTAACTTGGCCTAGACAAGGATACTGATACTATCCTAAATATTATCAAAACAAGTAAAAGTTCTTTTTTTTTCTTTTTAATCTCTATCATATGTCATAGATTAAATCTAAGATGCCAAAGAAAATTCTATAAGAAAAGGCGAAGCTCGCCATTATCAAATGAGAAAAAAAACTTGATTGTGCATTGGCTTGTACATTCCTTAAGGCATTAGAATAGATTGCGTCGTCGTTGTCTCGAGTGACTGAAGCGTTTCTAAAAGCTTGCTGAACAAAGGTGAGCAGTCGATTAACAAATAGGTGAATGAACACAAAATTTTACTGATTTCCCTTAACTTTAAACTGGCCATGGAATTCTATTATCATTGATCTTCTTATTTCAGATATTTCTATTGATGGATCGATACGAATTCTTTAACCGTAGTCAAGTAGCAACGCCTAATCCTTTTTCAACGACAATACCAACTCTAACTGCTTTGATTCCAGCAATAATTAATCCTGAATGGATGTCAACAATCGAGTATTTTCTTCATTATGCATATCCAGTTGTAATATTAAGTGGAATCTTTTTTTCTTTAATAACACTACTTGCATTAATACAAAATGTTTACATGACTTCAAAAACATATTTATTTACCCAAACAATATGTGATATATTGTTTTTAGTACTTGGTGTATGTCTTCATATACCAAATAATGATCGAACTTTAATACCAAACTATGATCGAAATTTAATACCACAATTTTTCAATGAAAAAGTTTATTATAATTTTCTTGTTTATATTCTATGGTTTATTATTGTTTGGCTATTTTTAATAAGTTGTCTTGATCATACATGTACAGCAATACAATCGACTGGTTATAATGAAAAACTTTTTTGTTCACCATGTAATTCAAAAAATTCTATTATTGGAATTATTCTCTTAGGTATTATTTTCTCATTGCCACAATTATATGCATGGGAGCCCTATGAGACAGGATACCGTCCAACATCTTTACGTACATCATTCTTATATGAACATATTTACTTTTGGTTTTTACAAATAAATTATTTATTTATCCCATTGTTTGCTATATTTGTCTTTATGGGAACTTTACTATACACATTGTGTAGAAAAAAAGAACATTATTTATTAACATCTAATGGTGGCCATTATGGACATTATACAATTCATTATGCTAATCCACATGAAAACTCTATAAATTATTCAAAAACACGTGAACGAGAAAATATAACAAAATTATTCATATTCATGTGTTTTCTTTATCTTATATTTGTGTTACCATATTCATTTATAATCTTTTTTGGTAAATTATTTTTACGAGAACCAACAACTTTAACATCAACAACAATATTTAAGGAAATAGTTGTCGCATATGATCTATCATTATTATTATTTTATTTACAAATATTAATGAAATTTTTTGTTTTAACAATATTTAGTAGAAATTTTCGTCAATGCTTAAAGAAGTTAATCACATGTCAATGTTTTTGTTGTTGTTGCTGTTGTTGTCGTTCGAAATCGTCGTCAACTGGACCCAATGAACATAATCATCATGATGGTATATATATGAAATAATAAACTAGTCAATAGAATGAATGAATGTATGTTGTTGTTGTTGTTGTTGTCGTCGGTTTTTGATTGTTTGTATTGTGTTTCGAATTAGATAGAAAAAAAAAGAAATTTTGGGTTTATTTCATTCTCAATTTGCTGTTTGACTTGAATATATGTTCAATAATTAAATAATAACTTTGAATAAATAACAATGAAGAGATGTTTTTTTTTCTCTACAATAAAATCTTCATCATTTTCACCTATTACTCTAATCATTGTTGAGTATATATATATATGTAATAGATATAAAAGATGCTTATGTAATCTAGTCAACATAAGATGATGAACTATTTATTTGAATATCCATTTGTCATATGACGTCTTTTTGCCAGATGGAGTTCAACGAGACATGAGCATTAAATATTGATCTAATGACATTCATTATATAAAAAGCATTTATGATAGAGAAAATTTATGTGAGAAAAATAGCAGAAGACTTGATATAGTGTTAGATCTCGAAAGTAGGCTTCAACAAATCATGGAAAACAGTTTTCGGCTATGATCTTATTTTTACTTTGAGTGAGTCATCAATTATTTTTTTAGCTATATGATTTATAATTGAAATAAAATTGAATTTGTTTTTATAGAACTTTATTTAAAAAATGTTGATTTAATCTCTCAGTGTGGTTAAATTAACCGATTTCTATCTATATTAAAAATAAAGGCCATGGAGAATAATAATAGTAACGAAGATTGTTCAGGAAATTATCTTAATAAACATTCTGCTTTTCAAACCTCAGCCCAAACAGTGTCCTACTATTTGAACAAGAATACATTCTCAACTACGCATACAGTTTAGGGTTGAATTAGACAGGCAATGTTTTTTCTTCAATTATGCTATGCATGTATGTGCACTTGCAAGTAGACGACGTGTAAAAACTTGATGTACATCAATGTTTGATCTCAACAATTTAGCAATACTTTGAGTTAGTTACATTGATATGTTTGAAGAGTGGATATTTCTTCAACGATAGAGTAGAACATATAATGGCGATGATATCGATGTTACTAATTTGTCGATTAGAAAAAAATTTTTAGACATTTATTCAACAGAAAAGCTAAAAGTAGAATTTTTATACGAACAATTTAAGAAAAACAAGTAGAATAATGGGAAGATAGATTTATGTTTTGCATTTGGGAACAATTCTATGCGAAATCTTCATTCATTCAACTGATTGGCGATGATAGCGTTTCCTCTTTCATGATTACCGATTACCGAATCGATGTTTGATGGCTTGAAGTGTTTTATGTGTTCTAATTAGAGATTCTTAAGCATCATTTCTTATGCGATAACTTTCCACTGATAATGATAAAACAATAATGAATAGTATTTATTAATTAGACACACATTAAATGCAATTTATTAACTATAGTATACATTGTATAATGTAACAGACTGTTAATGATCACCAAGAATCATTCTAATATTGTTGTGATCTTTACCAACTTAATTTTTTGGTTTATTTGTGCCAAATATTCAATTTTAAAATATGTAACAAGAATAGATATTTAGTACAACGATGAAAATTTAAAAGGTTTTGTGCTTGCAAATATTCAATTTTCTTGTTATAATCATTGTATTCCTAATTTTTCAATTTTCATTATAATTCAGTGAAGAAACGCAAAAGTGTGCCATAGAAATACGAGTTAAATTTTCAAAGATCAAATAAATCCAGCTTAATACTTAGGTGTTTCTTAGAGCGATAATATAAGATGATCTCATAATCTGTATGTAATATAGCTATTGGTATGATATACTATTTACTATATATATGTTTTGTTGAGTATGATGTCTATGTATTATTATAGGATTGATTATTTCAATTTTTGACTAATGAATCGATTAGTAGCATTGTGGGGTTTTATATTCGTTTTTTTTTTGAAGCAATTAAAATATTTTCCTATCGTATTTTATTTTTTGTTCAGTAAAATGATTTATTTAATAAATGCTTCCATTTTCGTAGATATCATAGAACAACAATACATATATGCTTTGTATTATGGAAAAGAAATCTAGTGCGATCTATCTCATTAGTTAATAGAAATACATTTTCTTTTTAAGAGATGATATCGAACATACATAATGGATGTACAAGATTGAAAGTGATTAAGAATATGAGAAAACAAATCAAATAAAGTGTATAATAGAAGCAAGTTTTATTGAATCGTACGCCACACAAAGAAAGTGCTTTTGTATCTATGAACGTTTCGTTGGTGGATGCTCGCGAAGTAATTCGATTTCAGCTGAAACTGCGTCATGAAATAATGTTTCATATGTGTCAACAGTGGTGTCTTCATTAGATAATTTAAGTTTATTAATAACTTCCACAATACCTTCATGTTCTAAATCTTTTAATCGTTTATCTTCAAGTTGTGCACGTGATGCTTTTTGGCGTACAGAATATAATGGATGAATACGATGCGATGTTATTTCAACTGGAGTTGAGACTGTTAAGGGACCTAGCTCAACTTCATCGCAAAAAATAAATGGCTTGAATAATGATAATTGTGGATTTGGTGTTGCAGTAAAAAAATGGCATGCATCAGTTTGTGATCTTTTTCTATCTGTTGATAGTAATACAGATACTTGTGAGCCTGTTGAAATACAATCATCACCTTCACCTAACATGCATATACCTGATTGATCATCACGTAAAATTGATATCATATCGAAAACTGAAAAGTTGCCATTTTTAGTTAAATTTTCAAGTAAGTTTTGTCCAGCCTTTAATCGACCATCGCCACCTGAAAAAGATTCAAATGTCTTAGCAAAATTTAATTTCTCTTTGCCATGCCATAATTTTTTTTCTTTAGCAAAAGTTTCTAAATTGTTTGATTGCATTGTATATTCATCGCCAATAGTATAACAGTTTGATATGTTGTAATATCCTTCTATTGAAATGAAAAAGTTCGTTAGGATAAAATAAAACAATGATGCAAACACAAGATCTCATTAAAGTTCGTCAAGAAACTGTTTACAGCTAGCTCTCATACAATTCAAATGATTTAATTGCTTCTTTTTGATAATAGATTAGTATATTCTTTCTAGTTTTATTTTGTATCATTCCACAACAAATGCCAGTATTACATACATAACAAGTCTTGCTAGTGACCAAATTTAGGTTTCCTCTATTTATCAAACAAAGAATTCCAGGCCGGATTTAGCACAATCAATACTTGTGAATATTAAATTAAGTTTACGTTTTAATTTAATCTTTTCTAATAGAAAATCATAAACATTGTGAAAGTCACCCAAGCTCATAAAAATGAATCACAAATAAGTAATTATTTGTAAGTCAAGCCAATGCTGTTATTGTTATAGAGTAGTCTATTATAATTACTCAAATATTCGATTATGATTCATTTTTATGAACTTCATCAACTTTTTCTTCAGTAATTCTTTATTATGTATCACTGTATCAATTTTGTAAAAAGAGATTATTGAATCAAATTTTACCAATTGTAAAACTTTTTTTATTTTCATGCTCGTAGGTGTTGACATCTCATTTTTGTTTTGGAAATACATAGAACAAAACTTTAACGAGCATACTAAGATATCTCATATTGATTATTGTGACATTCTTTTGCAATGCTCTGTATATTACCTTTAATTTGTTTAGCAACCCAAACACGATCACATGTTTCAATAACCCATGCTTCATCGCTGTCGACGACAAGAAAACTGTTATCATAACCAGATGAGAAACCAGATATGCGATCGTAACATGTTCCACCTTGACCATAGTTTTCTACAAACTCACCGATCATGGTAACAGCTAATTTAGCTGTTTTAGCACGTTCTAAAGCTAATCTAACGAAATTAAGAATTACGTTTGATAAACACAAATAAAGAATACAAACCGCACAATATCGAGGCCAGTCAATGCTAATTCTCGTGTATTATAATTTACTTTTGAAAATACTGCTTCATTTCCAATACATACTCCATGTTCGTTGGCACCCATTTCTGCACCCCAACACCATGCAGGCTTTGATAAAATACATCGATATGTTGTTGAAACTTGTGGTACTTGGATATGAGTACACTAACTCAAGAGAGTAAGAATCATAATTTTAATAAAAACTAAGTGTAAACTCCTACATGAACATGATCTTTGTTTTCCGATGTATGTTGTTTTGAAACAAAAATAACTTCTTGAACTTCACTTGCTGGTCGATCAGAATTTTTACCAAATATATGAAATTTCGAATCTGTCAAAGGTGGTAATACAACAAATGTATCACATGAACGAGCAACACTTGTGCTAGCCATGATAGAAAGCTTTTAAAGATCGAAAACAATTGAGAAATTTAAACGAAAAAAAATCTTACTGAAAGATACAATAAATATATGATGGAGAATTATTCGCAATTCTATAGACAAGAGTACACTTTAGATGAAGGTGCTACCAATCGAACGGATCTATATTGTATCGAAGAAGAAGAAGTCATCTATAGCATAAGATATTTTCCTGTAGTTGTCGTTGGTTATTAACAATGAGTACTCCTTATCACGCTTTCCAGATGTTCATTTACTGTAATCATGAAGTTGAAGTAGTGATTGTGAGAATGCAAAATACATTGCTCTACGTTAAGCTTCATAAATTATTATAATTATGATTTATATAGCTACACAATCTTTGTCATAGATAACTTTTCTTGTGATAGATTCGGAAAATAATAATATAGCATTGCAGTAAGAAAAACTTGATTAAATCTGAACATTTTTTGTTCCAATATTTTTGGTCCCTGGCAATCGTAGATCAATAAATATAGATGAATGAATTTTATCAAGTTTAATACTTGTCTTTTAGTAGTACAAGTGCTAGGATTTTTAGATTACGATCGTCATCTTAAATTTATAGTAAAATTTGCAAGTTAGTAAGCAGCTTTCGACTGCGATTCACTTGTTATCCGGCATACTAAATATCATATAAGTGTATCGATGCAATAGAGAAATATTAGATCATTAAGCTTTTATTAATGGGAAAATATTAAAATCTTGTGTCGAGCACATAAGTACTAATGATTCGATGGTTATATTGTAGGCGGATACACATCAATTCATGATCAATTATTAGATTGATTTTACCGTTTAACCAGTCATAAGCAAGATAGTTTTGTTGGTTTTTTGACAACATTTATTCTACTCTGTTGATTCTTTCGCTGTTCACTTTCTACAAAACAAAATAGCCATCGAAATGCATTTACATGGTTTTTTGTTTACATGAATGAAAATATAGTATTCAAATAAAACTCGTTTGTATTCTATCGGGCTCTCAGATTTCTAATCTTGTTTATGTACATTAAAACAGCTTCACATTTTCAAATATATATGCAGTTAATTTCGATGACTTGTGCTCTACATCGATCTGTACTTTAAGATTTATGACAGTTTTTATTTAAATCCAAGAGAGCTTGTTTAATCATTAATTGAACAACTTCACCAATAGACCCAGGTAGTTCAATTCGACTACATACGTCAATCAAGCATATTTGATTACGAATGAGAATACCGAATGCTCTACCAAACATTATATTGTGTTCACTTACCAGCTGAACACCACATAGAGTTTTACGTATTCGAGATATCCACAATTTACCAAAGCCTAAGAATATGAAAGAAATAGAATATATATATTTTATTCTAGAAAAAAAAGCGAAATTAAATCGTTCAAGAAATATATAAGCTTGTTCTTATGGACATTCATTAATAAACTAACCTCGTGGAGGTGTATCAATAGCATATTTCATAGTAGGTGAAACATTTACTCGACAAACAAACATACTATCGGCTGGTGTATGTGTTTGGCCAATTAGCAGTAATGATGGTATCGTGTAAATAAACGAAGGCATAATAAAATTAGGTGCCGAACTATTCAAACATTTACAAATCGTTCGATAGGCAATGCTCACGCCTTGTTCTATCGAACATATACTTTTCACTCGTTGATAATCAATATGGCAAATTGGTGTCAACGGTACAACTATTCTTTCTCCTTTGCCATTATCAACAATTGTTCCGATTTGAATTTTACGACCAAATGAAACACGTTCAATTAAATGAATAATAGCTGCTGTTGGAGTGTTGTGTACTGAAATTAGTTTTCGTCGACTACCAATAGTCACAAATCGATAGTCTGTTCTACGAAACGACAATACGATCGAGTGTATTTGAAAACCTGTTTGATAGTTTTACTAACTTTATTGGATCAGTAATAGAATGAATTGCAGTTTCACTAACATAATTAGCAACACATTTCGTAATAATATTAATTTGTTGTTGAACAAGAATCGACTCAATATAAGCCGCTATTTCTCTATCCATATCATTCATATCCATTAGACAATGCGCTTGCTTTTCAATAACAGTTACATGAATAGAGCCTAATTCTTTCATACAAGATGCTACTGATAAGCCAAGTGTACCACCACCAACGACAGCGAAACTCTAAGAAAGTTACAATAATCATATCAAGAGAAAAGCAAAATATAATCATTCGTACATATATTATCTACCTGTGGAATTTGATCTAAATTAATAATATCAGCTACAGTTTTTAATGTTGTATTTCGAGAATGTTTATTTGAATAATCTTTAATCATATAACGACAGTTATCACTACCCATAATAACATGTTTTGTTCGTAAGACAGCAATTTGAATTGATTCCTCTGTGATCATCAACAATAGAAAATATGTAATGTTATCCGTGATTATAATTTTTTTGTACCTTCATTTATGATGCGTACAATATAATCTTCAACCATAACTATTGTACCTTCATATACAACGATATTTTTTTCACTAATTTCTTTTTCTAAATTTTGTTTTCTTTGAAGAACTTCTTCTTTACACTCATTTGTTAATTGTTGCCAATTCAAATCAGTTGTCATGTTATCAAATTTGATTTGTAAACCTTTTGCAAAAAGAGAATGAACAGAGTGAATTCTTCGTGCAGCTTCATACAAATATTTAAGTGACACATATTCACACAAATCTGTCATAACTGGTGCTTCCGATCGACTGACAATAGCTACTTCATGACCATGCTGTTTAAGTATAAGAGCGATTAAATATGATGATAGATCTCGTCCAACAATAACAGCTGTATATTCGAATTCATTTTCATTCAAATGATGATCATCAAGTTCAATGGCATGTGAATTTTTTTCAGTCATACTTTTATTTATTGAGAAATATATGAATGATTCATTATGAAAAACACTGAAAACTATTGCGCCATAATAATGAAAATACGATGTCACTTCATTTCTGTTTCGGAAATTGTTTAATAACGATAATCGAACTATTTCTATATAGAAGCCAAGTTATTTCATTGTCTTATTTCATACAAGTTGGATGTTTTCAAGCAAAGGGATCATGTACAGCTTTTTCTCTGACTTCTTTCTAAATATTACTTATGTTAATAATTTTATGTTGAAAAATAGATGAGAAGAGTGCTCTTCAATTGCTCAGCAAAATCGAATAGAGTCGCCCGGTAACTAAACATTTTTTAAGAAAGATTTGATTTTTAGATATTTATCTGTTTAGAATGTTTGATTTGAGTATAGCAATAACCAAGTGGTCAACGGTTATTCTCATACGCCCATCGTCTGCTCTTTAGTAGTCTTTATGTCATATTCAATCTGTTCCTTATTACTTACGGATCAGATAATTTGGAAAAAACTATCAACATTGGCATATTTTAAATTTTAGACAATATTTCTTGTCATTTTCTAAATGCATGATGATTAATAAAAATATTTAGTTTGTGGCTCTATGATTAATATGACTTTTGAATCGTTATAAATATGTTTTTATCATTAAGTATTGAAATGTTATATATTGATGAATTGAAACAGGCTTCATATTTGTTTACTATTGTTACTAATAATTCAAATATAGAAAATAAGAGAAAAACAAGCTACACAATGATAGCATGTATCTTTTTTTATATAATCTTAATTTCATGCTTATCTAAAGAATAATTTAAATAGTTTTGGTTTTTACATTCTATGCACAATATGACATTATCGTTTTACATAAATACGTCATTCATTTCTACAAGGTTTTTTTTCAAAGTAGCATTTCTGATTGCATGTATTGTACGATGCTTATCATAATGGCATAAACACGTCGTTAACTTTTCATCATTCAGAGCCATTTTGAATAGCATTCATGCTTAAATGACTCTTTTTCAAGTGCAAACTGTTACCTAAGATTAACAGATTGACGCTGTTTAATGATTAATAGTACAACTTAGATGAAAATAGAAGAGCTCAGTTCTATACTAAGATGTTTAAATATTTAATGACGCGCTACAAATTCATTTTCTATTATGTATATTAATAGTCATGATCAATAGTAAATTAAAAAAATGATATTCAATTTTAAGTTGGATTGACATTTATTAATCTACACCAGACAACAAGATATTAATATATATATATATATATATATACATACAAGAAGAACAAAAACGTAAGACAGCGATTCAAGATTTGAGTTTAACGGGTGGTACATGTTTTTCTGCAAAACATTTATCGCATACCCATTCTGCATAATTTTCCTGATTAAGCATTTTTAGTGCGTGTTCTGATAATCCAACACATGTTCGATGATAAAAAAAATTACATCCAGATTCACAAAGCACCGTCCCTTCAGTATCTTGCGCTTCTTTATGACATGATCCACATATAGCAATTGATGATGAATTTGGATTCTGTGGATTATTAATATGATGTGTATGTGGTGGATAGGTACGTGGCATCATTTGTGAAGGAGGTAGCCCATGCATAAGCATCATACCACGTGCATGAGGTGGTGGTGGTCCAGGACCAAGTAAATTACCCATATGTGGATGATGATGAGGAGGTGTTGGACCATGCATCATATGTGGATGCGGGTGCATCATGGGTGGTGGTCCTTGTCCATAAAAATCATCGACGAATTGACCTTGTTGAGGTGGAGGAAGACCACCAGGATGCATCATATGCGGTGGTGGAGGACCTCGTGGACCGCCAAAATGCATTGGTGGCAATGATTGTTGATGAAGCATTCGTTGTTGTTGTTGTTGCTGCTGCTGTTGTTGTTGGAGAGTTGGCTGCATATCTTCGCCAGGTGGTGGTGGAGTATTATTAAGCGAAGGTAATTGACTGCCATTTCCACCTGTACTTGTATTGAGAGGACTTCCTGCCCGAGCACTTGGTGGAGTGGTTAAACCTGGCTTCGACATCTTAAAAAGAAAAGAAAAACCGATCTCATATTTTAATTTGAAGCGCAACTTAGTGTAAAAAAAAGTAATATAATTTTATTTCAATAAAAATTAGAAGTTTTATAAGAAAACGAAAAAAAGTTATTTTTAATTTCATTCACTGATGTATATAAATACATAACAAATATCAAGCAAGCAAAGTGAAAAATAATATATATATATATATATATATAAAAATATATATGATATAAAATATCATTGCAATTGAGCACCAAACCTATGTGATATACTTACGATATATCAAAAGTGGAATTGTATCTAGTTACGTAGTATTCTATAAAAAGTTCGTGAAAATTTTCTCAAATCACTTACTTCGTAGTTCAACTAACTTAATTGTAATTCAACAAAATTTCTTCAGTTCTCATTCGTACGATCATCTTCGTATTAAACGTAGATGAAAAAGAATGAAATATAAGAGTATAAATAAAAGTGACTAACTACATTCTACTTTTATCTACGAACAAGAACGCAAAAGTGCTTAACTAACACAAAATAGAAATGAACAGATCGCATTTTAGCACAATTACTATATGCGGATTAGAAGAATAAAGAAATGTTGTGGAATTCAACAATACTATTCGAATTATTCACAGAGTGCGAAGGTTAATTGACAAGAACTTTTGATAAGATATTTTAGTAAAAGCGTAAGCACCGTTTTCTAATACTCTAAGTGAAACAATGGACTAAATAAAAAACAGACTAGATTACTAGAATTAATAATCAAATTCATCAGATCTAGCTATGAAATCATGCATTCAATCTTCTTTCTTTTTGCATTTTGTTCTATCAACCATCTGCCATTTGATCATAAATCATCGATATGAATTTATTATCGGGAAAATTCAGATCTAAATATTTTGCTCGATCATATAAATCAATAACAACATAAACTAATGTAGTACTCATGAATACTATTAATGATGTAAAAACCATTAATAATGTTCGACCAAAAATTAATTGACGATGTTCTTTATAATATTTTTTCATTCTTTGACGATCTAATTCATTAAATATATTACTTCTAATTTTTTCTTGTAAATCTTCATTTAAAAATTGACTATCACGATCATCATCTAATTCGAAGTGTACATCAAATATATCTTGCGCACGTAATCGATTTTGATTACGTTGACAACGATTTAAAGCAATACGCTGTTCAATAGATAGATCATGAGTTTTTGCACGTAATTCACGACGTTTTAAGCGTAATTCATAAAGAAATTTATTTGTCAGACGTAGTGAATTGGTATCATACACATTAGATTGAATTGTAGAATAATTTGAATCAGGTTCTTCTACCTTACTATTGAGATTTCCATTTGTAGTACTATTATAATGGACAATGGGTAAAGAAACAGGATTCAAATTTTGATTCAGAATTGCCAATGATGCAGTCTTTTTGATATCTTCTAAAAAGCGATTAAATAATGATGGTGATGGTTGATTTCTTTCATTAATTGTTGTAAATGACGGTACTGATGATGGTAATTGTGGAATTTCATCTGTAATATTTATTAATGGAAGTTTTTCAGATGGTTGGCATTTTATTTTATCACGATTAAGTTCATCGACTGATGTCACTTCAAAACGATGTTTCATCGTAGACTTTACTTTTTTCCTAATATTTTTATTTCAAAACAAAGTTCAAATCTCTTGCGTAGAAATCTCCATATAATGCTTAAAGATTGAATTCAAGTCATTCAAGAATAAAAAAGATCGTCGTGAGAGAAAACAACAAAAAGAGATTTAATGATTATTAACTTTGTATTTCATTGGTTGAAATAATTACTAATAGATTATCGTTCGAACAAGTCAATTTCAAAACATATCTTGAAAATATTAATAAAAAATAATTTAAATATATCTTTTTCATTATCATTTTTTTCACATCCTATCATTCTAGTTAATTTAATGAATTGTGTACTCGAATTCTCATTGGTTAGAAGTTCCTGAAAAACACACACACACGCACCTTAAATATCAACAATCAAAAGTCATTAACAAATAGAAAAATGACTAGATATAAAAAGTTATTTGTCAGAATATTTTATTTTTGATTATCATTTGTTTTCATTTTGATTTTAAAAAAAATTTGTTTCTCTATTAAAGAACATTTCATATATACATAGCTGCATTCATCTATTCTTATATGACTAGTTTTCTTGTTGTCTTCGCTTTTAGTTTTTTTTTTTGGTTATACCAGCATTGTTTTTTTCTCTTTGGAATTAATAGATTGCAATGTCAATTTATAAATATTCAACTGCAGTGAAAACTATTTTCGGCTTCGATCGACCACGTTGATATCTAAGCGTAGACGGTAATATAAGCATGCTTGTTTTTTTCCCTATGACTTTCGAATTGCTATACAAAATATTTTGTTTCTTTATTAGATTTCACTAATATTATCTTGTGTTAATTTCAAATATATTTATTCTTGTTAACTCTTTTCATTTGTATATTCAATATTTGTGATCGAATATTATCATCATGTCTAGTCCACGCAAATTTGCAGAGAAAATTGCCTTGATACAACAAAAACAAGCAGAAGGTGACGCAGCTTTTAATACAATTATTTATGAAGTTGAAGCTGCTAAACAGGTTTGTGAAAATAGTTTAACAAAATAATCATACAAAAAAAGATTGCATTTGATTTGATAGAGAGCTGATCGTATATCATCAACAAACAGTAAATTAGATGTACCGACACGCAAATATGACAAACCGTTTGAAGTAAAAGTATCTTTTTTTAAATTCAGATTACATTATGATTTAAGATCTATTTTAGATTTATCAGGAATCAAATGGAATGAATAATTCAGATAATCATAATACAAATAATTATGAGCCTCAACAAATTAAAGTATATTATATCATTTTGTGTGACAATAAATTCAGTATAACATATTTTTTTATTTAGATGGATAGCTCTAATGACTCTGATCGACTTTTACAGTTGCCTGACAATTCATCATGGCGACGGTATTTAAATAGTATATGTAATGAACATTATTTACGCATTATTATTTATTTACAGGACTCATTCGGATTCATCTCTTCACCATACTATGATGCCAAGTGTTGCTGCTCATTATCATGCACGAATGGATAATGATAACAATGGTAAGCAAAAAAAGATTGGCTTAATTTATAAAATTCTTTTCTGTTGTTTTTTCTCACTCTAGGTCAACCATCAAACTATGATATGAATGATATCAAATATGATTCATCGTCCTATTCTTCACATCAGCATCTGCCTCCTCATTTTCAAATTTCAAATTCTCCCTTTCAACAACATCAACATTTTGATTTTAACCATAATTTAAATTATAACTATATGAACGGTCGATCAAATGTTGCCTATCCTTTGCCACAAATACCTACACCAATAGCACCAACAACATCATTGCCAACGCAACCAGCTCCTTCGTCACCATCACCTCATACTCATACACTTTTAGGACCACGTTATAGTGGTGGTTCAAATGTTCTGATGTTACCTCCAAATCATCATCCACGTGGTGGTTCATTGCCAGATTTACGTACAGAAAATGCATTTCATCATCAACAAGTTTCATTTTCAACGACACCTTCTCCACCGACAACAACTGCACAACATTTTTTTCGTTCATCTTCATTACAACAGAATGGTGACGTTGATCTATATGCTTTGGTAAAATTGATTTATATCATTAAATAACAGAATGCAAAAATATCATTGTTTATTATTCTAGGGTCCTCAACAACAATTACCATCAAATATCGGACCATTGAAACAAAGTCCAAGTATTCGTCGACGTCATAGCCCAATCGGTGAAGTTAAACAATCATCACCTCGTCGACAAAATTCACCGTCGCCTGATGTTTCTTCAGTAGAGTCTTAATGGAATTTTTTAATATTATTTGCAAAGTATGATTCTTTTTTTTAGAATCAACAAACTCTCTATCGTGTTGAACCATCAAGTCCTCAATCTCAATCAAGTTATTCTCCTCAAAATTCTCCTCATCTATTACCAAGTCCTGGTAATGATCATAGTCCATTTTCACCTCAACAATCAACAGACAATAATACGAATAATCAACAGCCATATTTTACATTACCAACTCATTTTGATCAGATTACATTGGTAAGACTTTTATTAAAAACAATCAATGAAATCTTTCAAAATAAACAACATTAATCGTTTTTTAAGGATAATAATTTTTATCCTCAACAATCATCACCATCACCATCGTCATCAACAAATCAAAATTCAAATCATCCATCATCGTCAACGTCAATTTTAACATCATTATCAAATGATGTCAATGGAATGCATTTAAATTATTTTCGACCACAAAACTTTTACCCAACCTTTATAAATGACACGTAAGCATTGATTTATTTTCACAGAGGCAAAAAAATGATTACCTAAATCAATTTTGGTCATATTTTATGTTTAATTTCCTTGTTTTACATGTTTCTTTTCTATTGTTACAGATACTAGTCGAATTAATTTCTAAGTAATTATATATAAAAATAATATAGATTACTAATTTTTAGCACTAATATTAACTATAAACTATTTTGTTTTTTTTGCTTCTCTCACTATTTCACTTTGTATGTTTAGATCATCAAGTTATTGTCAAAACCAATCAACAGTTAGTGTGACAGCTAGTGTTACGCAAAAAAGTCCAACTATTCCGAATATAATATTAACTGGTAAAACATTTTCTTTATAATATATGTATAGACATGCTCTAAACTATAATGGCTTTTTATTATTCATAGACGTTGATAGTTCAAAATTGGATCTATCGAAAGAATTAGCAAATGATTTTACGCATGCTTTCGATAGCTTGATTGGTCCAAATGATTTACAATTAAATGCAGATGACTTTGTACATAAACATGACACATTTGATTTCTTTCTCTAAAATTATTTTCCTTTAGTTGCTCAATGTGCACGACCTGTCTATGGATCCACATATATGTGATGATTCGTTTCGCATGGAAAATTAACATCACAATTCATACTTGTATATTATGAGTATTGTCATTTCATGTATATAAAGAAAAAAAAAGAAATTCTATTCTTACATTAATATGTCTATCTAGCTGATATGTAATATGAGTGTTGTTGTATATGAAGAAAGAATTCTTACCGATTTACTCGTTTGTTTTTGTTATTATATACATATGTAAGAAATAGTGTATGGTCAGATGCGCACGGCGCTTACCTATGTTCCCCATTATCAAGCAAATATCTATGATTTATCTTTTGAAAAAGAAGATCAACATGAGAAGAAGGAAAAAGGAGAAATTTCAACTCAGGGAATCTCGTATTTGTGCGTATGTGTTGTTACTCGAAAGGTTTTTCTTGTTTGATGTTTGCTAAGTTTTATTCGATGCTTATCTATTCGTTTGTTTTTCGTGTGTTTGCTGTTGTGAATGATTTGCGCGAATTTCTGAATGACATCTTTACATATGACGTAAAACGCTCTCATTTTTGTTTTTTCTTCTTTTTTTTTGTATATATATATCATTTGAGTTTTTCGTGTCTTCAATTACAAATATTTTTAGCTTAAGAATGAGATCTTTTAGTTTATTTGATTTTCACCTGTATTTCTATTAACCGTTGTTTTGTCTGTTTCCAAATCTCAGGTAGGGTCAATGAAAAATAACCTCTGCCGATTCATTTCTCTGTTTTCTGCTTGTATTTCTATCGCGAGTTTTTTTTTCTTGTTTTCGTTGAATTGCAATAGTGTTCTTTTTCCCATTGTACAGCAATAATAATAAAATCGAACAAAAATAAATAAATAAAGATTTGAGGTTTATTGAAATAATTCATTTATCTCCTCGTCATCTGGAATGTCATTATTAGTATTTTTATTAGCTGTGTTTTCATCGTGAGTATCTTTATATGCAATGTTCTCATCGTGAATATCGTTGTCTGAAGCATTATCATCATTTTGAATATTGATACTTGGCAATATATCAAACTAAAGAATGAAAATAAGAAATAGAAGAAAATGATGAAATGCTGCTTTTGATCTCTAGCTTTAATATTACTAATGTAGGGCCAGCTTCTTTGTCATCATCTGGATTTGTTTGAATATTTAATTTATCACGTAAATATTGAAGTGCATTCTTCAAGCAAAATGAAAACAATAGGCTCAAAGAAAAATAAGACTGGTAATTTACATACTTTTATTTGCTTTTTGGCACCAAGATTTTCAGCTTTTTCAATAAAATCATCAAAAGCCATATGTGGTACAAGACGATGTGCCCAATACTCAAATTTATGCATTAAAGTATCAAGATCCGCAAACTATGTACATAAAATAAGTAAAATAAAGAAAGATTTTTATTAGTTGTCAATTTACTTCTTGGCCTTTGCCTTTAAATTTTTCATGCCTCAATAGATTAGTTAGTTCATCGAGCCCTCTTGGACCAGTTAAGCTGAATGTCATAATAATAATAAGAAAAAATATATATGAAATTTTTAATAGAATACTATAAAGATTTATTTACCGAATAGCATCAAGCTTGGGTCGCGGACGTCTTGGAGCTTTTTTCTTAGCTACTTCGTTGGCTTTTTTCATCACACTTTCCACATCAGCTTTTTTAATTTCTTCATCATCACTAGTATTTCTCTTGAGTTTGTCATCGTTGTCATCACTTTCTTCATTATCATCGTCTCGTCGTAGATCATTAACTAAATCAATATCCATGTTTTTCTTCTTATTTATGCCTTGTATTTTAACATAATTTGATGGCCGACAAAATGAAGAAAAAAAACAAAGACCGCTAATATCTGTGTATTTCATTAAAAAACATAACCAATGAACAGGTTTAAACAGATTAAGAAATCAGTGAATTGCGACATCTCTTTTTTTCATCGAATTTAAACTCCAAAAGATAGCAAGACGTTGTTTATTTTGGCATGCGTTTGGAATATTTCTAAAAATCTATCATGTGTCTTTATCTAGATTTCAATCTATATTATCATTTTTGTTTTGTCAGTAACATAAAAGATTGATACATAGTGGAAAATGCTTATTAGGTAATTATATATAGAAAATCAGAATTCACATATTTCCGAAACGAATTCGTTTTTAAAGAAGATCATATTGATTTTGCTCTAGCTAGAAATAGAACTTGATAAGCACTATTGACTTGATGAAAAATATCGTAGAAATATTCAAATTCAAACAACATCTAGTACGATGGATTCATCCAACGATTTCTACAAAAGCTTCCAGATATAAATGATCACAGTCTGTTAACTCTAAATTATATTTATAAAACTTATAATATATTATGTGTTTTGAGTCATGAGAGAATCATGTCAACTGTATTTCGAATCAAACAAATGTATACCAGTAAAGGACGACTGAACACTTCTCATAAATAGTTGATTGTAATTTAACACATGCAGTATGGAATCGATAGAACTCAACAATTTCTATTTCTAAGTGCCATGGATTGATCCAAAATAAATCCAATAGAGAATTTTCTTCGGAAAATAGTTGAATTCCGAAGAAATCTATATTTAATATTACTTATTATAGATAGAAGAAGTACATTTGTTGAAGCATTACTAAATCAATGTGGTAGCTGTTTAGAAAATATTTCTAGAAATAATATTATCACAAAAGAAGACGTCAACGATAGATCAACCATGGTCACCACCACCAACTGTTCAATACGAAAAAGATGAATGCTTTTAATATAAATAGATGATATTTTGTTTATTCATTTCATTTTCTTTTGTTGTACATTAACAATTTAGATTTATAGTAAGGTGCACCAAAGTCAAAAATCGAGCGGAAAAAAAATTCTTTTATTATTACACGGTTGGATAGAGCCGGATGAGTAGATCATAAATATCATCTTTTACATGTTTCTACGCTTTCGTTTTGGCTGAGAAATTTTCAAAATGTAAAATGCACCTGAAAAAGTGAATATTTCACTTTTTTCGAGAAAACTCGAAATTTACGTAGTTTAACAAACTTCTAAGTTTCGAAAACTATCATCATCAGATTCAGTATGAAAATCTGAATCTACTGATGTAACTTTGACCAGTAAAAAGCATACGCTTCACGTTTGAGGAGCTCCACTAGGTCACCATATAGACGTGCTCAAATTGATGCCTCGCAAAATCATCAACTAGTTATTTTTTGAAAGTGATTCACGGACTTTTTTGTTATATAATTCGAACCGTCGAGCAATAGCGAACAAAATCATATATATTCAGTTTGAAAAATATTGTTCTGCCTCTGAGAAAATCGATTTTTACTAGATTGGTGACTATATGTTAACGAATCGCCTCTAATTTCGAGGTTTTGGCCATCAAAACTTTACTTTCATCCGAAATAAACATCAGATTCAAAATCAGCACAAAATCAATATTGACTATCATAAATTTTATCAAAAAATAATTTTCATCAAAATTTTACCTGTGGTGCACCACAGGATAAAATCAAGAAAAACATGACTGGGGGGGAGTAGGGTGGAATTTCGATGAGAATTATTTTTTTTATAAAATTTATGATAGTCAAAACCTCGAAATAAGAGGGTAATTCTGTAAGCTGTAAGCTTTAGTTAAGGATCCAGTAAAAATCAATTTTCTCAGAGGCAGAACAATATTTTTCAAACTGAATATATATGATTTTGTTCGCTATTGCTTGACGGTTCGAATTATATAACAAAAAAGTCCGTGAATCACTTTCAAAAAATAACTAGTTGATGATTTTGCGAGGCATCAATTTGAGCACGTCTATATGGTGACCTAGTGGAGCTCCTCAAACGTGAAGCGTATGCTTTTTACTGGTCAAAGTTACATCAGTAGATTCAGATTTTCATACTGAATCTGATGATGATAGTTTTCGAAACTTAGAAGTTTGTTAAACTACGTAAATTTCGAGTTTTCTCGAAAAAAGTGAAATATTCACTTTTTCAGGTGCATTTTACATTTTGAAAATTTCTCAATCAAAACGTAAGCTTAGAAACATGTAAAAGATGATATTTATGATCTACTCATCCGGCTCTATCCAACCATGTAATAATAAAAGGATTTTTTTTCTAATCGGTTTTTTACCTTGGTGCAGCTTATTGATTATAAAGATACGTTTTGTTGATTATTATCGAACAATTTCTTTATCTTTTTATGTATTTTATCTGCACAAAATATGATATATTGAATGTAATTTAATTGTAGCTCTACATAATAGTTTCTTCTTTCATCGAAAACTTTGACATGGACACAAAAATAATCTCATTGAATTTTAGCAAAAACTATATCCAAATTACCAGAATGAGATCAGCCGTTCAAACTGATAAGAATTTTGTCGGATGACATCTTCTTGTCAGTAAGTCAAGATCTGTTTTCAAGCGACAATCTTCTATTAGAGCGTATATATAGAGTGAATCTTGACTAACAGACAACAAGAAAACAGCCATCTGGAAAGAATAACAGTAAGAATGTGTATTAGTGTGTTTTCAAGATAAATTTATCTCATTGATATACACAATATATTTGACTGAATAGGGGCTGATGATGTACAGAATATTCCATCGGCATTCCATTAGAGATTTGCATTGAATATTTTTCAATTTTGTTTGGATATAGACATAATAACACAATATGCTCTAGGTGAATTATAACAGAAATTCATGTTTCATATTATTGTAATAGTACGTATCCTCAGGAATTACTACAACAGATGATAAAAATAACAATGCTCGAGGTAATAGTATTCTTTTAGGAATAGAATGTTAAGTTGAGTTTCATGTTTCCTAGAAGTTTGTATTGTGTAAAACGTTTGACATGCTCAGAACGCAAAACACAAGAGACACGATTTTGTATTTCCTATTTAAATGAAGCTAACAGATAGTAGTTACAAAATTGTTTTTGACATTTTTTCATAAATATTTGCTATAGGAGTTATTCGACATTACTTAACATGTGGTATTTCAATCCGGATAAGATACTTTGAACATTTCCTGCTAATTTGGGAATATGATTGTTATGTGCATTACTTCATTTAATGATTAAATTATTCTTTGCGAAAAAAAAACTAATGACACGAGAATATGATTTGATAACAGACACAAAAGCTGTTGAACTATTCTGATTTTTAAATCTTCATCAAAAGATCTATAAAAATGATTTTTTTCTTCTGTTCATTCAGCTGTGAATCAAACGAAATGTGTGCGTGTGTATACTTTAAAGTAAAGCGTCGCTTTTATTTTTATACTTCTGTAACTAAACTATCAAAATACCACAGAACTCATCACGAAGAACTAAAATAGCTAATTAGTATTTTTGTTGGCTTGTGAATTCACAATAGAATCAAGATAAATTCAAACGCACGATTCATCGTCTGAAATAGAAAATATGTAAATCATAATTAGTACCAATTTTTCTCGCATTGAAAAAGTTTCGATTGACTTCAATGCTTTTGTATGTTACAAGATGATAAATTAACAAACTGGATAACTCTATATTGTATCTATGTGGTTGGTGTAATGATATAAATAAATAACCAATATGTTTGATTCAGTAGAAGACCGACTTTATTTGATTATTTAAGATCTTTGAGTAGAATGAATGATCATTTTTTACATTAATAAATTTTGGATAGAATATTCATGATGAACACAGATCTAGATCGGTTACTTGAAATTCTATATCAGATTCTTATTATATATTTTATAATGATTTAAAATAAATCATATCGAATTTCGTAAAATCTGATATTTTTCTTAATCGCATGTCTCTTGTTGTAGAAGTGTGCCAGTTATAGAAATAGTAAAAAATCAAAGTGCATTGTCGTCATTACAACCACTGCTTAATATCAATACTGAGTGACAATGAATTGAACTGGCGAGGTATCCTGTGCATGCATATGATTATGCCAATGATTAATTATCAGCAATATTCTAGAGTAGCTATTGAAAAGTTTCGATTATTAGGATGATATCAGATGAAATCGTGTGCTAAATGTGATAGATTATTTATTAGATGGCTGATTTTTGAGTCGCTTGTAAAAATCGATCTTAGTCGATCAGTGAAGCTTGATAACTTACACGATTCATTGCTATTTTCCTGATAGTATGTCATCATTTTGACAGCTACAAAGAGTATCCTAACTCGAACTAATAAATGTTGATAACAGCTTATCTTTGATCGAGTGTAATCAATAACACTTAGTAGTTTTCTGATTTTTATCCGTCATCACTAAATATCGAAACCTTAGGAGTGATGCAAAACTCTATGGTTTTATGTATCATCTATTGAACATTTGGTATAATCTCTTTTGCTGATAGCAAAGTAATTCAACGATTAGCAAACAAAAATGACTCTTTATCAACAGAAATCGTTTATAATGCATCAACTTTCATCGTTAAACGTATTCGTAAACTTACATTACTACGAACATTGTTGAATAATAAAATACGTTTACTATTTCAGTATTGTCTAAAATATAATAAGTTGTTTTGATTGATCATCAAAGATAATTTAACACAAAAGTTACAACACAGTCCTGCCTTTTTTTTGTATTCAAAATGAAATGAGTTCAAAACTATCTAGCAAAGAATCGAACAAATAACATTGAAATATGTATGTTCTTGAATTTATATATGCTCTCAGCAAAAGACTTCTATTCAAGCATAAATCAAGGCAATATTTCTAATGAAATCAATTGATTGTTAAAAAGTGGACTAGAACAAGTAAACATATGATATCAATTGTAGGCATGACTTTCAAGAATGATATTTCCTTTGAAAAAATAAAAAAAACTGATGCAAGTTTATTTTTAGACTTCATTTTTTTTTGGAAGCAAACATTAGCTCGCGGTATTCCTCAATCGTATACTAAAATTTTCTTTTACTAGAATCGAATTCAGACAATATTTCTTTTTTTTTTGTTTGTTTGCAACTGTTCTTATGGAAATTTGAAGCAATATATTGTTTAATTACCAAACAGAATACATACTGTCATTGGGGGAATTGACACGAATGTTTAAAGGATTAAAACTTAACCCTACTCTATTTAAAATGTCAAGAGCATCGTCTCATCTTTACTCATGTTTTGTTATAAAGTGCAAACAATATCTCGTAGAATATCCTGTTATTTATCATACACGTGTAGATAATAAGGATTTGAATGAAAGTAGTCATGTTACACTTTCAAAGCATAATTGACGATTGTTTTATTGTAAAAGTTTTCATTACAACTTCTACTCTAATTAAGAGTGCATTGTAGTGAAAAGTACTTAATTGTACAAAATAAATATTAATTTATCCGATTGATTTAACAATAGTTTACGTAATTGACTGTTGAAATTGTCCAAAATATAAGAAGAGAAGTCTTCTGTATGACTAAAGATGATATCTTATCAAAAAATCTTCAAATCATTGTGCTCATTTATTAGAATATAAAGAAATTGATGAATATGTGCATAAAATATTTAAAAGGAAAAGAAAAGAATAATAAATTCATTTTTTTATGAACTATAAATAGTCTTCTTTGATCCATCGTTGTCTTGTTGAAATTCTTTGTTTTTATTTGTTCAAACCAATTAAAAGCAAGAATTATCTCATTATATTGTTTCATTTACTCAAAGCATCATACAGTGTGTTTGACAATTCACTTGATGCCACTGGCATACGATCAGTTATTTTACACTCTTCAAACAAAAGCTATGAAAGAATATTTGCCCTTTTTTTCCTTTCAAGGACAGTTACGATTTCTGTTATTAGAATTTTATCAGTGACCTAAAAATAGATCGATATTGAGTCAATATCGTAACTAAGATCGACAAATAATCAAGCAATTATTCAGTAAAAATAGAATGATAGAATAAAGCAAGTTATTATATGTGTAAGTTGAATCATCTTGTTAATTATTAAAAAAGAGCAGTGAAAGAATTCTAATTGACTATAGAGAAAAATCGATAACTATCTGAATCTAGTTGAATAAAATATTTGTATCTACTATTGTAAGTAGTATCTTATCGGTCGAAAAAGTTTGTTAGATAACAAGTGAAGCTTGAATATTGTAATGATCAAAGTCTGGTTATTCTCCGTGTCGTTCGTCTCCTTCTCATTCTACTCGCAAATAACTCGTTGAATGAATATGTAAAGTAATTACAGAGGAATATGATTACGTGTTCACAAGAGTTTCAGACATAATTAAGAATAAGAGTTAGAAAATTATTAAACAAGAAATAAAACATCGAAACTATTGTAAGACGGTCAAATTTTGATGAAAGTTACTGTTGAGTTAACCTTGTCATAGATCAGATTGGATCGTAAAAAAGCTCTGTGTGCATATGTTCGTTTGTCAAGGCCAGTCTATCATCTGTACAAATGTCTATTTCTTCATCAGTACTTGTGTGTCGACGGCACATCACTTGCATAATCCTCATGGCATACCAAATATGTGTGAGAGATGCCAATCATCCGTTCGTTTCTTGTGCCTGCCTGGCTGCCTATAAATAGAATCCATATAAAAGAAGGTCATTCAGCACCTTCATCGTTTACTGGAAACCATACTGAATAGACCTTCTCGCTTTCTGCTATTACATACGTGTGTTAGTTTTTTGTCTCTGCCTCTGTCTCTCTCTCTCTGTTCTTCTTCTCTCGTCACACACTTGCATGATATTTTGTATAACTGTATGTCCTCGTCACCGATAAGAAAAGTAGATGAACATACGTATATACATGATTTATCACCGAAACACACAAAAAGGAGTGAAGTACAATAGTAAAGTGAAGACATAGACGGGACGAATAGGTTAGGCATTGAGATTGATTTATGTGCACGACAATTATTAAGGTACGGATGTTTATATAGTAATATCTAAAGATTTATTCAAAAGAAGAGAAAATAAAGATATTTCTCTATCATAATTATACTAATGATTTGGTGATTTGTCTATTAGACCGTCACAATAAATAAGAAAAACAGTGATAGCATGTAAATGAGAAACATCCGAGTATAATATTCGGATATTTACCTATTTGTATTTATTATTATGTTCTTTTTTGGCGAACTTTCATATTACTTGCAAGCACTTTCGCTTGTATACAATATATATATATATATATATATATATTCTTATTACGCGCATGATTGATTTATTCATTATTGATCGGAATGAACAAAAGAAGATAACAAGACGAAATAGACCTAAATAGTAACTCACTAAGATATATCTTTTCTTCGACCTCGCTGTCGATAACCCTTCATTTCAACCTCTACTATTTATACACAATATAGTTTAGTACGATTCATATCTATCAGGATATTAATTGACACACAGGTATTATGTACTTCTCCTTCATAAATATACCATTACTATTAATTACAATCGTGAGAGGGAGAGAGCGTCGGCGATGTGCAAGTAACAGTCATGCATTAGCTATACATTATCATGTAACAAAATGTCATGTCAATAGACAATACATATAAATGTGAATAAGGACTCAACGAGAAATAGAGTGGTTAAATGCATTGGTGATCTCATTAAGCATTCTGAACAAGACGGTAGCATATTTTTCGAAATTATTTTTCTATTTGCTTATGTGCTGATAAGTCTCATGTTTTCTCTCTGCAAAAGTTAGTTTTATTTTAATTTCTTTTTGAGTTTGCTCAATTAGTTTACCGATTCACTATACAAGAGAAGGCAATTTATGAAAAAATCAATTGTCTATCTAACCTATAACCACCAATGAAAACTATTGATATATTCTGGATTCGGTTCGATAAGCCCCAAGGTATCATTTTTATCTGTGCAATCCAAGGCTATGATTTAGATAGGGTGCGACAGATAGAGAGAAGAAAAGTAATATGTCAATCCTTTCTCATATTAATCATCACATAAAAAGCTTACCACAAAAGCCATCTTCGTATAAATATGTTGTAATTTTTCATACATTGTTTAGTTTCATGTGACATTGATTAAAATAATCTTGTAATATTGTCTGTCTGTAAAACGAAACTGTTAATCGCGGAAGAGAAAGGAAAAAAATAATTTGCTGATCAAGACACCTACAACGTACATAATATATACTACATACACCTACATTTTCTTGTCGTTTTGATATAAATTGAATTTAAGTTGATGGACCAATGTTACAACATTGACATACGTAGGTAGTAAATGTGCACATGAAGGATGTGCTCCTTTTCTTTCTTTTCCTTTTAAACACTTTACCATACATATTGATTGTATAGTACATTATAGTAACCCTATCATTCGACTAATCCCTGTTGAAATGTTGCTGCCGAATGAATTCTTTCTTTCCCGTTGCTTTTGTTTTTATATAACATTAAATTTTGAAAGGAAAAAAACCGACAGGATTAGGAGCACACACCTGCTTAATTTTATATATTTTACCATCGACCAAATTAGAATCATTGAACAATCATAATAATTATTATTTTTAATCTTTTGTTTTCAAAAAGAAAATATGTTTCATCAATTCAATTTGGCTAAGTAAGACTCCCATTGTATTCATATTTATGTTTACTTAATGTGACTGCTTTCTCTCTCTCTCTCTCTCTCTCTCTTTTATCGTGTGTCCGTATATTGTCATTCAATTTGTGATTCTTAGACCATTTTTTTGTTCTTTATTTTACCTTTCCTTTTTTTCAATACTTGTCTGTTTATTTCTATTATTGTACTTCATAGAGATGAGAGACATTCTCAGGCAAATAATAACATTCAATCACAGTATGGTCATTTAAGCGGATAAAATTCTAACTAAATCGAACAATTTAACAATAGAGTAATGCTATTCTGGCACCATTCTTTGCCTGAAGGGAAGTTCGCTTCTATGCATGTGCATGCATATATATATATATATCCTCGTTTCTTTTTTTCATTTTGCTAGCTCCTTTTTTTTTATTCTACTCGTTCACTTTTCATTCTTGATGTGATGATGACTTCAAATATTAGTAAAGTCAAATAAAAACTTGATTAACAAGTGTTGTCCATGTATTTTTCTCTCTGTCTCTCTGTGTTATTACCATTTTTTAGTCATTCTGCATTACTCGAGTCTTATCATATTCTTTTTTTATAGATCTCCAAAGTCATTATGTCACCAACATCATCATCGTCTACCATCTATGATCATTTGATGATTAATTTTCATCAACAACCTAAAATTTTTATTAGAAATAATGCAATATCATCAAATACTTCATATGATCTTTCGAATAAATTAAATTCATCAAATTCAAAATCGAATTGTAATAATTTATTAATATCTCGAAAACCAAAATCGATACCACCGGATAGAGAGCAAAGACCAAAGCGACGATATACAATTACAGATGTAACTATGCCAGAACCTATTGTAAGTTGTTCAGTGAGTAATCAAGCATACGATAAAGCAATTATAAAAAAACCTTCAACGCCTTCGAATATTTCATCGGTATCAAAAGAAATAAATTCAACACGTTTTCATTCACCACTATCAAATAATATTCAAAATAAACAAATGGATTTTCGTCCATTAATTATAAATGGGCGTCGACGATTTACTACAATTACTTCAACATCACCAATGATTATTGTTAAAAAAAAATCTCCATCTCCTATGAATAATATTTCTTCGGAGCAAGTACGTATATAAAATCTATCAATGATATGTACATGAGATTTTTCTTTTATCCGTCTACTCTATATAATTCTAGAAACAATTGCGTCGCTCGATTCCTGTCAATATTACTAGTACACCAATAGTTGTTAGTGCTGTGATAACATCATCAGTATCTTCTTCTTCTCCTTCTTCTCCTTCTGCTACGTCGACAAATGTGGGTACCATTTCTGTACCAATTCAAGTGATAAAAACCCAGAAAAACAATCAAGATAATAATAATAATAGTATTTCCACTGCTAATAAAACAAACGAACGTCAGAAAGGTTACCGTTACGTGCCAAAACAATTACGGCAAGTCAAATCAACAATAACAAACGAAAACGTACAAAATGATCAGTTGTCATCATTGCTTGTAAATGTAAGTTAAACAAGACTTTTTCTAGTAACATATTTCTTTTGGCCATGATTTGCTTCTTTTCTTAACATCTGTCCTTATTTATACTCTACGAGCCGTTAGTGAGTTTATCATAAACGCAAAAGCTCAAGCAATTAAGGAACCCAATACGCTGCTTGTTCTTTCAACAATTATACTTTTTACTGACGCTAGACAAGAGCACAAGAAGGATAATGAATAATGATGATAGTGGGTTACTTTTGTTTGTTGCTTTCGACAACTATCAGAACTATACTCTCTGGGTGGATGTGCATGTGTCTAATCATTAGAACAATCTGTATGTGTGCATATATGTAAGATACCTAAAATTCTTGCCTTCTTCTTTTTTTCTTTTCTCTTTGTGCCATTCTCTTTTACATTTTCTCTGTCTCTAGTTCTCTCGCATGTTTTTTCTTTTGCTTATCGTGCAAAGTTATTTGTCGTGTGAAAAAAAAGAAGACAAACGAACGAGCTGGATTCTCTGTACTTTCTTCTCTGCTCCATATACTTTTGGATATGAAGCGTACTACCACGCGACATACATAATATACATTCTAACAACTAATTCAAGGCTATAATTTATTTGTATATGTGCATATCTACGTATTTTAGGATGATGATAATGGATCAGCAAGAATGTTTTCTTCATCTTCAGCTGTGGGAAATGGCAATAGTCATAATTCAGCAATGATGATGGATTCAAATGTACTTCGTTTAATTCGTCGTTATGATCCAATAGCTGCAAGTGCCATTTGTATCAGAGGTCGTCGATCACTTGAAAGTAGTCGACGCGGATTGCATGAAGATAATGGAAAATTAAACTCATCCTTAACATCTAGTGTTTCTTCAGCTTCGTGTTCATTTTTACCTCAACGAACACCAATATTTACATCGTCACATGAAGATAATTACTCGGTAAAACAGCCATTAACACCTCGTCTTCAACATCAACAAACAATTTATGAGCATGACGGGTCGCAATCATCATCATCATTACATAGAGGTAATTCAGTTCGACCAATTCTTAAATATACTCCACCAATATCGCGTACTGATTTAAATTTTCAATCTAAAAAGACTAAACCACTAAGTAAAGCACTATCTATTGAAATTGAGCCACATGTTCCACCGCCATTAACAACAGTATCAAATGAAAATACAATTAGTTGTCAACCATTAATCACAACTGGCACAAAACGAGTGTGTGCAGCAATAAGTAAATCAGAATGGGACTTACGTTCTCAAATTGATCCTTGTTCTAATAATGTACCATCATCACCATCTACGTTTCCTGTTCGACCTCCTTCACCACATACAATAATCAATCAACAACAGGAAAAAGAATCTTATCAAGCATTAGTTGATCGAAATCAATGTTCAATCGGAACTAAAACTAATAATGAAGAGGATGAAGATATTAGTGGTATCCGTGAATGCTCTTCATTTAATACAACTGGTTCATGTATTGAAAAACTTAAACAAATATTTAATACAAAAGCATCACTCGATTTAACAACTTCATCAACAAATAAACAATCACAACTAGATGATTCAATAGAAACAAATCTTAATCGACATTTAAATACGACTGGAACAAATAAGAATGAAACAGATTTACCATCAGTAACATCTCCAATTGTTCAAAAAAAATCTAATAAAAATTCAATTGAATCACAAACCCATACAATATCAAGTGATAGTCTCATTAAACCAACCATCATTAATCAAGAAGGCACACCAACAACTTCACCATTATTAAAACGACCTGTACTTAAAAGTCAAAAAGCTTCTGATAGGTAGGTTAAAATTAGTTTTAACTTATCGATAAATATAAAAATGATGATAACAAAGAAAAAAAAAGATAAATTTCTCAATTTGATTGACAATTAGGTTCGTGTACTATAGCAATCTTGCATTATAAGAATGAATGACATCGTCATATGAATTGTCCATTATTTCTATGTCGCCCACACTTTATTTAGTGGTTCTCTACTATAATTTACTGCGTATAACACGCCAGTCGTCATTTGTTATTGAGCTGCACGTTTTTCAGCACCACTAACACTAGTACTGATTAAATTACATATCATGCCAATGACTATTCGCAAGCTTTCTGTCGTTGTACACAACGTACAAACGATACAAATAGCAATAAAACGACAACATAGAAAAAAAGAGAGACGCTTTCGAGAGTAACGTGTAAGAATTAACTGTAGAACTGAAAGCCAATCGGTATGTAACATCGCTCTAGGCATTAAAAATGAATGGCGAGAGTTTCTTTCTCTTTTTTTCTTCTTGAAATAAGAAAATGAAATAAACATCAATCTAACTACATTACGTCCAAAAGAAAATGAAGTGTTCTAAAAAAATCCTACTCGTTACTCTCTTGAACTTGAGCATGAACATGAACATACCTATACAATTATTAGTCAATCAACAGTTAGTTACTATAATATACTATATAAAACAACAGACAAGGTCAACTTCTTTTTTCCCCGTTTACAACCGAGACGAATATATGCATAAATCTGTATCAGCATTCATCACTCATCGATTGTTAATATATTTTCTCTTATTTCATACTATATGAACAATATTTACTTATATATATATATGTCTATGTACGTGTCATGGTTTTTGTTCACAATGTATACGTCAATACTTGACATAGATTGTCTGTCTGTGTCTCATTGGTTCGAATGAATAAAAACATCAACGAGCAATTTAGGATTAGTAATGATTAAGAACATGTTCGAATCAATTTTTAATCATCTATATATCCTAGCAACACATCGATAAATCAAGGAAAGAGAAAGTGAGAGACAAAAAGAAACAGCGAAAAAATACCTATGAGTTATCATAACTGACCCCAAAGATTCATTGTGTAGAACGAAAGAAAAAGATAAGCGATGAAGTTCATGTCTTTACTTTCTTCCCTTCAAAAACTTGTTCTGTATATGAACAATATCTAGTCTTTTATCTTGTTCTGTATTTGTGTTGAACGAAGATCAAGAAAAGGTACAACACAGAAATCAAAACTAAATAGAAACAGATAGTCTCGTTCTCTTCATCGACTACAACTGATGTGTGTGTGTGCGATAAATTCTAAATATTTCGACTTTCTCTCTGTCTCTCTCTCTCTCTCTCTCTCTCTCTGTGTTTCTCTTTCTTGTTATATACAGCTGATAGACTGAGGGATTGATTTTTTGTTTGACATTACTTGTGTTTCAGTGAAAAAGCAGTTGTTATTTTTGTTATGATGGCTCTTCATTTTATGTCTTACTGTAATAATTAAAGCCTTTCCTTTTATTACAGAAAAATTATATGATTAGTTTTTAACTGAATATAACATTTTGTAAATTAGTATTCATTGGCTCCCATATCTACATCTATTTATTTTAGTACTGATTCACTTAATCGTTCAAATAGTAGCAGTTTAATGCCATCATCAGAACTTTCGTATGATGCTTATCGTTTTCGTCGTTTAAATGAACATGATCAAATGACAAGAACACGTTTAAGAAATGTAGCTAAAGTTGAACCATATTCAATAAATACAAATATGGTTCGTCCACTTTATCAATCATCATCTTCAAAACCAATGGCAACAACAATAATGGCCCAATCTCAATCGCGTACTGCACTAAATAGTATGGGTAATACTTCAACTAATTCATCAACATCTTCAGCTGCATCTCTTAGTGGTACTATTCGTCATCCTAATGTTCGCGACTCAGATTTTCTTGTACCAAATCCTGCATATTCAACACCACCTCCTCCTCAACTATCACACACATGTCACCCTCCATCAACTTCTTCGTCTCTTGCGACACCACTAACAACATCAATGTTATTATCGGAATCGCTTTCACATGGTTCACCCCGTCGATTACCGAATACGAGTAACCCTTCATTATTTAATGCACATTCTAATAGTTTGGCTTCATCAGTAAATAATTCTAAGCAGAGATATCAATCGTCTACACAACCAGATTTACATTCTGGAAAGGTAATATATATATATATATATATAACAGAGAAAAAGAGAAAAAGAGCAACAGACACTATTTGACATTTTAATCATTTACTTTTCATTATAACAACTAGTTTAAGATTGTTCGATAGTTGCACAATCTTAATGAAATTTCATCATTTGAAAAAATTACTCTATTTAAAAATAAAGATTTACGATCAATAAATATTAGTCATGTATACTTTTTTTTAATTTTCCTAGAACATTTATTCTCCTTCAATGTATCGCAATGGACTCGGTACGACGACAGTCAATAAAAGTAATAATTATGAAGAATTTGATAATTATACACCGCTTACTTCATACCATTATCGACCAAAAGAACATGCTTCATCAACAACAGCAATTAATTCCTCGTTAACGAATAGTCATCATCAATCTCAAGGATTAATATGTGTACCACAAATTGAACAACCGCAACATGAACGATTGAATAATGGACAACAACAACAGCAACAGCCACGTCGTCGTTTTCAACGACGTAAACAAATGAAACGTTCAAAAAGTGCAGATCTATATCAAGAGCCTACATCTATATCATCAAAAAGTCAAAACAATGATAATAGCTGCTTTTTTCCATCAACAACTAATAATGAATCAAATAGATATCATCATCAACAATCAAGAAGTCGTGATTTAATAGGAGGAGGAGGAGGAGGAAGAGGAGAAGGAGATGGAAATCTATCACCATCATCATCGTCATCATCATTATCAACAGCTAATACTGAACACGTTAATCGTGCATCTTTACTTCGTTATAAATCATTAGATTCGATGACATTTAATAATCGAACAGCTAGTCTTCACGGAAAAAATAGCAACCGAAGAAACTTATCGAAACCAACAAATGCTGATTTCGATAGTGATGATTCAATTTGTGGAATACCAAAACCTAGAAAGTAAGATATCATTTAAAGTTTTATTTTTTCATTTTATAAGAAAATCATATCTAGTTGACAGCAATTATGTAAATATATATATATATATATTGTTTTCAACCTGTATGTTTTTTTTAACCATCATCAAATTAGACCAAACTGATCCTGACTTTTTGAATACATACTGCTTTATTTTGCTGTGTTCAATATGCTTGTAATGCGCATTAATAGTTTTTTTTTGTGTATATCTGCATCCCCTTGATTTCTTCCCTTGTTGAATGTAATATTGCATTTAGTTCAACATTGCTGCCCAAGTATGCATGATAATTATATTTATATACGCAAATAGATAGATATACGGCAATGTTTTTATCCACGTTTTAACCTTTGCTCAGGTGATGCATTTGTAGCATGCATTGATGTGCTTGGTTTTTTGTTTGATTGATATCAAACTTGGCTATGTCACATAAACATATATTATTTTGCTGTCAACTAGATAGGCGTTCGGAAATTGATCATCAAACAAAATCAATTCGTCTTCTCTTCCTTGTAGGACCAATGGACGGTAAATGAATATGTACAACAATACAATGCGTCTCCATACTATAAATTACAATATCTTTTTCTTCCTTATCTTTGTATTTTTACTTTCTTTAATGTTATATCAATCGGGCCAGTATTTATTTATACGTCTGTTTTATATAATGACAAAACAAGCTACAAAAAAAACAATTTTTTTTCTTTCTTTAAATAAGCGTGCATTTTCAATTTTTATATCAAGATTTTTTTTCTTTTGTTATTGTGTAGTCTTTCAGAGTGCTCACTTTTTCTTTCTATTGACTATATATGAATATATTTTATTTCATTAAACATTTTTCTTATCTAAGATCCATGAGAAAAATATGTAGTGTTGATCATCGTTCACTTCATGTCTTTGTTCATTTTTCTTTTTTCTTGTTTTTTCATGTATTGTCGGTCTAATTTGATGATGTGACAATCAATTACCAACAAATGACATTTAAATGCAGAAAAAATTGCTTATCTTACTTTTAATTTGTAAATAATTAGAGTATTTACATATTTGAACCAGTATGGACTAAATTTAGGCACATACGAAATCCTATCCATATGGTATAAAGATTGTTGATATACAATGTTAATGCTCCCTACCCGTCAACATTTACATCACATATAACCAGTTCTATCTAATACGCGTACTAAATCTTATTAAGTTGAAAACATAAACAAGTACCAAGATTCAAATCGTTTTCAAACTGAAAATTAAGAATCATTTTCATTGATGCATTGAATCTATTATATTCCTAAATATTTCAGTAATAGAATAAGAAATAGAAAAACAAAAACAAAATGTATATTTATTAGTAGACTAGTTGGTAACTATACACAAAAGAAAATAATGCTAAGGTCAAATATTTTGTCATATATATATATATATATGTGTATAATTGTTCGATAATCCATGAATATACGCATCTGCTCCCTCACATAGGAACAGAGAGATTCGTCCAAGTATGACATCTGTGTTTTTCTTAATTGGTCTGCATATATATATATATATATGTGCTGACATAAATGAAACAGAGTAAAAACCTGTACACTATTCCCATATTAATAGAGTAGATCTTATTTATGTTAGAAGGTCTATCGGTTCTCATATCATACAAAGTTCCTTAATTGTGAGGATATTTCTTTTATTTCGTGAAAATCTTCTAATAAAAATAATTTATTTAAACATACATGCATTACATTAATAATGTATGCTCATATTTAGTTCGACTTCATATTATCAAATGAGATAATTAGTGGCAGATAACTATGAAATTTTTATACATGCATGACATCATTGCATAGTTTTCCTAATATTCACACTTCTAATTGTGTCGCTGTAATTCAAGTGACTAAAGAAAATTAAAAACAGAAAACCTCATTGTAAGAAATCATACATGCAAGGACTATTCTCAAATGGCAAATAACTTAAAAAGTATATTGACAATAGGAAGAAGAAGAAAATGAGAAAAAAATATGGAGATGCTTATAGTATATATATATATATGTATGTGTGAATGACGTTTGTACTCTACTCCTCCACCTACCATCATCTTTTTCATGATGGAGATATTAATGTATTGCGTTTATCAAAAAGGACTACTATACGATATATGTACATATATATATATTTGTACATATATATGCCTATGTGTGTTTTTGGTTCTCATAGCTTCGTCATCTCTATCTCTCATCACTCATCATTATATGCAACAAAGTTTATATAATCAAGGAAAGAACAGAACTATTGATAGCATATATTGTTCATATTTTTTTTCTACTAGTCTCTTTCGTGATAATACTCCTTTCTTTATATCTCTTGACTTGATATTTTTTGCACATTTTTTGCATAGCATCAATAGCATCCGAATCAAGTCCATTATAATTGTCTCTTTTCCTTTGTTGACTGTCTTCATATAATCAAATAATAGACTAGCAAATATAGTACGTACATGTATATACTGTCGTATCTACTCCAATGAAATAAAATAGATAAATTCAAAGTGAAAATATAGCAAATTCTTGTATTACCTACGAGTATATAATTACGATCAATTCATCATGGGAGCGTGGTATGTATTATAACGTTGTTATTCTATAACTGAATAAATTTAGCTATCATGTCTTTTAACATTCATTTGTCTCGCATACATATATATACGACAGGATGTGTATTATTTTAACAACAGTTGTGCCTTGATGTTTATTAAAAATTTTTCCTAAGCTGAGAGAAAAAAAGTAAATAAAAAAATCGAATAGAAAATGTCCATACATAAAATGAATCATACTGATTTTTGTTTTGTTTTGTCTTTTTATTTAGGCTTTGCAGTGGCTCAAAAGATGCCCTTAAATCAGAAAAAATATTTCTTGGTAAGCATATTGTTGTTTTTTTTCTTCTATTCATTTATGGTTGAATTTAACTAGAGGATATATAGATAGATATCATACATAGTTGAGACCACCTACACAAACATCTTGTACAAAGGGCATTCAACCCTGAGTGTTATCGCAAGAAGAGATCTCTTGCTTTGCATACGTCTAACTCTGTCATTCATCTGGTATTTTTTCTTATACTGAGAATGTAAATACTCTGTACAGTTTCAGACGTTTTGTTACAATTACATGTCATAAACATGAAGATCATTAGCTAAAAAACAATATGGAAGGACAAAGATGGATTGAAGCATTACGGCCTGGCCAATATAGCGTAAACAAGTACATTATAATAATAATAATAATAATAATAATATAATAAAAGAAAAGCTAGCTAAGTGATGAAAACTCTTATTCTATATTATTGTGTAGCTATGAGATCTCAGTACTCGTAAGGTTCTTCTTCTTCTTTTCCCTTTTTGCCGTTATCCATATGTGAATAAGAACATGATAGAAAATACTTCAGGCTGTGTCAACATAATCATACCAACCGAACTCTTTCATAACAAGGACATTTTTATCTGAAAAAATAAAACAAAATCTGTAAATAATGCATTTATTATTTTGATGAGCTCTAAATTTTTATTTATTTGGAATAAATCTAACTTTTTAAAATAAAACCGAAAGTCTATCACATAAGCAGGCTATTTTTATATTTAATCTTCTAGCTGTCATTTGCCCCCCGCAAAATTATTTGATGGTAACTACTCTACTATATTAACAAAAATAGAATGTTAACTGTAATTATATCCCACGTAATATGATGAAAAACCTTGGAAAAGGTAAACACTAGTATTTTCTCATCTACTACAAATAGTAAAAATGGCTTATTGATATTCGGTGTCATATATACGCCTATATATATATATATATATATGAGGTACCACGTATGTAAATGAATAAGTTTGCTGATATTTCTAATCCTATCAGTTGATGGCACAAATTATATTACGCTGGGTCATAAATTCTATTAGGTTTTTTCTCTTCGTGTTTTCGTCAATATTGTCTCTCTGACTCTTATACTAGAAAAGTATTTTTCTCCTTTTTTGCATATTCGCAACGATTTATTTGCGCTCTACGTTACCCCTTACCCGGGTGTTATCCTATCGACTATAGTCGAAAGAATTGCTTGTCATTCGCTTGTTTTCTTCCATTCTTCATCGTTGTCAATGCTATTACGACATCAACTGTTGTTTTATCATTAGTATACATACATTTTCTTGATATAGGTTCTTCACTACCAGGAAAAAACCGTTCTATTAGTGCACAAGCAATATCTGTTCGCGATATTGTTAACAGTGTTACAAGTACTGGAATTACAAATTCTATTCGTAAAGATGAGATTACAATCGACCAAATTGATCTGTTGGTCGAAACAAGTCCTTCCATACCATTGTCACCTGTAATAATAACAACAACAACAACAACAGCAGCAGCAGCAGATATAAAAAACGGAAGATTAAATATAATGGAACGAGAACAGCAGTCTGGATCTTCATTTGGTGAATCTCAGTTTTATGCAAGAACACCCATTACACCCACTACAAAACGATATGATTTCATCTATCAGAAATCTGATGAAACTTATTCAGCACCTATAATTGAAGATACACTTCACGATGCTATCGATGATCTTCACATAAATAAAGATCAAATAATTGGCGTTAGAGGTAAGAAAACTTGAGTGAGTTTTTTTTTTTTGAGGGATAGATTTGTCATGTTTGAAAAGAATAAAATAAGCCGTCAATGTCGAGTATGCCATTGTCGATCACTCGCGCATCGATTCATTCACAAGAGCATCAACTAATTTAACTACTCTGAGTGTGTCTGCAAATGGTGACCCTCATTTTATTTTCTCTTTTCCCTTTCTCTTGTCACGTACACTCGACGACGACATACGATCATAAAACATCCATATGTTGGACACAAATTAGTACTCGACAAATAGGCATTGTAGTCTTTTTTTCTTCTTTCCTTTTCCACTATTAACAATGCACAAAAAAGTCCTTGTTTGACCTTTTTTATTTTTTATTATACATAGATATGCCAACAAAAATTTACACAAATTGGAATCCTTCATATGAAGAAGAATATATAAAGCTTCCTATGCATAATCAAGAATTATTGATTGTTGAACCTACTGACGGTAAATTTATTTCGTCTTTTGTCGTTTTAATTTTAATTGAAAACAAATTTTTATTCAGTTTATATTCAAAAACATTGTCCATTAGAAACTAAAAGAGCAACAACAAAAATATCATCGAATACAATAGTTTCCCATGCATTTCAAAGTCCTCAGTCGTTTTATGTAGAAAGTGAATTTCGTAATGAAAAATTAGCAAAACCATCGTTGATTCGTCCATTAAAATCTTCGATTGAAAAAATTCAACACGAATTTGACGATAATAACGATCCGTCAACATCAAACACAAATCGTTCCGTACATTTACCTATTGATAAGCACCGTAGCCTTTCAGAAATTATTCGAAAACGTAATAGTAAATATAAGGTTGAAGATTATAAACGTTCATTTCAAAAGTTTCACACATTCGACGAGCAAGAATCAGAATATCAACGACCATTAACTTCGTCAAAAAGTGAACATGCTTTATCAAGTCATCAAATATCAATTTCTAATGGGAGTCCCAAAGAAATCAAACGTCTAACTAAAACAAAATCAGTTGATCTACCATGTGAATATAATAAAGAAACAGAAATATCTATGGAGAAATCTGAGCCAAATACTAGTAGCAATGATTTTGAACAAAATATTTCTAACGAGTATGTAATTAATGCTTATTTAGGTGTCGCTTATTAGCAGTCTTAGAATTTTACCTACGAAATTGAGCATCCAATCAATACTGTTTTCTTTCTTTTGACAGCTATTTTCAAATGCATTTTCTCAATTTAGGAATAGCAAACTGAAAGAAAAAATGAATGTTGCCGCTGCAAGAAATCTATTTGAAACATTTTCAAAAGATGTACAAAGCGGTCATCGTTTAACACGTTCAAAATCATTTAAACAAGAAAAGTAATGAACAATGATTTCTTTCTTTTCTTTATCGTAAATCTATAAACAAATTTATTGTAGTTCTTCATTTTTATACAACGAAATCAAATCTCCACCATTAACGAAACCCTACAGTAGCGAAAGACACCGATCTAAAACGGAAAATATAGTTCTAATTCCGACAGAAATTGATGAAATTTCAGTAGAACATAGCGGTGATAGTTTTGGTGATGATACATCAAAATTAACATTTAAAGAAAAAATGATTCTATTTAATAAATCGAAAAATTCTGGATTAGCATTATCATCTTCATTAAAAGCTAATCGTAATCGCCTTACCCAGGTATGTTATTTATATATAAATATATAGACATACATTTGTATACAAATCACACTCGACATTGTTTTTCTATGACTAATATTGTTCGCCTACTAAATCGTGTGTGGGTGCGAGCTAGATGTGTGATTCAAGAAAAGAAGAGGAAGAAGAAGAATCGTCTACCATTTACATTCGATGCATCTAACTGATAAAAAAAATTTCGTTTTCATTTGTTATTTTAGCCAATAACAGCTGAAGAAGTTCACGCAGCCGAGGATCTATCTGCTGAGCCATCGCCATCGCCAACACCAAATTCAAAACAATTATCAACAACAATAACAACATCACCAATCGGTATTTATATTTGGGGGAAAAAAAGAACAATAATTTCTGTACCATTTATTTTGAATGCTTATATAGTAAATGAAAATGCTTTGTTGCATGATAATTCTTTATCATTATCATTAAATTCTTCGTCGGAGGACAGTTTTCTTCCAATAATATTGACCCTTGAAACAAATATTTTACAAGAAAATCGCTTTGATGACGAGCATGTTAAACATTTATCTATGCACAATACTGGTATGTTTTACTTTAGACTTTTGTTTTATCTTAACTATTGTCAACACCTTTGCTTTACATATGATATATCTGTCTATCAACGCTGTCTCATATCTTTTTGTCTTTATTCATATATGAGCCTATTTTTGTTTATTTAGACGATACAACAATGTTGAGTACGGAAGAAGCAGAAAATATGATACCTGTGAGCAAAAGGTATGTAATTCAATAAAACTATTGTTGTCAAAATATGAAGCAACATTGCTGTTTATAAGGCTCGAACAATTAAAAACGCATGGTGAAAATGAATGGAAAAAACGTATTAAATCACCCAATGATGCCAATGAATTTACTGTGGAAGGAAAACTTCGGCAAGCAGGTATGTTTTTAATTAATGGAATCTCTTTCCATAATAGATAAACAAATGTCTTTTTATTTAGGAAAAGTTTCGACACTTACAGAAGAAGAAAAACCAATACCAACAACTGCGCGTAGAGGTCCAACATTAAAATATAATGCAAAGAAAACGAATAATGATCAAAAACAACGTGCTAAAACTGTTGATGTTGTCCGTCTTAAAACTGGTTAGTAAAAATGATCTTTTGATATCAACTATTTCCTTTGCTTTCCTATGTTCATCCATACCACATAGGTCTCTAACAGTAGAAAAAAAAATGTATTGACCTCTTTTCTTTCTTTTTTGCTCTTTGTCTCTCACATATTGTGCGTGACTTGTGCCATTCTTCAAGTGTTGCATCATCATTAATAGTACAATGGTACCACCAATGTCTGCTGTCGTCCCATGCATACTATTTGAAAGTTGTTCGTTCGTCTACACTAATTCATTTACTATTTTCACACACACACACACACACATCTAGTTCTCTAACTATAAATGTCATTCATTGAGTTAAATTGAGCTGCACTCGAATGATGGATTGGTGCGTGTGTGTGTGTGTGCTTCCTGACTTTGGATGAGACATTGCGCCAATAAGAAATATTTTATAATCATTTCTAGTTATCCAGTTTCCATTGGCAAAAGATACAGATAGTATGCTAACGCTTGTTTTCTGATAACTGAACGTCTACTGTCTGTATCTCATGAGAGAAAAAACGCATTGCTTCTTGCATAATACAATTATCCAGCATAAACAATAACGTGAGAGCAGAGAAAGAAGTTATTCTCTTATTCACTCTCTTTTCTCTTCTACGTCTTCTTCTTCTTCTTCTTCTTCTTCTTCTATCCAACTCAATGCAGGCAGGCAGGCAGGCACACTTCCTCGACTACTCATCATCGTTCTCATCCTCATTCTTGCTGTATTCATCGACATCAACGTACTATTCTTGTTCTTCTCTCTATCTCTGTCTCTCTTCTTCCAAATACACACACGTATATACATCTTTAGATTGAATCCTCACTTTCTCCTTTCTCGACAACATTCTTCCTAACCAACTACCTACGAACAAAATAGATCATAAGATGACATAAAGTTATGATTGATAGTATTTGAATATATACATTTAAAAGTTATTATTTATTGACAAAAAATAGTCAAAGGTGGATTACATTTTTTTTTAAAGATGTGACAAAACACATATTTTATTATTATTGCTATTATTACCATTAGTATCACTCGCATCATTGTATGACAAATAACAACAACGACTAGGTGACAAAAAATAAAATAAAACAGTTTGAGTATTATGGGACAATGTGTGGACAAAGATGTTACTATTGAAGAACACGACGAGAAGACAAGTACATGATCATTTGTTCTGTTGAGGATTTTCTCTTTTTCTTGCCTTTCTTTTTATCCTTGAAAACACATGATGAACACATACAGATGTTCACCTCGGCTTCTTTTGTTTTATATTTAGAATCGATCGTTAAAAACAAGGACACAATTGACATATCTCCATCCAATAATAAAAGTAATGAAATAAGTATGAATAATTTTTAAAAGAATAATCATATTTCGATTAAATATTCTAATGAAATCATTTTAAATAGCATCAAAAAAATCAACCAACAACAATAATGTGATTTCGATATTGAAATCGGATCGAGTATCGGTATTAAAACCTGATGATCATCTTGATGATTTTTTTGCTGATACAAAGAAAAACTTGCCAAATGAATCAACAGTTCAATTAAATACTGATGATCTTAATCATATTGCTGAAAATACTGTCAGGTAAAATGAAAATCTATCGAATGACAATTAACTGACGTGTTTTGTTGTATTTTAAATTTTATTAGATTACAATCACAGCCAACTCGTGTTCGACCACCTCGTCGTCAACAACAAGGCAATAAAAATCCTCTTCGCCAAATTCAAGCAACAATACCAACAGCTGATGAATACACAGAAGTGCATACAAATCTTTCAGAGCAAGAAGTTCGTCGATTGAAACGAGCTCAAAGTAAGAAGAAGAAGATTTCTAATCAATTGGAATATGCTGATTTTCAGTAGTGATTTTTTTGATATTTAATTGAGTATCGCTTAATCTCATCGTTCTCTACTATCTGATAAAAACTTGTCATATTAATATTATCTTTTTAATTTATTTAAAAAGAAATTGAATTAAGTTGAGATAAGGTAATGATTGCGAATAGTCAAGTAAATGTCAAAACTTATTTGTGATTAGTATTTTGAGTTTTCGACCTATGTCCTTAGTTTTGCTGAGTTTTTCTGATAATATTCACGATTATCTCATAATAATCGAGTTATGATTGGCTGTTACACAAAGCATATAGTCTGTTAAATCTGACTTGAGACGGGCCCGTCGGCTTCTTTTTATTCGAGTCATCAAATAATTCAATAGTAAGCCAGTCTAAGAGAATATTCGCAAAAGCGTCGATTATATTTTGATGAAGAGTTATTCTAAAGAAAAACTAATCTTCAATCGAAGAAAAACGTTTTTTTACTATATTTCATTTAGATAGTGAAATATCTCCGATGAGAATTAATATTCATCATGCGTTTGTATATGCCCCTAATGATATCGTATGTCTGACAATCATTATCTAATAGATAATCTCTATACAGATTGTGCTATAAAGGTTTATGTTACAAAGAAAAACAGCTAGAAGAATAACAAATGGTTATGATATTGATAACAAAACTCGATACAAAAACTCTATTTTATTATCATACTTTTTTTCTCTTCGAACTGCTGATTTATTTATTCAGACTGTTTACCGATAGAAATATGTTATCTCTTATTTAATAGTATAAATAGCCCGGAAATACATTAGCACTCAACAATTAACTAACTCAATACTTAAAACTGATATGTATTACATAGTTTTTATCCACTCGGAAGTTCAATATTTTTATTATGAATTTTTCTTTCATAGTTGCTGAAAATGCTGGTCTAGCTCAAGAAGCTTTAGCTGCTTTAGCAGCAACAGAAAATTTTGCTGAAATTAACTTACGTAAAATTGATCGTTCAGCATTAGCAACATTTGGCTTCGAACCATATAAAGATTTAATGTTAATATTAATAAAAGGACGTCGTCATTGTTCATTACGTCTTGTCAGTCCATCATATGAATCAATGAATGAAGGCGATTGTTATTTATTAATAACTCCATCAAAAGTTTTTGCTTGGCTTGGTCGATATGCCAATGCTTTAGAAAAAGCTAAAACAATGGATATTATTGATTTCTTAAAGCAACATCGCGATTTTGGTTTACGTAGTGAAGTTAAATATTTTGTATTAGATCACGCAAATGATGACACAGAAAATGATATACATGCTGAATTCGCTGATATTTTGCGTACGCATCACAATGAATTTAAAACAATCGACCATTCTATAGATGATGACTTTTATGAAGCAAATATAATGGAATTAAATCGTGTTTATCGCTTAGATAATGATATGCTCTTGCCACTGGATGATTTTTGTTTTCGTTCATTATCAATTAAAATTCTTGATTCAAACGATGTATTTGTCTTTGATTTTGGCTCAGAATTATATGTTTGGAATGGAAAACATGCAGATAAAAATAAACGTAACATGGGTCTACAATTAGCACAACAAATATGGAATGATTCGTATGATTTTTCAGAATGTTTAATCAATCCATTTGATCCACTCGATGGTAAGTGTATTCATAAACATGAAAAAGAAACATTGAACAGATATTCTACTCTGTTTTGATTATGAGTAGAAATTTGTTTATGTTGAATGAGATCTTTTGACCATGTCTATGAATATTTAAAATAGTGATCCTTTCAGCTTCAGTCAAATTAAATGTAGTTATAAGGAGTTCGAATCGAAAAGAATCTGCTTTCTTGATTTATGTTCATTCGCTTCACTTACAATGTAATCTGAGTAGATTTCTACATAATACACTATTTGTTTTCTCGAACAGAAATCCACAAAAGAGAATTTACTAAGTGTAGAAATGTATAGATTATCAACTTTTTAAATTTAATCGGTTACGATTACGAACTAAGTTTTCCCATAAATTTATAATCTAAATTATGATATTTTCGTTTAGAAAAAAATGATGTTACAACTCAAAAAGGCACTAAACGACCAGCATGGTGTATATTTGGAAAACAGAATCAAAATGTTGAAACATTATTGTTTAAAGGTAAATTTTATGATTGGCCTGGCGATCTTAAAGAACTTAAACCGATTAATGATGCTGCTAACAGTGTTAATCGAATACCATCAGCAAGAAGAGTATGTTTTTCTTTCATAATGATAATTAATTCAGTGAATTACTGTTAACATATCTTTAGCCTCCATCAATTGTTGAAATGTTGAAACCAGCAGATGTAAATAAAATGCTTATTAAACAAGATATCCCAGTAAATATGATACTTGAACAAGCAAGTTTAGGTCGAGGAAAACATTGGTTTGTATTATTTACATGTTTTACATACAACTAATTGTTAAAATACGATTGAACTTTTTCAAGGTATGATCCTATTGAATTACGTGGTCATGATATTCAAACAATATCATTAAATGTTTGGCATGTTAGTGAAAATGAACGTTACGAAGTATCAAAGTCAAGCTATGGACAATTTCATTCAGACGATGTTTATATTATTCGATGGAGATATAAATTAGTTGCATCAGGTAATAAATAACAAAATAGTAGCTTCTTTTAAATTCGTCAGTGAATTTCAAATAGGTTTTCATTCAATAACAACTGGTAAAGCATCTGTAAGAAAGACCGATACAGGTCGTGATCGTGTTGCTTATTTGATATGGCAAGGTGTGAATGCAAGTCCAAATGAAAAAGGTATTTCAGCTTTAATGACAGTTTTTTTGGATGAAGAAAAAGGGCCACATGTAAGTTAATGTGTTGATTTTATTTTCAAATGGAATCTATGATTGTATTATTTTATTCTCTAGATACATGTTATACAAGAACGTGAAGAAGCCACATTCATACAATTATTTGATGGTACATTTACGATTCATATGGGTAAACGTAATCAATCAAAAGAGAGAAAATCCCATTGGCGTCTTTATGTATTTCTTGGTGAAATTGAAGTAGAAAATCATTGGTGGGAATTACCGATTGATAGTACAAATTTACGTAGTCGAACATCATTTTTATTTATTGATAATGTAAAAAATATTATGTTACTTTGGCATGGTTGTGGTACGACAGATGAACAAAGATTTTTAGCAAATAAATCAGCTATGAAATTACGTGAGAAGTATGTTGAATCTCTTTGTTAAGTAAAGATTTTGTTCTTTAAAATTCATTTTACCTATTTTCTTAGACGCCCAGAAGAATTTCATTTTAATTGTGAGCGTGAAGATATTGAATTTTGTGAAATACAAGAAGGTGATGAAATAGATTTATTTTGGACTGCAATGAATGAACGAACGCAACAACGCAAATATTATTCTTTATTAAATGGTAATATTTACATGAATTTACATATATTTAATTACTTTTCGACTTAAAACAAAATAACTTACCGAAGCTTTGTTTATCAATTGCAATACACTAGATGAGATTTGTCTGTCGATTTCATTAATTGAAAAATCTGTTCGATATACACGATCATAAAAATTAGTATGAGAAAATGTTGAACTATCTGATTCATTGTGTTCGAATAACTTAAATTTTTCGCTAGTAGCAGAAAATTATTGAAAGAGGTCGTCTGTTTTTTTTGGATGCGAATGGCGCAGAAAAAATTGGCTTGCTAGTTATGCTCATATTTTTACTGGAGAAGTATGTAAGTGCATAATTGCAATCTTTTGAAAAGCAAAATCATTAACTTCTAAGCCAAAAACTAAAGTTCTTCAGTAGAAACATTTTAACAATGCTGTTTTTCTTAATATTTTTGTTCCATAAAAATGCCTCAAAACACAACGATTTGATGAGTTTAAACAGTGTTCTACGAGAAATAGTACTTTGAAAATTCTAATCAACACATTACGTTTAATAATCGAAATAGTTTTGGAGAAAATAAGATATCTCCAAGTTCCCTTCGATCTATCTTCACGAGAGTGTACTCATTCTGCAACAGGGTGCAAAGTAGAGAACACTGAACTCATATATATATATATTCTCACAGAAACAATAGATAACAAATTTTTAGGAACATTCTACGATGATGACGGTTCGCTAAGAATAGAATGAAGGAAGCTCGAGTACTTGGTTTTTTCGAAACATCATCCCAATCTCTTGTTATTAATTGCGCAAGTATCCATATTGATCAAAAATTGTGTCAGCTTATCAAGTCTTCTCTCTGATCTGTTATTATTGAAAAAGAAACAAGTTTAAAATACTTCTATGTCTAATACTCGTTGTCTTCGTTTCATTTTGTTAACTCTTGGATTTTGTTTTATAGCACGGTCAAATCAAAAACTAACTGCAACTATGCGTATATTTCATTTATCAAGTCTTCACGGTCCATTTGTTGCTCAAGAACTTCTATATCCTCTGCGATCTCCTGATCATATAGCCGCATTTCCATTTACTCAAGCAGATTTATATGAACTTCATCAACCAGCATTATGTTTAATTGATACTGACAAAGAATTATATATATGGCAAGGATGGAACGATCTATCTGACGATGAACTTGACATACAACTTAATAATGCTAATTTACAAGCTGGGTGTCCAAGAGATATGCGCTTCACGGCTGAACGTCGTTGTGCATTTCGTACAGCTGTTGAATATTGTAAAGGTAAAACTATTTTTTTTAAATTTAATTTAGATTCGAATGAAATCATTTTCCATATGGTCTTTAGCAAAACCCGGTTCAACTACTGTTGATTTAACTTGTTCGATAGTATACGCTGGTTTAGAACCAATTGATTTTATTAATTTATTTCCTAAATGGACAGTTAATATGAAAGCTCGACAACAAAATCAATTGGTTAGTGTCTACTTTTTATTTTATATTAATTCAACTTTTTCATGGAAACGTCTTTTTTCATATTTTTAGGATGGTAAAAATTTAAATCAAAAAGATTCAGTTTCTGATATACTTCAACATTTATGTCGCGAACAGTATAGTCTTGAAGAACTTCGAACTCATCCATTACCCGAAGGTTTGATTCAAAAATTTTTAAAATTTAATTTTAAAACAATAAACTTTGCTCTGCTTAGGTGTTGATCCATCGAAAATTGAATTCTATCTTTCAGACGACGATTTTCAAGTAAGATTATTTGTCTGTTCATCTTCAACTAATGTTTCTTTTATATGTAATTTTTTAGAAAGAATTTCGTATGACAAAAGATGAATTTTATGCTTTACCATATTGGAAACAAACAAACATTAAAAAACCACTTGGCTTTTTCTAAACCATAATAATAATAATAATAATAATAATATATGTCGTTCTTTTTCTTTGTTCAATCTCAAATAACGTGCCATTTTTTGTTTATATAACATGAACTTTTTCGTTTCGTTCTTTTTTCTACTTCCACCAGATAAATTCGTTTAAAATTTTACAAAAATGTTGTTTTTTCTTCGATATTGCAATTGATATACTTTTTTCTTGTTGGCGAATGATCATATTTGTGTGTATGCGTGTGTGTGTGTGAGTGAGTATGTACTATCTGTTATATATACACAATTTTTTCCTTTCTTTTTTTTTTTTGTCAACTGTTGAAACTTCTTTTTCCTTTTCTCATACCGCTTCTAAAAATCTAACACATATCTTCTGCTCCCTGTTTGTTTGTTTTACATCTATTTTTTCACTCTACTTCGTGTGTATCAGGATTGTTGTCTTTACAGCAAACAATAAGAGTTCAGTTTTCTTTTCTTTTTCTATTTTTACGTATGTGAAACAAATATGAGATAAAATAAACGAAATATCTACGGAAATGTATATAAGAATTTCCAAATAAGAATCTGATTAGTTATTTTGATAATTATGTCGGTATAATATACAAAATGAAAATATCCATTTTAAAATTATTTCTTATGTAAGATTTTAATGCCTGGACCAGGCAAAAATGATCATGTACTAGCTCTTCAATAAGTAAGAATAGTTTCAAATGTTGACAACAATGGTTGGTTACGAAAAGCAAGATTTTCGATCGAGAAATGCACACAGTTCTAACTTATCATAGGAGAAATCATTGATTTATCATACTTGATAAAAGTTTAATTAAAAAATTAGAAGCATTAATTAACATTGACGGAACCAGCAGTGGGAAGATTTCCAAAAAAGGAAATTTCCTAGCTAAATGTCCATATTTCTGAAACTAGAAGGACGGAAAGTTCAAGTTTTAGAAAATATCAGAAACTTTCGTAATTACCGCAATATTATTCATCATAAGCCAAAATCAAAATTAAGTCATTTCTTGGAAATTTCCAGGTATTTACGGAAATTTCTATATTAATATCGTATAGGTTCAAGAATAAATCTATATACATATTTATTCTTAAACCTATACGATATTAACATAGAAATTGTAGTATTTTCCGAAATCGACGCGAAATTTCTCTTTGTATGTGAAGCTAATTTCAGAAATTCCCAGGATGCTTTGTTGGATGATATTTGAAATTATGGTATTTTCTGATAATTTTATTTTGCGCGTAATGGCAATTTCGGAAGTTTCAAGGAAATTTCTGTGGGCACGCTTGTGTGTCTTTTAATAGTGTGACAGAAATTTGTTATGTTCTGAAATTTTCTTTTTCTGAAATCTGAACATACCTCAAAATGATAAACTGTTACATTTCTCATTAGATCTCTGTTCAATATAGAAGGCAACTTGACAGATCGCCTGACTAATCAGCCTGTCTGAGTTGTATATAAATAACAGTTCCATATCTAATGCTTTTCTTTTATCTTAGGCATTAGTCAAATGAAGCGTTGATTGGCAAAAGAAAGATTTTGGCCATCATTCTCACAGTACTGCAATAAGATTGATCAGTGTAATTCTTTTGTTTTGTAGTTTAAATTGAATAATAAAGTTCAATGAAGGCATTCAATTCGACAAGTTTTTCCAAGCTGTATTGTAAAATTCATATAGGAAAATTTCGATATTCTGGCTCTCATTGATTAGTATTATTCGAGACTACATATTTGGCGTTCCGTGACTTTTTCATCATTGTCTTTAAAAGGTTGCTTTTGGATTTAGTAACATACGTCAATATGTATCATACTAATTATAATATTACTTTTGCAATTTAATTTTAGTCAAAATCAGAAATCGTTTATGTTCTTTTTTCTAGGCTATGTTTTAGTGAAGGTCAAAAAAAGGAATTTTGATATATTAAAACAATAACAAAAAGGAAAATTATTGCTCGATACAGCACCTATATGCCAAATAATTCAAAAGAATGATTCATTGGGAAAAAACAATATGTATATTTTTTTTTATATCAAGGTTTTTTTTACTATACCTATACAAAAAATATACGAAGAAATCGTAAAAATCATTTTGCTTTTGAGGCGACAGAATTGACATAAATATTAATCAATGCTATGCAAATCATTTCAAGTGTGATATTTTTGGTGTTTATTTTCACGACGTATGTTTGTTTCCACTGTTCGAATCGGTTCATTCAACTTACATCAATACGGAAGTTCTAAAGCAGCAGATTCTATTGTAACAGGTATTTATTATAGCTGATATACTTAACGATTTCGATGTAGCTGCAATTCAGGAAATCATTGATGTTACTATGAAAGCTACTTATATTTTACGTGACTCGTTAAATAAACGATCGCTATCAAGACCATATTCAATGGTGTTAAGTGGACATGTTGAACGTTCAACATCAAAAGAGCAATTTATATTTTTCAATCGTGAATCAACATCAGGAGTTAAACTTATTGATAATTATCTTTATGATGATAAATCAAATTATTTTGAACGACCACCGTAATAGTTTTGTTCTACTATTTACGCTTTATTTTATGTTATTGTTCTAAACTAGTTTTATTGGTGCATTCCAAGTAACGAAAATGGGTTCGTCCCGAATTAAATATTTTACTATCATGAATGCTCATCTACGACCTACTTCAGCTTAATCAAGAATTAATTGACATACGTCATGTTATAAGAGATTTTATCCTTCAAAATCCCCAATATTTTAGTCAAACATCAACATCACTAGCTCAAGCTTTATCAGAAAATGTAGTCGATGCAGCAGCTAGTCATAAACCACGTTTAAAAACCAATCATCCGATTTTGATCGTGGGCGATTGCAATGCTGATTGTTCATATATTTCACTTACTCGTCAGCAATCACTACACAACGGTTTGTTTATATTAAAAGAAAAACTATCTCATGTTATTCATGTAAAAATATTTCATTTTAGTTCTATTAATTATGCTGATTTTGTCTGGATGATTAATAATCAAGTGAAAACAAATAAACGACAAACATGTACTTATGATCGTATACTTATTAATGATGATAAGTTTGTTGGAGCTATTGTACCAGGAAGTAATATAACAGTTAACTTTCAACAAGATTTTGACTTGAGACTAAATGAAGCACTTGATGTTAGCGATCGTTTTCCAGTTAAATTTGATATTCGTTGGTAATCAATAGAATAAAATAATCGATAAAAACGCAAAAATATTCTCAGTCTGAAAGAAATACAAGTACTTAAATAGAGTACTTGAATATAGCACAGTGGGGTATTTCGTCATTGTTGAGCATAGAATTACATTTTAATATAATGCTAATCTACATAAATATTCGAGGAGAAAAGTCAAGCGTTTAAATGCAAGAATCGAGTTAGTATTCAAAATATGAATTGAAGTCAAAATCATATTATTATTTTCATTTATTAACGTCAGCAGACAAGAATGTTTTCCATATCATTACTATCATTCGTGATATTAAACAAAATATATCGAATATAACTATCGTATTTGTTCATCTTTCAATGAAGAGACAAAACGTATTAAACAGTTCTACAATCATCATAAAACCAGAACAACAATTGTTGACACGATATTACAAAAAGAAAATAATTTTTACCGTGTTAATGTTTATGTTATTGATGATATGATTTTTGTGTACTCAAAACAAAAGTGAGTACACTATAGAATCTGTCAGTGTGTCCGGCCGTTTACACGATAACTCCTGAAAGGCTGATCCGATTATCATGAAATTTTGTACATAGCATTATCTCATCAATATCTCAGTCGAGTTCGAAGATGAAAGCAATCTGTCAAGAAATGGCTGAGTTATCGAAAAAATTGTCATTGTTGACCAAACCATCCCTGAGGGGGGAGGGGGGGGCACAGGGATTTTTTGAAAAAAAAAGTTTTTTTCTCAGAATTATTCACAACATATATAAATCGACTCAGTTTTTAACGCTGATTCCGAATATGATACTAGTTTTGAACTAAATCGTAGCTTTCTAACGAAACATCGCCTGAAAACGGTCTCAAAATGCACAAAAACTGCACCCAGAAACCAAATTGCCTAGTTTCTCATGGTAATTTTGGTGTTCAGACATTCTAGAATGACTCATATGTCCCATATACTTTTTGCAGTACACATAGCTCTCGGATGAAATCCGAAGTTTCCACATTTATTAATTTTTACTCATGAAAATTTCGTCTGCTTAGCTATACGATTATTAGTTTTGCTAGTTGTTGACGAGACTGTACCATCGAAATGGTCTTTCTTCTCTTGTTTTCCGAGTGGTCCTCGTTTTGATACTTTCATTATCATTATTTGTTCGATCTTCGAATGTTTTATCTTTTGTACTAAAGCTTTTTACTTGTTGCTCTACTATTTTATTGATTTTCAGTTAAATGTTCACATTCGGATAAATGCTATTTATCTTTAGCTTTATTATTATTCTGAGATTTTTTTGAGTTGATAAACTAGAAACTGTATTACTACCACCGATTGAGCCCTATCTATAGAAAACGGTGAACAGAAAAATGCCGATAAATGCGATAATTGTCATGATCATGGTCAATCACTTGACTATTTTCTGTAGTCTTGCTTACGATGGAATTTACTTTGAAGGTTTTTCATCGGTAGTGTATTTTCATTTTCCAATGTTGTCATTCCTTCTAGTTCTTGAAATAAATCAATGAAACTTATATAAATCACGTTTTCTATTCACCATATCTTATTCATGGTCAGCTTTTTTTTAATAGTGTTTTTATCACTGGTAACTAAGAAAAATTCCAATGAAAATCGACTTGAATTTCATTATTTAATAATTGACTGTTTCATTTCTGACTTCTTGAGAAGTATCGTGGGTTTAGACATTGTTATATTAGTCATGCCATGATTACGAGCAAATTTAACTTTAACTTTTTTATTTAGTAATTTATTTTCAACATGATAAAGCTTGACTGTTCTATTTTCAGTTCACTATTATCAGCTGGCTGTTAGAATCATGTTTTCTCTAAATAAATCCATTTTAAAAATTATTTCAGATTGAACTATCCTAATGATTAGTAGATTTTATATTAATATCAACTTCGCTTGTGACAGTAGCCAAGCTAACGCTTGAGTATTAATTCGTTTTGTTTTTGGTGACATTATTGTAAAATAAAAAGTAAAACGGTTAGGAGAAATGTTACTTAAACAATCAACTGATTATTATTTCATATCGAAGAATAATAATTTAATAAAATTTATTGAAGATAAAAAAGGACTTCTGTATTTATATGAATTAAATGCATTACGCTTGATGAAATGTGTTTTAAAAGTCGCGATTATGTGTACAATTCTCTTGCTCGATTCTGATTGCTCAACACACTTGTGCACCATTGAGTACGTGTATACGAATGGAAAGAGGATCACTAGGACAACTCCAAGGAGAATGTGAACGGAGGTACTGTTCTACTCTTGCGTTCATCCGTTCAACGTTCAATAACATGGCTAATACGAATAGTGTTCAAGGGCAAATGAATATTTCGGAAGAATTGAAGTCTGAAATTATTATACAATTAAAAATTTGTAACATAAACAATTTTCTGTCTGATTATTTTTTTCAAGGTTTACAAATGAACAAGCCGTGTTGAATAACGATGACCTACGATTTCGAAATCGTGAACAATTAATTGAAAAACTTGAAAGAGTCATTCAAGAAAAGAATGCTTCAATCGTTAAACTTGAAGAACGGTAAATAATTTTCAAGATATTTTTAATTTTGCATCATAAAAAACATTTCAGGGAACAATACGTAGAAGATACATTGAAAAAGCGAAATGCAGAATTTGTTACACTCGAAGAAAAATTAAGAAAATATGAAGAAAAGGTGAATAATCTGCTTTAGCAATAGAAAAAAAATTCTACTTTTTTGTTTAGACACATACATTTGAACAATTACATCAATTACAATTACAGACTTTTGAGAAAACAATACGAGACTGTCAAATTGAGAATGAACGTAAATATTTTAGACATTTTACTAGTCAGAATAAATATGTTGCATTTAGGTTTATGTGAAAATATACATGATCTAACAAGAGAATTACAGGGGAAAACTTCTTTAGATGCAATTAACCAAGAAAAAGTCCTAGTAAATGTTTTTGTTTTTTTCAAAAAATAAATATTTGCCATATTTATAAATTATTTCGTAGACATTCGATCGTATTGTTGCTGATACACAACTTTGGCGAGAAAAACTCGATTCATACAAAGCAACTATTGAACAACGAGAAAAAACTATTGTTAATCTTAAGTAACTATTTATTAAAATATGATTGAAAATTTTTCTATTATGTTGATTTAGAAAAGATATTGATGAATTACAAAGAAAAAAGCAATCAAGTGAGTCGATTTTCATTATATTGAAAGGATAATTTCATTTCTTTTTTCATTTAGTTACCTATTTTGAGGATGATTCATTACGACTTCAAATTACAAGTCTACAAAATGTAACTTCCGTTTATGTTCACTGTAAAGTGGGGTCTATTAGAGTAATGCTGAGCCTGGACACTAGTCAAGCGCGAATTCTACTATCAAAAGATCATTGTTACCACTGTCTGCAGTGACTTTCAAATTAACAAGTTTCGATAACATGAGTACAACGTTATACGTCTAAACATTTTGGTACCAGACACTCTTGTTTGAAGTGTTCTATATAGCTATAGATCGATGAAATACAGCTTTCAGTCCAATTATTTTCTCAGAATTCCTTGATAAATTCATTTTAACGATTCTATGTATTTTTAGAGTTTACGAGATCGTGACAATGAAATTAAACAATTAAAATTAACACTTCGACGTGTTCGAGATACATTACAACCTGTAAGTTGTTTCATTTAAATATATTCATTTATTCCTCAAAATTCTTCTTCTAGAATCATTTATCTCATGACAATCGTTGGAAAAGTTGTAGTGAAGATATTGGTCGAAATCAATGTGGATTGAAATCATCTGAGAATAGACGATCTATTTCTCCAGATATACGTGATTCATCTTCACCTATAGATATCGATTTTTTAAAAACAAAATTTCATACACTAACTGATCGTTTAAATAATGTTCAAAAATTACTTGTTAATCGTGATAATCAAATCATTACATTGAAAAAAGTTCATGACAAACGTTGGTTACGTCTTAAACATTTACAAAAGCAATATCGACTACTTAAAGATGAATTAAAATCTTATACGGATGAAGAAATCTTACAAGTGAATTCTAAAAATGATTTTTCTTATCGCAAAGCGATACGTAAAACAAAAAATAGCTGTTCTGTATGTAATGATCAACGATGGAAAAAACCAATAAAAACCAATAGAAAATTATTTAAACAAGAAGATGATGATCAAGTTTGGAATGAAGTTACAAAGTTCAGACGTGAACATGCCAGATTAACTAATAAAAAGTAAATAAATTCGATTTATTCTTCTTCTAAAAAAAGTTATGATTACATTTATGAGAAGTGTTTTTCATGTAAAATGGAGTTCATGATTTAGAAGCAAATGACGTAAGCATAGATGAACAGAGCAAGTATGGACGCAAATACTATAATGAGAATTCAATGTACTATACTGATATGTATATTACCGGAAGGTATTTTTTTTTAATACATTCTTGAATAAGCATATACAGGTCTATGTCATTCTACACTTCATCTGCTGTATATATTGGAAGAAAACGAGAAGCAACTTTGGTTATAAAACTTTCCATGAGCTTAATTATAGGCAATATCGACTGATGCTGTAACCTGTTTTCTTAAGGAAAATCAAAAAAATGTTTCTGAGGAAATTGAGTTATAGTTACACTGTTACCACCTATTGTCTATTTAGTTTAAGTTTACAAGAAAAAGTCGATATACAAGAAGTTGAAATAAAAGAACAAATAACAATAATTGATGAACTACGTAATGAAATACGAAGAGTCATTGATAAAGAAGAACAAATTCAACCGAAATATATACCAACATCGAATAATGATCAAACGAATCTCATAGAAAAACTTGATAAAAAACTATATGAACTTGAAACAGAACGAACATGTTTAATATTTGAAAATGAACGTTTAAAGACTAATTTAAATTTATGTATTGATGAAAAACAACATTTATTTGAACAAAAAATGCAAGTACATAATGAATTAAAGTCATTTAAACTTCGAATACTTGCATTACAAGATCAAATACATAAATTAAAACGAACAACTGCTCAACTAAATAATAAACCAGATTTTATACCAAAGTCAATATCAACAGTCAAACGTCGAATAATAAAAAAGAAATCAAAGAAACCGACAACAAAATCATGTTTAGAACTGTTGCTTGATCAAAATTCGACATTAATTGATGATCTTAACAATGAATCAATAATATCTTATCGAAGACGAAATCATTCATGTAGTCTTTGTGATCATTCAAATGAAAATTCATTTAGACAACATAAAAGACGATCATCAAAGTCATCAATAATACCAAGACAAAGATGTTTGTTATCAAAATCATTATATTTTTCTCAATATATCAAGTCTGTCTTTATTTTTTCTCTTAAGATGGAGCTTTGAAGAGAATTTCTATGACTACAAACCGCATTAATATTCCATTTACGCATTCGAATAAGACTCGAAAACCAAATATTTCTGTATCTATACCAAAAACTCCTTCAATTCGAGTAAATATCCAGCTAAACATGATTGATTTATACATTTTTCTTAACATAGATTTCAATGCTACGTAAACGCATCGAAGAATTAGACACTGACCTTGCCGATGCTCGACAAGAAAATGAACATCTTAATCAACGTTTAACAACAACATTAAGTCGAATTAATATTCTGAAAACATCAAATCAAGTCTGTAACATTTAGTTTTTGCTTGTCTACTTTCTTTTTGACTCTTTCAAAGAAACTTGCTGTTGAATGTGACAAATTCAAAAATAATCCTATGAATCAATCAACATCGATTAATCATGATTCAACAGGTATTATTGATACTAGTATCAATGTTGATAATTTATATGAACGTCTTAAAAATACTTCATTCGATGCTGCTCAACAACGTAAATTAAATAAAAATTTACAGGCAGATAATGAATTATTAAATAAAAACTTACAATCGCTAACTGAAAAGTAAAAATAAAACTGCAATATTATAGTTGTTTAAATCGCATGATATTGATTTTCTTAGATTAACTCATACTGAACGTGATATCGCTAGTAAACGATTATTAATTGAAAATTATAAAACTCGATTAAATGAAATTGAAACAAACCATAATCGTTCAAATGACAACAATGCTAATGAAGTAAGATTTACGAATTGTTCAGAGAAGTACGACAGTGATGATGTATCAACGATAGTCTTGGATAGATTTCAAAGTTTTCTATTGAGAAATTCATATTCAACAAATACGTAAATCTCATAGAAAGAAAATAATAGGTGCCTTTTAAGTTCGAAATTCGAATGGATAGGTGTTTACCTGAAATTCTCTCATTCAAGAAAGACTTTTATCACTTTTACTTCTTTATATTGCTTTAATTAATTCGTTGTTTACAATAGAATGATGATGAACGAGTTAAATCTTTAACTGAAACAATGGAAAAATTACGAATAAGTGTAAGTAATCTATTTATGACATAAAACACATTGATTTTATATTTTTGCATAGATCGATTCATATAAAAATCGTTTACAAGCAATTACGCGAGAAAAGCATGATCTTGATTCACGATATACTCAACTTGTTGATGAACATCAAAAACTTGTAAGTAGCGATTCTTTTTTATACGAAAATTTTCAATAAAATATAAATTATATTTTAATAGAAGATTCGTTTTGAAGATAATCAATCAAAATTACGTTCAAGTGAACAACAAATTCGACAAATTCGTCTTAGTAATGAACAATTAAATCAAGAGTTAACAACGTCTCGTCAATTATATGAACAACAATTAGTAACATTGAATACAAAAAGTCAAGATTCATTGAAAAAAATTACAACAGAATTAGATCGAACATTTCAACGTTTGAATGATTATGAAAGATTTATACATGTAAAGACTTCTTTTTCACTTTAATTTCAAAAACAAAAGCATTCTCCTCTTTAGGATCTTTTTCAAGAAATGATTCGACGAAGTACACAAATAAATGAGAAATTAAAACGTGCACGTGAACACCAAAAACAACGTGAATCATTATCAATGACATTACCTGGTTTCGATTCAGCTATGCATACAGCTAGTAAAATATTAAATTTAACTCAAGATGATCTCGATGAAATAATGTCAATTGCAGATGAAAGTTTTCAAGTAGTTTGTTTTTGTTTTTGTTTGTTTTATTTAATCATTTTATTTTTCTACAGACAAATGCAAAAGACGAAGGTACTGATAAAAATGAAAAAATTCGACAAAAAGTATCGAAATTACTTATTGCACAAGAACAATGTGCTAGTAAACTTTTGAAGGTATTCAGTAAAAAATTAGATGAAATACAAGCAACTGATCGTGAATTAGCCATGATTCGAAGCTCATAACTTAATTTCTTTATTAATACATTATTTAAAAAATTTGTTTTGGCTGATTTTTGCGTCATGGGGATAGATTTGCTCAGGTCTCTTTTTATAATAAATTTTTTTTATGCTTGTTCTTGATATGTATAAATAATCTCAATTAACCCATTTATATTTGTGTGTGTTTAATATGCGATACTATATGATCAATAAATTAGCTACAAACGACTAGTCGAAATAAATCGAAAAGACGCTTGTAAACAAATGCGTACAAAATGATGTTCAAATAGTTACAGAAAAATCAAATCTTAGAAATACTGTCTCAAATTTTCACTACAACGCAATATATATTTGTTAAAAATATCTCGAACAAATCATTGATTTCTATGAAAATTGACTATCTCTACAAAGGAATACACTATTCAGTTAAAGCTTGTCGAGTACTCCAAGAGTTACTTGAGCTAGCAGCTATTTAAGGAGGAAATATGCAAATGAAAAATTAAATAGAACGATCAAATATCGACCTTTGAGATTCATGATTGTTAGTATTTTTAAGTTTTTCTAGTTGTATTAAGAATTCTTTCCAGATTCAATAAAAACGGAAAAGGAGAGCTACAGGTCAGAAAGCTTCTTATGATTAATCAGAGATGGGCAAGTCAGCGTTTTCTCGACTCAAGTCAAGTCAAGTCAGTTTCTGAAAATTTCAAGTCAAGTCAAGTCATGAGTAGTTCAAAATATTTTCAAATCAAGTCAAGTCAAGTCTGATTTCAAGTCAAGTCAGACGTTTTCAAGTCAAATCAATTTGAGTCATAATTCATTCAAAAAATCATCAGGTGAAGTCATTTTTTGACTTGACTTGCCCATCTTTGATTTATTATTTGTATTTTTCTTCTACATTTCAAATTAGAGTTCAAAAATTCAATTGATAAAAGTTCTCTATACATATAATTTTTGACTTGACTTGAATTTCTCTGTACGACTTGTTGCAAGTCAAGTCAAGTCATGAGTGTTTACAAGTCAAGTCAAGTCAAGTCATAATCCATTCAAAAAAATCATCAAGTCATTTTTTGACTTGACTTGCCCATCTCTGTGATTAATGTTTCCATAGACTTTATCAATCAAGCTCTAATATACAATTTTCTCTGTGTGTTTAAGTTCCGTCATAGAATTGTATTTTACCATATGATCATAGCTTTATAAAAGTTAAAATTTTTACTTAAATCCATAATAAAGAGCTTTTATTACTTTACTTTATTTTCTCTTTTAATATACAGAAATAATTAATAAATAAGAGTACAATAGCCGCCAAAAAAAATTCGAACTACTGTAAGGGCCTTAAGGTCGTCAGTTATTGCAAAATAAAATAAAAAAAATTCGAACTCGTGGCTAATCAAGTGTAAAAATAATTTGTTTATCGTTCATTCAGTAACAATTAATTTATGAGTGCCATTAGTTAGATAGAAATATACAAATCAACCTTTAGTTGTAATGCCCTAGAATAAAAGAAAGAGTTTAGGAATGATTTTGAAAATTAATTCGATACTTACAGTAGAGCGACGTGCTCGAGCTTCTTCCTGTTCACTTTCTTGTAAAGCTTTTGCTAAGAGAAAATCGTTTTCTTCTTGTGTCCTATTTCAGAATAAAATGAATATTACAACTAAAAGATATCTTTTAAATATCTTACGTTTGATTCAAAGATAATTTAATTGCTAATGCAATTGATTCTTCGTCATCATCATCGTTCTATTATTCACCAAAAGAAGAAATATTATTTTGTACATTGACTTAAATCATATATTTACCGTTGGTTTTGAATCGCTTGATGAATTCTTATTAGTAACATTAACATTTGCCTTTTTCATACGCTCTAGAGCTGCAGCACTACAAAAAAAAAATAGTCGATTATTAAAATCAGATCAGAGAAAACTATAAAAATAAATAAATAAATTTTACCCAGCGAGATTCATCACTCGACCTGTGTTTTCAAATCCTGCACATTTATGATCATCAGGAAATCGATGTTTCAAACAAAATGTTTTCAAACATTTATCACAGTTAACTTGAATTGCTTCACGTTGTTTACATGAATTAAATGAACATCTATTTGAATAAATCTTTCGACGTTTTTTCATTGCTGGATCAGATTTGCAATGGCGATCGATATGATCTGACACAGCGTGATCAGGTGGTTGATCACGATGTTGTAATGGTACAGCTTGATTACATAAAGGACAAATAGGCACTTGAACATTTTTACGATGAGCTAATGGGCATTGATGTTCGTCATATTTGATGTGATCTTTACTTAAATTAACAAAAAAATGCGACTTTGAAGAACTCTAATTTAAAAGAAAATCAAGAGATTTTTTACCATAATATAGCAGCACAAGAATCACACTTCATCGGTAGGAAATCTAAGGATATATTTGAGAATGAATATTGATCAATATAAACAAGAAAGTAACATACCTAACCGATGGCAAGTTGTAACAGAACAATGTTCACCAATGTGTGGAAATTCCATTAGTGAGTGTTATATCAAGAAAGGTTACGAATAAATGAAAACAATCTGAATAGAAATGAAAATATAAATGAATACAAAAAAATGCCTTGTCATTATTTGATAGTTCTATTTTGATGAATCATCGGCTGATGAAGAATGATTCAGAAATCACGCGTAGCGCTACCAATCATGTCTTTTTTTTTGTTGCGTCTACTTATGAAAATTTTCTTTTCTTTAATAAACTAATTTTTGCTCATTATTTCTTATCGTTTATCTTTTCAATTGTTTCACTTTTAACAAACTAACCTTCACGAAAATACATAAAAATCAAAATGGTTACCAATATCTACCGTACAACGAAGCTATTTTTCATTCTTCAACTATAACAAATAATATTTGTTCCGATGTTACTTTCAAAGTATTCATCATCAGCACAGGTCTATTCGAAATTAATTCAACGAATAGCACTACGTCGCTCAGCTTCGTCAACATCAAGTGTTTCTCATACGTCTTCGAATAATGACAAACAATATCGAACACCTTTATCTATGGATCCAGAATTTCGTCCATCACCCGATAATGAATTACCACGTGCTAAAACATCGGAAATGAAAGGAATAACATTTAACATTCGTGATTTCTATCAAAATTATTTTCCTAATGATCCAGTCGAAGCACGCTTACCAACACCATGGCATATGGATATTTATTATCGTAAACAATACTATATAATTGGCGCTTTACTTGGTGTTTTTTTCGGTATATATGTTTCATATCGACGAATACTTGTTGATCGTGCACGTAGAAGTGATTGGGAAAAGCATCATGGTGATCCATTGAGTTATTATGATGTTATTGGTCCGATCGATCCAAGTGTGTCAAGAAAAGCTTGGGATGATAATCCAAATCTGCCACGACCACAAGGATGGGTATCGAAAGTTCAAACGGAAAAAGAATTACATTGAAATCCTATAACGTTATAATTTTTTTGTGTATATTCGATATGTTGTCCTGGAGTTTTTTTTAGTCAATTAGACACATTCACCTGCTAAACCATTTGTATTCAAAACAACGTCTCTTTCAGATAGTAATCTGTATGAAAGAAGAAGATCATTAATATCGTTTACAAAAATAAATAAAAGATGAATTATTACGGTCGAAAATATGGACATTTTAGTTTCGAATCATTTAAATTTCAGAAAGAGTTGAATAAAACAGTGTGCAATTAAACGATATATTCCAATGAGAATATTAATCGAACTAGTTGTGAAAATTTTCATTTCGATTCATTATCGATAACTTATCAGGCATAAATAAGAAGATTTATTGATATGAAACTATCAAAAAAAAGAATTGAAAACAGATACGATAAGTTCGACACTTGATTTTAAAAAAATCAAAATAACTTCAATTATAACATGTAAATATCCATAGAAATATAAAAAGCTTCGATTTCATCAATAGATTTGACTGGACTATTGAATGTTCAATGATTTTCACTTTTCTAGGACTGCTGACTCTTGACGAACTCATATTTTCAAACTGAAATGCGAAGCTTTCGAAAAACGCTTGTTCTATACTTTATTCATGGAAAAGTCTTATGTCTCGGAAAGAATTTGTTCTGAACTCATGAGGATTTTTCTTATTAAAAGCTTCAGAATTGATTTTCATTGAAAAATAATCCTAAACCTGTTACAGTTTTTATTTGATCACAATAAAATTATATCCTGCCCATTGTGAAAACATGATATTCTGAATAAAAACTGGAGTCCTGCAATTCCAGAAATAGACTTCCTTCTGGATGAAGTCTTGGTCATAAAAATGAATAATTTTTCACCTTGTCATTAAAATAACTTCGCACGAAATAACCACATCAGTGTTTTAATTAGTATAATACGTATAAGAAATTATTTTGGTTCAGTTACCACATTGTTTATTGAATTACCATCAATCGTTAAGATCTCCCAGTTCCGTTGGGAATATCCGTTCCATACCATATCGAATAAGTAGAATATTTCATTTCTATTCAACAGGTCTGTTACTACACATGTCACTATTGAATAGTACGAAAAAATCAATTTTATGTCCAAGAGAAAATGTCAATAAAAAAGATAAAAGTCGAGATCAATACTCAATTGATAAAATTTAATTTTCATTTAAGAATTTTCAATTCACGATTCTATACTTTAATTGTGTCTTAGATTAAATTCTATTTAAAGGTAATACAACAGTTGCACTGTACTTGATCAATCTATATTCAATCGAAAGCTTGGCGTATTGTTAGAAATAGTAAAGATCTTATTGATTTTGTTCACACTAATTTTGGAGAATTTTTCATTGTAAATATTCATTACTTTTTTAGTATAGTTTAATTTCTTTTCTTCTTATTAATATTATTATTATTAAGTACATATGACTCCCAATAATGAATGCAGTTGTCTAGCCAAATCAATAATCAGATAGTTTATTAGTTCTTTTTGTGGCACGGAATATAAAGTAGGTAGCTTAAAACTCAAGGGGGAAAAAGCTGATTTAAATCACAGTAAAACTCAACTTACAATCAATATAAATTAACTGTATTGGAATGAGTTTGCGTGAGTTTCAGTGCCTTTGAATGATTTTCAGTAATAATTTATGATTTGGAATAGTTTTTAGTTAGTTTAGCAAATTTTTCGTTTTCTCAAACTCATTTTATATCAGCTAAACTCAGAAAAATCATGAAACTCATAAATTGCTTTTTCCCCCTTGTTAAAACTACTATAAATACAGGAAATTTATTATAATGTAGAAGTTCTTAGAACTAGTTATTGATGAAGCACAATAAATTATTGATATGAGTTTCTTACCATTTTCTTTCATCTAAATTTTAAAACTAACTCATCTACGAATTTATTTATTTCTTCTAAACAACCAAATTTAGACAAGTACCATCTTCACGATATCATGCACTATATATTGTGATCTACTTTTTTTCTATTATTTCTCATTCCTATTATATATTTACGAAGTTTTCAGTTTCGTTTGTTAAATGGAAATAATATACGATGACATTTTGATACTAAAGAGTCTTTGTATTTCTTACTTTTTCTTCAGAAAATTAATCTTGCTTTCAACGCCAAAAGGAAAACTCTCCATGTTGCTATGCAATGTTTCATAACAGAAATATATTTAGACAAAATTAAAGGTGGACTCTTAGTAGAAGAGAAAAACTAAATCAAAAACCACTGTGAGTTGACCAAAATGAGATTCTTTCTAGGAAAAAAATTTGATTTTCACTTGGCAGCTAGAATATCATGAGCTTTCAAAGCCGTCAATATCATTCTAAAGTCTATTATTCTCTGCAAATACTCACAAATATATACGTTGATGTTCTACGCTGATGCTGAATACACAAGCTAAGATTTGAGCAAATAAATAATACAATCGGTATCTAGTAAACATCTTTTTTTATATTAATGAAATATCATGTTTTATTTATGGTTCATTATTTGTTTGAATCTTTTTTTTTAAGTTTTATACCATAATGCTCTCTGTACATTAAAAAAACACACTCACACGCACAATAGACACACAACACATTCGATCATCTATCACGGTGAAAGAATTGAATGAGTTGTTGATGTGTTTTTTGAATTTGGGTGTCTTGAATCACAAAAGAACAAAGAAAATAATGAACACACAATAAGATCAAATGAACATAGAGAAAGAAGGAAACAAACAAACACCCAAAACGAAAACAGGACGAATACTATATTCTACAAAAATGCGTCATATATAAATCTTTACTGTATTAAACAATTCTTTTGTTGTTTATTCAAATAGCAGAAAAGAAAAAGATCGTGTCTAATTTTACCATTCATCTGAAAGTACATTACGAATTCTTATAACGTCTGACCACATATTATCTCTCATCGACCATAAAGCTTCATGAACATTATTATAAAGACCGGGACTACCATTTAAAAACCAATTCGATGGTAATGTTCGTGAAGAATTATTTCCATTATTCGTATTCGATACAGTATTCATTGAAGCTTTCAATTGTTTTGGCCAATCAGATATAAATTGATTATCTGGTTTAAGATTCTCAATATATCTGGAAATACGAATAATAAGAAAATAAAGTTTACTGAAAACATTCGAGTTTTTGTTTACCTTAAATACGCTTCTGAATGAACAAGTCGTTGAGTTCGTGGTGGACATGTAACAATCGCAGCTGACGGTGGTTTCGGTATTGTTTGCATATTTCCATTCATTGGATGAACATCTATAATGATACAATTTATTCAATAAAACGATTGTTTTTCTTCTTTAAAGAAACATACTCGACAAAGTAGGATTTGTTTGATAATGTCCATTTAGTGTAACACTTCCATTAACCATTCGTTGTGTATTGATAACTGGCATGTTGTGTGAATCGTGAGTTGTAGTGGCTATTGTTGTTGAAGCTGTGTTAGTTGTTATTGCTGTTTGCGTTGTTGTTGGCGCACTGCTAACCTGAAATATGATGATTTCATATATATATATACATGTTATCTTATTGTCGCCTATTTACCTCTTGTTCTCTTGCTCGTTCACGCGCCTTTTCTTCATATTTATCACGTTCCGTTGCGGTCAATCGTCGCCACTAGAGAAAAAAATAAAAATAAATAGGCGGATTAGTTTGTTGTTATTTTTCTTTCGTGTTATTGTGCTACCTGATCGCCAATCATTCGACTCATTTCACCGAATGGAATGCCAGGATTATCTTTAATAAGACGTTTTCGTGATTCACTTGCAAATACAAGATATCCACAAGGTGCACGGGCTGATGATCCACGTCGACTATTTTTCTGTTTGAAATGAAATAATAGTAAAATTTGTTTTTTGTTATTGAAAATATTGACTTACTCGACTTGTGCTACTACGACTTGGTACAGTTGATGTACTCAGATTAGTATTAGTATTATTACTACTGTTGGCCGTATCAGAGTTCAAATGATTCGATTGATGCTCGTCTCCATCGACGTTACTGGCATGATTGCTATTTGTTTGATCATCCACGTCCATAAACGAGCCATCGTCAATCAATTTGAACGGACCACCAGCAGTATCCTTAATAGAATGAAAAATTGTTTTAAATAGATTGCATATTTATTTCAATTTAACTATCATTCGTCATTCTCTCAAGTTTGCCGTTTTTACTTAGTATTCTGTTTTGTATCCTATGTCAACTATCGACTGCTGTCTTCTGTTTTTTTTACTTGTCGAACTAAGCAGTGGGTGGGTATGCACTAGCATGATTCTTACTCAGTTTTGCTTTGCGAACTCTGAATCGAAGAGTAGCAGCACGAGAAAACGAGAAAGAACAAAAGCAAGGAGGAAAAAAGAAAACATGGGCGACCGAACGACGAATGAATAGGGACAATAACGCATCCCATTACGTCCAGTACACACACATATACACGCACGCGTCGCGCGCATTACCTTTGGTTTTATCTCCAGAATGCTGATTTTTCAAAACAAACGACGACGAACGGACGGAAGCCGTCGTCGATAGTTCTGTTCTGTTGCGCTCGTTCGGATCCCGCTTTACGCACACTCACACGCACAATAATATCTATACGTTAATTCGAACGACGATAATTTTGTCGATAAGCAGTAACAACGTCGGCACCGTATAGTCGTCGATATAACTAGCAGCAGGACGAAGAAAAAGAAAAGTTAACTTTGTGTATTGCTCTTCTCTTTTCTATACGTTCACATTTGCCCGTCGTGTTATTCTTTTTTTTTTCAGTAAACGACAACGTCGAAAGGAAACAGAATAAACGTCGATGCGTACGCTTGCCCTATTTTGTTACTCGAGAGCTCGAACACAAACGCGCGCTCGGAAGGGCATAAATAGAAAAGAAACGAAGGAGAAGAGGCAGAAAAAAAAAGAAAGAAAAATAAGTGAGATATATGCGCGGACGACGAGCGATGATGATTTACGAGAACAAATCGATAGAGTTGCTTGCGTTCTATATAGCTATAGCTATGCTTGGCTTATGTCGAGAAGGAGAAAGAAAAGAAAAGAAAAAAAAGGAAAAAGAGAAAAGGCCGTGTTCATTACTTGTCGAAGTGAAAGTTCTTTACCAAAAATCCAGATTTCATCAATGAATGCTTTCGATGATAATGATGGTCTCTAGAGAATGAAAAAAACACGAAAAAAAGACGTTAGAATTGTAAAATATATTGATTACTTTTAATGCTTTTGTTAAAGATCGAAGACTATGATTATCTGGAATATACTGTGATTCACATACATAAACGTCACATTCAGAAATTTCAGTTAAACGGTCTAGAAATAAAATAAATAAAAAAGACATTTATTCAATCAAAAAAATCAATAACTTACGAGTACAATAATGTTTAAGTGATAGTACTGAACATTTTCCTATAATATTTTCAACAGAAATCTCTTTTTTTGAACCATCACATTTAAGAACTTCTCGTTCATAGGAAGATTTAGTTGTTACAATTAATTGTTCTCGATTAGTTATATCGTATGGTCGAATAAACAATGGACCGATGATTATATATGAACTAGAACAAAAAAAATCAATATATAAATATGTATTTATGAATCAAGAAAAAACGTGTTATTTTTCGTGACCTAAATAAATAGCGATGATATAAGATGGCCAGAATAATGAGTGTTTTTCAACAACATACAAAAAGTCAATCAATGTGTTTTTCTAATAATATTTTTATGTGTAATAAAACTGATTTCCAACTAAGAATTTATTGTATTTTACTTCTCGAAATGATATGCATATAATTCAAAAGATCTTTCGGTAAAGTTTTTGTAATTTACAAAATTTCAATAAATAGAGTTATACGACCACAAAGAAGTTCTCAACAATGACTGTAAAAGATAATAAAGACAAAATGATTTCCACAGCAACGAATTGTAAATAGTGCCAAATAGAAAAATCAAACGACACGTGTTAGCACATCGAGTTTTCAGCTTCAAGTTAGATTAGATAGGAAGAAAAAAAGAAACTCTTGATATTTTCATAACATAGTTATTATTTCAATAGTTGTCAGAGAATTTATGTAATTGACATCTCTTTGCAAGTACAGAAAATGTTAATGAAAACCTTTAATAATTCAAGATTAATTGTATTCAAACAGATAATCAAAGAATAAGCAAGTTTTTACAAAATAAGAAATATTATTGTGAGCTACATGTCAAAATGATCTAATGTTTTACGTGATCTATTAATAATGGTGATTTTCACTTGGGTATAAATCTTTGTGAAAATCTACTTTTTCTAATTGATTAAGTCAAAATTCTTTATTATGAAATGAATAAAATAACTAAATATTATGTAACTAGAGAGATGTCAAATGATGAATAGATCGGCATCTGAAATTATTCGAAAATTTTTCTTAATTTAAAGTGGAGAACGTACTGATAACAAAAAAAGCTGTCAGTGCAATTCCTATGAGATTCAAATATGAAATATGATGGAGAAGCTGACATTAACAAACGGCATGCACTAATCTACATTTTCGATTTGCAGAATACTACATTCAAGAAATATCTGTCAATTATGAAAGTATGTTAATCATAAAACCGTAGCAATGAATATAGAAGGACAAAAGAACTTTTCAATTGTCTTTTCTACTCATACCAAGATATTTTTTGATACGCCTTTCAGTGTCCTTGACGAGAGAGAGAGCGCGTAAGACTCTACTAGGATACTTGTCACATTTCGTTTTGTGATGAAGAAAAGTGCGTTGCTTAGTATCCGTCAAGGTTTATGGTAGACAGAGTGGAGGTGAATTTCTACTTCTATGAATCAATATTCATTTTGGATCTTATTACAGAAGTTTAGAAAAGAGTATCTAAAAAAATGGATCTTAGATGCCTGACATTTTTCATAAATCTATTAGCTATTTTTCTTGATATAGTCGTATCAAATCAGTCGATTGCTTTACATTACAAATTTGGAAATTTTTGATCAACATATCATATTTTAAGCTATGTGGATCACTATTAGATGTGAAGATAACTTGAATAAAAAGAAAGGCGTTTCTCGAGTATTCACTCAGTTGGCACTGATTTTGAAGTCAGAGAACCTTTTGAATTTATGTAAAAAATATACAATGTTGATTAAATATTAAATTAATTTGAAATAATTATAAAAAAAAGCATTCGGTCATATTTATACTATATGAAATATTATTCAAAAGTTTCATGTCGTAAACTTACTCATTATGTTTCCAAATCTGATCTATTCTCACTATAGATCTTTTATTAACTTGATTACTATTTTCATGAATATAAACATAATCTCCAATTTTATAGAAACAACTAGATGAAATAACTATTTGTTCATAAAATTGTTTTTTATCAATTAAATTTTCATTTAATTTTTCATTTATAACACAATCATATGGAATTGTTTCTTTAATTTTTTCAATAATATCGACAGGTATTGAATCATTATCAGTCGTTGATTGTCGATGTAATAAACTATCACTATTAATATTCAATGGTTCGCGTGTAGGTTCAAGTATGATTTCTCTTGGAATTAATTTAACACGTTTATTTTCTGGTAAATTCCACCATTTGATTTTTTTCACAGCTTTTGTTTTAATATTATAACGTGATTCACATACATATATATCTTTATCGGAATCTTGAAATTTTAATGATGAATGTGTTTGATTTTCAATGATAGGTTCAAGTTTATAATAATCTTTTACATGTAAAACATGACATAAACCTTGAATTTTATTCATTTCTATATGTTCAACAGTTTGTGTTAAGAAAACTTCTTGACGAAGAAATTTCTTTGTTGCTATATGATATGTTTCATTAGGACGATAAAATTGTGAACCATTAAAATAGTCTTCATTATCCGTACGTTCAAATGATTCAATACAAATGATACTTGGTTCACTTTTTTCATCATTTGGTTCAATATAAACAAAATCACCGACATAAAATGTTTCACCTTTAAATAAAAGACTATTTTCGGTTGATAAAGTAGATTTTGTTGACTAGAACAAAAGCAAAAGAAACAACATAATAAATCAAATTATTAATATCATAGAAGTTTATATTGATTTGATGTACATGCTAATATATTTTTGAATGTGTCTGAAGCTCAATTGTGATTATACAACTAATTATTAGATCGATTTTTAGGCATTGAATCAGTCAATCGAAAGTTTTGGGTGTAGATGTCTACCTGTCGATAGGTTGAATGAGTTTTAGAATGATCAGATAGTTCTCGAAACTGGTTAAAAGATTTCAATTCTTGTTAACATTCTTTTTTGTGAGCCCAAATGCTGAAATTTAGCTGAAGGAGTTCTGTCGATCGTGAAAGAATCTTCTAAAGGATTAATTGTTGTTTTTAGTTCGAGCCTTTTCAAGATTTTTGCAAGAGAAATCATCTAGAGAATGCTAAAAAAAATGTTCACATCAACATCGTTTATCCGATATCTAAGAAAAATCACAGATGAGCAGTATGGCAGAGTCAATACTGTTCGATCCTCATTTTTTAATCATTGATGAAACAAGAACTAAATCGTTGATCATTTTCATCAGAGGGAAATATCTTATAAATATTTATCATACAACAACATTTCCAATAACTAGAGGATTAATTTCCATAAAAATATATAAATACTTGAAAGAAAGAGATTACGTATTCACTAGTACGCATACATCAGAAAATAGCTATTTTTCCATGGTAATTTCTTTTTGTATCTACCAAATTTCCGGAGCTTAGACAAACACAGTATTTTATTTAGATTGATCATATCTACAGGCAAAAGCTAGTCCGAAGGGAGAATTTTTCTTTTTTAATTTGCATCGTGAATAAAACATTGCGAAAGCACAAAAATGTGATAATGACCGTGTTGAATACGACCTTAAATTCTTAAAAACTATTCATTTATTATTACTCAAGGTTATTGCTCTTCTTTTCTATCAAAAGAAATCTGTCAAAAGATAAACAATGCATTTAAACTAAAATAAAACATTACGTACAGATTCTTTCTTTTCATCAATATCCGATAATTTTGTAGTCGATATACTGTTCTGATTTTTAGTATTTGCCAATGAATCTTTCTCTGATTGTTCACGAATAAGTTCTTGTTGTAAACTATTTTCAGTAAATAAAAGTGCTGGTGATTGAAGTATACTGCCATTTGAACACAGTGCATTACGTAAACCAATATAATATTTTTGTAATTCAATTGTATCTTGATAAATCTATTTAACACGCATCAAATAATTTCAAGCAAAGGGACAAGTAACAATTAAATTTACCTGAGAATCAATTGCACTCAATTTTCGTACCCGTTCAAATACTTTAAATAGATCATCTTGAAAAATGTCCAATCGTCGATAGCATCGCTTAAGAATATAGAATATAATTCAGTTATTCAGTGATTCTCTACAATACCTTATTAAGATTTTGTTTAATCAGATCATATGTATATATAATATCAAATCTGTGACGCAAAAACAAATCGTAAGCAATTAGATTAAATAATCTTTTTTAGTATGATTCTTCTTACGGTTCATTGTCAGTTTGTTCCGAAAATTCAGTAAACGAATCAGTATAAAAGCGACCTTTGAAATCCTTCAATAAAAAATTCAAGTTCAAAAATTATAAAGAGAGAAAAAACCTACTTCAGCATTGAATGTTTGTATAAATAGATTCCAAATTAAATCTTGAACTAGATTCTGTACATTATTAACATTGAATTCGGCATTGGTTAATTTTTTTCTTTCATTAATTAAAACTTGCTGAAGTAAAAGTGCATCCTAAATAAATAAAAATCAAGTAAACACTGTCTATTTTTTTGTTATAAATGCTATACATACTCTATAAATAGTTGAACCAGGTTCATTATATAAACAAGCATTATCCAACATTAATTGTAAATCATTAGATAACTCGTCAACCGATGAATATTGTCGTGATTCAATGCGTTTTAGATCAATGGGCCGTTGAATTATTTCATAATAATCTGGATAGTCAATTTTTGATGGTAACGCTAAAAATACTGTTGATAATATTCGTCCATGATGATCCGTATAATTTTTTATTGTTTGAATAATATTATTGAATTTATCATTGAATGTACTCGATGATCTAAATGAATATAAATAAAAATATCAAGAAGCAAAAAGTAATTTTTCGTCTTTACTTTTTTACTATTCCTTGATTACTAGGACGATTTGCAATTAAAGTGCGCATAAATTTTTCTTTCTTATTCATTAATTTTTTATATTTACTAACTAATATATGTTCAAGTTGACATGCATTTTTGTATATATATGATTCATCAACATTGTAAGTTTTTGCATTATTAAACATACGATTTAGATCATTCACGATATCTTGTTCACGTTTATACTACAAAAAAACGGGAAAAATTATTTGTTTTCATTATTTAAATAAACGAAAATCACTTTGACTCACTTCGCCTTTATCGATTTTATCTTTTATCATAGACATATCAATAGGTTGTTCAATAGATTCATAATAATCTGGATATTCACTTGCAGATGGTAATTGTAAAAATGGTGTTATTAAACTTATGTTATTTTCCTTTAAAAGAGAAAAAAGAATTGAAAAAATCAACAATATTGAGTGTAAAATTTACTTTATATTCTCGAATATAATTATAGAGATTATCGATGTTTTGTTCGGTAAATTTGAGAATTTGTTTTGATGGACGACCTCGTTGAGACTAAAAGAATAATCGCATGAATCAATTATATAGAAAAAGTACAGATTCGAAATTACATTCGGTGATTGAAGAGCAGAAGATTGTAAAGCTGAATGATTCCGTGATTCAGATTGATGATTAATTAATTGCTCCATATGTTCTTCTTTTATAGGAATCTGAAAGAAAATAATACGGTCGATATTTTTACGAATTCTATCAAACTTTCGTTCAATTACCGATGAAATATGGACGCGAACTTCTTTTATACGTGGTTTATGTTCATCAAAACCAAGTTCATGAGCTTTAAGAAGAGCAACATCCATCAACTTTCGGGCACTCTAAAATAGAAAGATAATTTTAATTACAAAAGAAAGATTATTGAACAAAGGCATATTTTCAGATAATATCAACACACCCAAAAACACAAAATATTCTTTTATTTCCCTTAAACATGTGACAAATGGTGTCAATACAACGATGATAGCATTTCTTTTGATTTTATTATATAACTGTTTTATTAATTATTTTCTTTTATTCGATCAGAGAATACTAAAACAGACAGTAAATTTCAATTCAAAATTAGTCAATTGATACTAATCTATATATTCGTTTATAAAGATAGATATCACCAACCATAATTCGGTCTATGGAAATTCTCTAAACTGAGTTTCTTCTCAAAGTCATCTCAAATATCGGTACGTTTTTATCGTATCGGTATGTCTCTGAACAAACCAACATACGTTTTCTACAAGCCAAAGAAGAACACCACAAAAATGACTAACTTGATTTCGTAGACTACAGAAATGAGGGTCTATATCTCTATTGATATCGTCACTTTATTTTGACTCGTCATCAGAATTATTCTCTAGTAGACAAGTCATTTTTTTTCTGGAATCCATAAAATTAAAATATTTAATTTCATTTGATGTCAATTTTTCTCAATAAAATTTTCTCTTGACTATTTTGAATTTTGTATAGATTTTACTGTGTATCACATATATTTTCTCTTATTTTTAAATTTACTTACATTGTATATTAATGATCCTTCTTGATTATATTGCATAGCATTATTAAACATTAAATTAAGATCATCAAAAAGATCGCCTAAGTGATTATATTCTCCTTTCTAAAAAAAAGAAAAAGGAGATAAACAAACATTTTCGCATGATTAATAATGATGTTCATTTTCTTGTGTACATACCTTAATATGATTTTTAATCACTGACATAGAAATCGGTCGTTTTATTTCTTCATAATAATCTTGATGAAATCTTCTCTTGGGTAATTTCATAAATGGATCAATAAGATTTTGTGCGCCAAGTTTAAAAGTTTTCACAGCATTATATAAAATTCGAAAAGAATCTTCTTCACCAAGCGAACTTGTATCTGAATCCACTCCATCATCATTTTGTTGTTGTTGATCGTGTTGTATTCTTATAACATCTTCATCGTCTGGTTCTTCAGGATAATCTATATTAGCAATTTCCGTTGATAAAAGTTCTTCACGTTGATGCGGTCTTAATCGATCATTTTTTGTTTTTAGAGCTGATTCAAGATCATGTCGAACAGATGTTATCAGTTTGCGAAATGCACAGGCATCCTATAAAGCAAATTAAACAATTCCATATATATATGTATATACGTATTTTTTCTGAATTAAAGAAATTTTAGAACTAGATTGAAGTCGATATCTCACAATCACTGTTGTCTCTAGAACGTTCATCTTAGCCTCATTCGAAAATTCGCATGTTGTTTTTTAATACTTTATAAATTTGTGATTTTGGATCATTATATTTTTTTGCATTGGAAATCATTAATAACAAATCATTTTCCATATCATCTAATGTTAAATATTGGTTATTTTGTATTTTCATCGCGATCATTTTTAGATCGATCGGATTTGTTACAATTAGATAATAATCTGGATAAAACTATAAACAAATGAGAATAAATTAATTATAGAAATAAAAAGAATAACTAAAAATTTTTACTTTTCGCGAAGGTAAAAATAGAAAGATTTCTGACATTACACGATCATTGAGGTTTGCATTGTAAATAGCTGTAAAAAATTCTTCAAAATAATATGGATCAATTGAAAGATTATCATTGGATTCTTCACGTTCAACTTTTATGGTTGTACCATTAGGTACGATTCCATTTGATTGTCGATTTACACGTTGTTTTTTTTCAATCGTTTCTTCGTTATCTATTTCATTATTCTATTTTCAAATAGAAACATTAGTATAGTTGTTTTTTTTTTCAATAAAAAACGATCTTTCAATTTACTTTTTTTAGTATTCGTTTTCGATTTGGATTTTCATCATTTATTTTAGAAAAGAAATATTTTGATAAATCATTTGCATCACGCCATTCATTGGAATTTTTCTAATAGAAAAACATAAAGAAATGTATGTTACAAACAAATATCATCGAATCAAATTTATTTTACTCGATAAAAAGTTTTTGCATTATTTACAAGCAATTGTATATCATCAATAAATTGTTCTAATGTTCGATATTCATCTGTACGAATTTTCTGTTGGATACGAATTAAATCAATTGGTTGCTTTATTAATGTGTAGTAATCTGCATGGGTTCTAAATATGAGAATTTTTTTAAATTCAACTTCATGCACAATTAAAAAGAAAGACAAAAAGAAATACCTTTTACTTGGTAAACGTATAAAATTTTCACAAACAATCCGACCATCTTCAGATTTATAAGCGCGTGCAGCATCATACAATTCTTGACAAAGATCATTCTAGTGAAATAAACAATTTAATGTAAATATTAGGTTTTTATTAAAACGGAATATTCTTACTGTCTCTCGATCATCGATTACTTTTCGTGTACGTTTTAGTACACTTTGGTTACTAGTCGGTTCGATGTCATCGTCACGATCACTTGCGCTGTGAACGCGCTTAGGCATCTATATTAAAAATAGGTTAATAAATATCAGACAGTTCATAATTAAGATATAAATAGAACATTGAAAAATTTACGCACAAATGTGAGAAGAAAATAAATAAACAAACACTTTTTTTGAGCTATCGAAGGTTTTTTTCTGCGCTCTCGTCAAAATGATTCACCAATTACCATTGAGAGTGATTGATAGAAAAACAAATAGAAGTGACATCTATTGAAAAATCAGGTCAAGATTCATATCTGTTCTGTCAAAAGTCTTGTATTCTTATAAATCAAGTAGAATTGTTGCTGCTAATTCAAGAAAAGATTCTTGGCTGATTTTCAAGAAGAAAAAGAATTTTAACAGATTTTTCAACAAAAAAAAGAATCTAGACAGAACAGCGTCATGGTCGTCGACTAGTGAGTGAGTAATATATTTTGCATTCATATATAGAGACTAACTCAAATGTCTACATAGAAGTTATTTTAAAATAATAAGAAAGCAAACCACAAAATAATATGTATCGTTTTGTGGTGGATGACTCGTCATTCTCTCTTTTCGGTTCAGCTGTAACTGTATGAGTCGAAAAGTAGTGTTGAATATCATGGATGTACTAAAAAATGTGTTCTCGTACACTTGGAAATTTTATATAATATTTTTCAAGAATTTGGCAGTAATTACAATCGAATCATAAATAAGATTTTAGGTATAATTGGTAGTCGTATATAGCTACAATTTACAGAAATGACTAAAATTTGAAATTTCACGAAAAGACTCATCTATCTTATAAACCGTTGAAGAATTTACTTTCTGATTTTTTAACAAATGTTCGAGCATTTTATTATTATCTCTATGGTTAAAAAGGGATTTCTGAAAATTTCATATAGAGTTGATCAGGCTTGTCAATTATTTGCAACAGTGATACAAACATGAAACATCTGATTTAATTAACAAAAAAAAAGATTTAACAGATTACCCATACCATGATAGTCGATCGACTTTCAGTAGCTACCTACGAACAGTATTCACTAAGAATTTATCGATCATCAGAAAAAATACTGAATCACACGAAATTTTTTATCTGACAGAGCCACTCATTGCAGTTCAAAAATACTTTGGATAAACATTCGATTCCATTGATTCATTTCAACTATTCAATATTTATTCATTTTAATATGGACTTCGCTGTATATTATTTAATGTTCTCATAGATCACCAACATGCATTATGAAGTCATTAACACATAGCATATTTCTCTTCTCTCTCATTTTTGTTGAAACGAAAATGTCTAGACTATTTTGTCATTGAAACAAGCATGACATACGGAAGAAACAATTATCACCTCGGCTAGTAACCCAGGTCGATCAACTTGGGTCGTACACGGTCGTTTGACCATAATTTACGGTCGTTTTGCATCGTGTCAAAAACGATCGTATACAATTAGATGCTGAAGTATCCGATCACATTACGGCCATTAGTAACCGTTGATGGCACGGCGAAATACGGGCCGTAATATGGTGCATACCAAGACGGCAGTATACGTTGCTGTATGCGGCCGTTTACGATCGTATCAGATCGTCGTAATATGCGTCCTGGGAACCTGTATATTGTGTTTTTGTTTTTTCTCATGTTCAAACACATGAAAAGAGAACCGCAAAAAGACATCGAAATTCGCGAATAACAATCAATCATCTAAATAAACATTTCCGTAGATACAAAGCTATGATGTTGAACTGATTCATCATGAAAAGCATTGAAGGCGACATAACAACTACTGTAATAAATTGAATCTTTTTGTTTTTCTAAAATTTTACAGTGAATATATTATTATTCATGTAATGTTTTGGATTTAATAATATAAAGTACTGCATAAGAGTTCTTTCCATTTGAATGATATCATGACATGATTTCGTCATATGTACAACTTTCCTTGCAGAGAAAAAATAATATTAACAATAACTAGCAATCGAGAGTAAGATTGAAATAAAAATTTGTAATGTAAAGCAATATATTATTTTATTCAACTGTTTGAAGAAGCTATCAGAATGACAATATTATACTTGTTCGATAGATATCCATGCATTTAAAAGAACAAAATGCTTCCTAGTGATAATCACTATTGATTGCTTTTAGATGATAATTCAAACGAACAAGGACATTGATAGATTTAGATGTAAATTGAAAGAAGACTAGCGAACAACATCAACACTTTAACCATAAAGTGATATCAGACAATACTTTGCAGATAAATCACAGTACGAGCGATCCAAAATGTACGTTAAAGAAGAACAGTTTTGCTGAATCTGTTCAGTGTAAAACCAATTCGATTGTTTTTTCTTTCGGTTATCATACAGTAAATGTAAAAAAAATTGATACATTCGATTTTGAACATCTGGAATCTTTTTGAAAAATACCTCTTCTAGCTCGTATGTGTCTGTTATCTTAACAGAAATGAACGAGATTAACAAAAGAAAGGTTCTGTCGTTTATAATCGGCTGATAGAAATGAATCTCCTACACTCTTTTTTTCATGGATTTACGCTAGTTTCAAGTATCTTTCCTTTTGATCCAGGTGTATAAGTTTTCATCATATTTTCTGTGTGACAGATGTCAAGTTAATTTTAGTTCGCATAGCCCGCGACCATATTTTCTTCAATGGATTGGTAACCGAAATGAGAATACCCATCAGTAAAACTCTAGCGTGACCTATATAGCAGTAACATAACTCTTATTTCACATGTACGATCATAAATTTAACAATTTGCGAGCTCAAATGATTATTCAGATAGCAAACATGATAATTTTTATAATCGTATAGAGGGTGGAGAAATCTAAAATATATTTGAAAATTTCGCTCGATTTGTATGAAAAATTACTTAAGTTGATAAGTTAATATTTATCGTCGATAACATGATATAGTGTGTGTGTGTGTGCAATCTATCATTGATACTTCAACTAGGGTCTTAGTTGTTAACACTAGATAACATACCGATTTCGAATCATATTATTCATAGTTTATAATAGTTCAACTTTTTTTTTGTAGATTTGTTGTTTTAATTATGAATCAAAGATTTTGGTTTTCTACATAGCAGCGCCACAATATGCTACGACTATCAAAATATTATTCACCAATTGTTATCAGTAAATATTTATTCATTACCTTCTCATGCTGGGTGACTATTACGAAGAAATTTTCTAGTCTTGTCTGATTTGATTCTCTATGGAAAACATACCGTTGCCAAGTATAAAGAAAAGTATTAAAATTATTTGGCAGAAGCAACATGTGCCATTTGAAACAAAAAAAATGAGGAAACATTGGATTCGCATCCGATTGTTATGTGTACTGCAAAAGCTGAATCGATTTATATGTTTTGAATAATTCTGAGGAAAAAACCTGTACCCCCTCAGGGATGGTTTGGTCAATAATGAGAATTTTTGCGATAAATCAGCCATTTCTTGACGGATCCTTCTCATCTTCGAACTCGACTGAGATATTGATGAGATCATTCTGTGTACAAAATTTCAAGACAATTCGATGAGGCTTTCAAGAGTTATCGTGTTAACGGCTGGACGGACACACTGACCGAATCTAGTGTACTCACTTTTTGAGTACACAAAGAATGGGACATTGTTATTATTAAGTTTTGTAGTGCGATCTTATTATCAGGTGTTTTAATTCTTTTGATTTTTGGAGCTACTATGTATACAAATGAACGTCCTAGAGAGTTTACATATGCGTAAAATACTTGTGAATTTACAGACTAATGGTTATAAACAATATCGATGTTACAAAAGGAGAAGTCCATGGTGCTATGCGCCTGTATGGAATATAACTTATGGTGAAAATCAAGCAACAAATACCACACTCATTGGATACAACCGATTTAATTCACTGCTAGATACAATCAAGAAAGCAAATGAATATCAGGTTAGTGATTTCTATCAAATCTAACTGAACAAAAAAAAAACGGAGAATTGAATCAATGTTTTCTTCAAAATCCTAGCTGCTTTCATCACGTTTTCATATCGTTGAAAAGTTAATCCAAGCTAGTACTAGCATCAAAATCATTTTGTTTTTGTCTTGATAAGAAAAATAACTTTCGAATTTCTCTGATATACATATATATATATATATATATTAAACAAAATTTTATTCTAGTTCATTATTGAAAACAATACCATTCAAATTCATTGTTTCTTATTGCTTAGATTGGTTCATCGTATGTATGTTGGTGTGATACAAAAAATCCATCGAAAGTTCAATGGGAGCAACCGAATTCTCGTAATGGTCTCATTATACTGATTTTCGGCGCATTCACAATAATTCCTACTATTCTTTCTTTTTTTCTTACATATAAGTTTTGTAAACAAATTAAAAGACATCAAACGAGATAATATTATAAATTACTTGAGTTCATTTTTATCTCAACAAATAAATTGTTTTTTCTTACACTCCAAAGATGATTGAACTAACTATCAAAGTACAAAAAAAAAGAAAAGAAAAGGTAAATAAGTAGTGTCCATTTAGTATTAGAGGTGGATTGATAGTTTTATACAAAATTCACAGAATCGCGATATCTATCAGTCTTATTCACGGTTGCCGATCAAAAAGTTAGAGAGATCCAGCGTTTTTTTTTCTGGCTATATAAGTATGAGGAATTTCTTCCCAAGGTCGTTGATACATACGTATATGAAAAATGCAAAGAATTGAAAATTTTTTGCTGGAATATCGGTAAATACGTAGTAAAAGTCAGAGTTTGAAGTGGATTGAAGTTTCATCTATAGCATTGTATGCTTGAACAAAACTTCTTTTGACCACATTTCTTGGTGTCTCCTGACTAGAGCCCATCAATTCTGGGTCTGTAAATTAAGTGTAGATCGGATCCAACAATTTTGATTCATATAATATTTTTTCTGAATTTTCGTTCATTTTATTCAGAAAATCTTACACTTTTTAATAGAAAGTAGAAGATTTTGTTCACTGATTAGAAAAATTCCTCGAGAACTTTAAAAACACTTTTAAATTCTGGATCCTGAAAACATTGAGAATGAAGATCGAGGTTCAAAAATCTTGATCGATCGGGTTCGAGTTCGATTTCAAAAATGTCAATCAGTCCTATCCAGGTCCGATTCCATAAATATTGAACCTGATGGCCTCTACTTCCGATCAACATCAAAGATATGCTTAGATCTCTAAATCGAGATCGACATAATATATGTCACACAGTATCCTGAGATTAGCCAATAAGATAAACTACGTACACTTTTTTTTTCTTTTCTTTTTTTATTTAAACTATATAATGTCTCTTATTCAATAGACAGTGGCGACAACAAGCTAAGCGCATCTACCAACTGTCGATGCATGTTTAGTTCGTTGTGATAATTTTGAATGGAGCAATGACTCACTAATCTCGTTTGAAAGTAAAGAAAAAAAGAAAGTAAATCATTTTTTTTTATTGTGATTATTCAAATGGCACAACGTACAGCATCACAACTTTATTTTGATTTAATTCGTCTATTTAAACAATGGCCAATTGATAAATCTAAAACAGGTCGTGATCTAGGTGAATGTCTACGACATCAATTTTCTCAAGCATTTATACTTGGTGAAAATTCTCAAGTAGACTGCAATGAATGGAATCGTTTTTATGATAATATGAAATTATTAATATCCAATGATATAAAAAATCGTTATCCACGTGAACGTAATTGGACTGCATCTGGTTTGAGTCGGGAACATTTACATTTTTTACTTTCAAATAAAAGTCTTCAAGCTAATAAAGATTTCATGAAAAAAATGAAATAAATTTGAACTAAAAAGAAAAGTATTTCTTCCCGTTTTCTAATCCCTTTTTTTGTTTCTAGATCATGCGGTTAACAGAACGTGAATTTGAAAATTTGAAAATCAGTCATGCAGGCACCATTGCACAAAAACGTCTAGCTCGTGGTCTACGTTTAAATTATCCTGAAGCGGTCGCACTTATATCAGCACAATGTCTTGAATTAGTTCGAGATGGTAGTCATAATTTAACTGATATTCAACAACAAGCAAAAAAAATACTCGGAAAAAATATGGTACTTAATGGTATACCACAAATGATAAAAGAAATAAACATTGAAGCAACATTTCCTGATGGTGTTAAAGTTGTAAGTATTTTTATATAGAAAATAAATGAATTCTTTGAATTTATATCATTATTTTTAATAAAGGTCATCATTCGAAATCCGATTTGTACTGATATGGGCGATCTAGAATTAGCTTTATATGGAAGTTTCTTACCCATTCCATCAATTGAATTATTTCAAGTAAAACATTTAAATAAAAACAAAAACATTGATTTAAAACTAAACTTTTCTTTGATTTATAGAAACCAAATGATAGTGAATCAGGATCTCATCCAGGTGAAATATTCCTCAAAGATTCTCAACCAATTATGATTAATGGTGATCGTGATAGTATATTTATAACTGTAACTAATGAAAGTTCAGAATTAATATCGATTGGTAGTCATTTCCATTTTATTGAAGCTAATAGACACTTAGCATTCGATCGTACACTTGCTTATGGAATGCGTTTAGTAAATAAAAAGAAACGCTACTTTCATTTTCATGTCATATTTTATTTATTTTAATAGAATATTCCTGCTGGAGATATTTTAACATTTAACCCTGGTGAACAAAAAGAAGCTCCGATAATACCTATTGGTGGACAAAGGTAAACGTTTTTATTGTTTTCTCTTGTTATTATTTAATATTCTTATTTAGAATCATTCATGGTGGTAATGGCCTTTTTGATGGACCAGTGACTGATGAAAATTTGAAAAAAAATCAAAAAAATTTACGAAAAAATAATTTTTTACATGTAGATGAAAAAAATAGTTTGGAAAAAGTAAATCGTCGTTCAACAAAATATACAATACCCCGCGAATTATATCTTTTTCGTTATGGACCAACCTTAGGAGATCGTGTAATTATAAAATAATTCATTTTTTTTGTCTTCAAGAAAAGTCTCACCATTTTTCATATATATAGATTTTACTTGGAGATACTAATTTAATGGTACAAATTGATGCTGATTTAACAACATATGGTGAAGAATGTACATTTGGTCTTGGAAAAGTTTGTTTATTTTCTTTTTAAATAATAAAAAAAGAACATAGAATCGATATAATAGGTTCTACGAGAAGGTATGGGTCAAGCATCGAATATAAGAAATGACATTGCATTAGATACAGTTATTACTAATGTTGTTATTATTGATGCAATAGCTGGAATCATTAAAGCCGATGTTGGAATTAAAGTAAATTTGAGATTGATTTCGTGTTTTATCTATTTTTCATTGACTTCTGTAGGATGGTATTATTGCGGGTGTTGGAAAAGCAGGAAATCCTCAAACAATGACTGGTGTTACAGCTGTATGCCAATATAACTGAGAGAAAAACACTATTTGATTCAACAATTTTTCTTCATTAGGGTATGGTCATTGGTGTTGGAACTGAAGTAATTCAAGGTGAAAGTTTAATATTAACCGCAGGTGCTATTGATGCATGTTCTTATTTTACATCTCCTGATGTTGTCACTGAAGCATTGATGAGTGGTGTAACAACCATGTTTGGTGGTGGAACAGGTATGAATGGTAGTGTAACAATGTCAACACCGGGTCCAAATCATATTAAATATATGATACAAGCCACAGATGACTATCCGATGAATTTTGGTTTCTACGGAAAAGGAAATACATCAAAAGCTGAAGGTTTATCAAAAGAACTTGAAGATCAAATTGTAGCCGGCGCCATTGGGTATGAGTTGATTGATTTAATGAGAGAAGTTATTCCACTGATTAATCGTCTTTGAGTCAAGATACTGTATATCATATACATTTCAAATGCGCTATTGATGTCTCATGAAGACTGCCAGTATTTGACTTTTTACTGTAAAAATACAATTTTACCATAACCATCTTTTCGTATAGAAGAAAAAAACTGAAAAAGATTTAAAAATTTCGCTGAATAATATTTTTTGCTAAGATTTGTTTCATCCAAAAGATTAAGCAAAAAATGAAGTACAGAAGTTACATTCACAACAATATTTTTAATCAGTTGGAAGGTTTTCCATCATCATATTGAAACGAACTAAATTAATTTTTTTCTTCTTTTAGTTTACGTTTAGATGAACGTTGGGGTGCAACACCATCTGCTATTGATACGTGTTTACGTGTTGCTGAATATCATGATATTAGTGTAAGACTTGAATTTTTCAACGATGGAATTAATAGTTCATAATTTGTTTTTATGTAGGTTCATGCCGATTTAGATAGTTTACGTGAAGCTTATAGTTCACCAGATTCAATTGCAATGTTTCGTGATCGTGTTGTATTAATTCCATGTACAGAAACAGCAGCAGCTCGTAGTAATTTTTTTGAGTTACTTCAACAACCGAATGTAATTATTACATCATGTAATAATAAAGCAGCTGTTTATCGTCAACCTGGGTATTTTTTTTTGCTTTTTATTTGTTCACTTCGATTTCTATAAATATTATTTTATTTTATTCTTATAGAGAAAATCAAAAACAATTTGCTATTGAAGATTATCTTCATGATATTGGAGCAATTAGTATAATATCATCTTCATCACAAGTAATATGACCGACTGTTTTAAAACATTAAACACTTCTTTTGTTTTCCGTAGTCTGGTGGTCATGTAGGTCGAATTGTATCACGAACATGGCAAATAGCTGATAAAATGAAAGCTATTACTGGCTATTTGCCAGATGATACAGTATGATTTATTTGGTGAATTATTTACTAATCATAAAATATGAATTTCTTTAGGAAAATTCAAATGATAATAATCGTGTTCGACGATATATAGCTAAATATACAATAAATCCAGCTTTAACACATGGTTGTGCACATGTTATTGGTTCAATAGAACAACATAAAATGGCTGATCTTGTTTTATGGCAGCCCATGTTTTTTGGTGTTAAACCTGAAATGATTATAAAAGGTGGTCAAGTATCATGGTCGCAAGCTGGTATTGGTGTTTATGCTGATGTAAGACCAGAACCAATTTGTTTGAGAAAGAAATTTGGTGCTGTTGGTCGAAGTCCAAATGCAAATTCAGTTGTTTTTGTTTCAAAGGTAATTTTTTTGTTTGAAATTGAAAAGACAATAAAAATGATGTTTAGGCATGTGCTGAATTGAGTGCATCAAACTCTTACGGAATATGTAAACATATTGAAGCTGTACACGATATTCGGATGATAACACGTTTACAAATGATTCGCAATGAAAATACACCAAAAATTGATGTTGATTTAACAACAGGTCAAATCACACTTGATAAAGATGGTGAAAAAACTGTTAATGAGCCATTACCACTGGCCGCTCGGTTACCATTAGCTCAACGTTACTTTATATTTTGAATGTTATTTGTATTTGTGAATTCTAGAAAATTGATTGCTAGTCATTTCTCAAAGAAAAACAAAAAAAAATTTTTCATTCCTATATAATGTTGTTTTTTTTGATTTCGATATGAAAAACTTTTTGTTTTTGTTTTGTTCATTTTTTAACGTTATTTGATAGTCAGATTAGTCTAATTCTTCTCCTCCAGATAGATAAGATGAACGACGAGATAAAACATTTTCCTGAGAATGTGCAAAAATTGTTAGCAGATGCAAGAATACCAATTAAACAATTAAAACCAATCTATTATGAATTGACTATTGGTGAACAATTTCCTGATGATTCTATTCGATTGATTGAAGTTAACAATTCATTAATTGAAGAATTAGAAAAGAGTAAAAAGTAAATTTTCATTTTAGAACTATAGAATGATTTCCTATTAGAAAAATAGTTATTTCTTAGAAAAATGTCTAATTTCATAAAATGATAAACATTAGCTATTGTGCTAGATAAGAGATAAACAATGACGATAATATTTTTATATCGAACAATTTATCTAGACTAGTCATTCGAGGTGCTAACGATGATTTTGCCGCATTATGTACGTCAGATCAAATATTCGAAATCAAATCTGCCGAAACATCAAATACATTGTTACTCGCGAGTCCACTTGATTCTTCATCAGTGAATAAAGAAAATGGGTGTATTGCATTGACAGTAAATTTCTTTTGAATAAAAATCTAATAATCTCTACGAATAATTCAGGTAAATTCTATTTTACATGCAAAACTTGAATTAACACAATGTGTACCAAGATTAAAACGTATATGCCAATTATTTGAAGAAAATCCATATCGGGGACATTTCGATGATGATAATGATATTGAAAATCCTAAACCAAAAGTATTAAACGTATGAATATCGTTCTTAACTTAATTCTGATTTTTCATAGATTACAATGGAAAATATAAAAAGCGAAGTACAAGCAAGTGATCAAGCTATTGATGCATATTTAAAGAAGCTCAATGTGGTTACAATTGATGGTTTGTAAATATGATGAAATATTGAATTCTATGTTTATCATTCTATTCAGGTTATTTGCGATTATTGGATTTTGATTTTCGTACCAAACTTATTGAATACATTTTTTCACTTCTATCAATTCAAGATTGGTCAAAAGATCATATTCCCATTGACAGATGTGCAACTGAAATGAAAGAAATATGTCCGAAGTAAATTAAAAGAAAAAAGCTAAACACTTGTTACTTCTTTTTTTCTATATAAAATGCAACATTGCTTTTTTTGCTTTTGTTTTAGATATGTCGCAAAACAATTTCTTGAACAAATAGGTACTATTTCAAATGATGGTAAGTTAATTAATTTAGAGAATGAATTTTCTTATTTTAATTCATTTGTTTTTTTTGTGTAAGGTAATTCTATTTCTTTGAATGCAAATACGATTTCAACACATTATGCATTAGATCTATTACGAAACTTAGAAAAAGTAAAAACAAAAGAATTTAACTAACAGATCGTAATGAATTGAATTTAGTATGAATCTAATTTTTCTATTATTGAAAACCATAAGAGAAAATTTTCTTTCAGAACGGTCGTAGGAGAATATTGCAAAAACATCAAGGCACTTTCTGTTTGTTAAAGTTCATTTACAATATTCTTATCTGAACTACTAAGCACTACAGAACTTCATTCACTACAGGACTATGCGACTGTTTGCTCTATGTTCCAGTGGTCATTCATCGAAAACTCAACAATTCTCGACAATAAATCTGAATCTTTACTTTTTCGATCATTTCCTAGAGTCTAAAATTTTTCGTAAAACGTTCGTTTTAAATTTCGTAAGATAGACGATTTGACCGAGAATCTTTTCGTTTTTTCATTTAGAAATCTGCAAAGTATTTCATAAGTAATATCAAATTTGACGTTTTTCCTTGTTTGTACTTTCGAAATGTAAGATTATACAGTGTTTCCTAATTCTGTCACTTACTCTCTATGGAATGTGGCATTGTCAACAATATGTCGATATAAGAGGAAAGATTTAATATAAATAATAGATTAATTTTTATTTATAACTATTTCAATGCATCACGATCTACATTCCTTTTTATGAAATACAAAATCTTTTAAATAGATGAAATTATCCGAATTCATGACATGCTGGCGAGAATGCGTACCATCGGATTTTCCGATCGATTTAGATCAGCTGAAAGTAAGTCATTTAACATGTATGAGTTCAAATGAGATACTTATGATTTTCTTTATTTTTTAATCATAGGGATTTGTGATTATTTCTGAAGGTACTATTTCGTATATTGATACGGATAATCTTAGTGAAAAACCTTATGAACGGTAAATAATAAACAAAATAAAAATCATCAAATTTACTAATTTCTATTTTAGAATGAAAACATTATTTTCTCGAAAGAATACTTGGACACTATCAGAAATAGAACCATTTTTATCTAGTTTAACGACATCCAACGCTGAATTCAATTCTTTATTAGCAATGCATACACGTTGTATTATAAAAGATGGACAAAAATATTATGTCCCTAAATATAATTAATGTATTTTTTTTTCTTCTATGTCAGATATATACACATAAATATAGAACAAATAAAAACCATTGAATTATCAAAGATTTACTTATCAGATTTATTGACAACGAGTTAATTTTATAGCTAAGCAAAATAAAGCGGATGCCACGAAATGATGATACGTGAGATTTTATTTTCATCTTAATGTTGAATGACATATCTCAATGTGATATATTAATATGAGAGTCTACTATATTAGTTAGATATTCAATTAGAACTTTTCGTAAGATTTGATTTCGATAAAACTGTTGCGTGCCAAAATAGTTGACTCATATATATTTCTTGTAATTATTTTAGTTTTGCGTACGCATTCATCCTCAGATGAACATCTCTAATATTCTTTTCTAATATTTTTACATTATAAAATACGTATATCGCTCATAAATAGTCCAAGTGACAAATTCATTTGCATCACGGCCTGCATTCATTGCTTTTCTATCCATGCCCTATAATACATTATACCATATGTTTTTTTTCTCAGTAGTCTATTCTGTAATAGATGGCTAATTTCTCCTAATATTGAATATCCCATTGTTTTCCGGTTGAATCTCTTGATAATATATTTAATTCATAGTTTCTTTCAACTTAATTTAAAAAGTTATCAATGAAAAGAAGAAACCAATTCTATAAAAGTGTCTTCCTTTCTAATAAAAAGATGCATTAATTAGAATAACGAAGTACTCAAGTGATCTTCAAATATCTATGGGTGTTCTTAAAATAGTATTTGAGATAGCATATCTATGCATCGAATTCTTTTCACTGTTTACGCGCTTCGCTCACACCAAATCAATTAGCAAAAATATACGAAAAATATCTTTGAATAGTATCTAAAATGAACACGTTTTATCTTAGAGCTAGTAAAATTGTACTCGGATTTAAATTTGAAAATGAATTTATACATGATAACCCGTAAAACGATGCTCGAAAAATATTTACTTTTTATTTTGTCATTGGTATACGTTAATAAGAATGATTTATTTTGAGTTTCTACATTCTTGAGATATGTTCATATTCTAGAATAGATATACTTCTGAACTATTCGTTAGGAAACTTATAATAGACATCAACACTTACTATTAAAAGTTAGCTCCAGAGGATGCTATTGTCTTCGAGTCATGAATAGTCAAATACTTGCCTTCAATTAGTTAAATTAGTTTTGTCTTTCTTTATTACTATCAACAACTATGATAGGTACAAATAGCCAACGAATTAAATTTTAGAGAGCAGGAGCATAAATCTTTGTTGTTAGTCTATATGAGCATGGGATTTTACAACTTGTAGCAATTCATCTAATTATTCAGATCTTTTTTTATTCCAGTACGAATACAATAAACTATGACATCATCGTTAGCTGTCTCATTGGCGATCGCTCAAAATATTGTCATTGAATACATGGAATTAGGTGTGTTTGTTTGTCTTCGGCACTGTTGGTTCTCTGATGAATATGATACTCTTCTCTCGAAACAATTTGCGCTCAGTTTCTTGCTGTACTTGTAAGTAATCTGAAACTAAATAGAGATGTGCCAACGATAGAGATTCAAAATATGTTCTAAATAATTTCTAATAAGTGATTGAAATCAAAAAATCTATATATAAAATTAGCTAATTTTCTTTTCGAAACAGTGTATATTGAACATTATTGATATCATCGGCTGTTTTTCATAGATTTTTTTACATCATCATTCGTTGCGATCATTCTACTATTCATGGGTATTCTACCTTTAATTTATGCTCAATCTCATAAACCGAGTCCATTCTTATCCGTTTCGTCTTTTTGTAAGATCCGGATCTATACTAATCAATGGAGTGCTATGTCATGCCGATGATTGTTAGCTATGGCCTGTGTAGATCGTTGCGCTGCATGTTCGGCAAGTGCAACTATTCGTCGTTTTGCTCTGGTAGGCTTGACTCATCGACTAGCAATTTTGATAGCCATCATGTGGCTGATTTTACCCACTCATACATTAATCTTTGCCAATATTTTACTACCAGGTAATGTCACATGCATAATATTGCAAAATGATGTTGCCATACTTCATGGTATTTACACAATTATCATGGATGGCCTATTACCTCATACAGTTATGCTCGTATGTACCGTATTTCTGAACTGTTTGTTTATATATTTCCAGCTTCATCGTTCTATTCAAACACATTGGTTTCAAGAAAATTTCGGAAAGAATTTATTAACACGTGCCAATAGTTCATTATGTTTTTCCGTTGGAATCGAGATGTTGTTGCTCCAATTAATCAGACTCGGAAGAATGGTATCATCGATGGAATGCCTATGGCAATAGCTAGAAATTTTAAACATTAAATCAAAATCATCTTTATATGTAAGCTACTCGCTCGTAAATAAAAATACAAATAATAAAGAATATTATACTCATGTTTAGAAAGAAACAAAACTTTACATCATTAACGAGATGTATTCAGAAAAATATTTTAATGATAACTTTAACATAAACTTGTACGAAACTAACATAAAGTTAGATCAAATACTATACTGTAACAGAATAAAAAATAAGTCTCATCTCATTTTCAATGTGTAATTGAAAATAAAAAATAGAAATTCAATGCAGCTTCCTCACTATTATTATAATTCACTACGATGGATCTTAGGCTAGATTCATTCAAGTTTTATGAAATGTTTAGAAAACGTTGAGATTGTAGGAAAGAGAATATTTCGTAGATATTCAACAAAACCAGAGTCAAAAAATTTTGCCAGCTTTCATTCTGTGTATACATATGGTTTTCAAAAGAGTATGTTAACATGAAAAAAAACACGTTGTTAGTATAAAAATATTCATTTATTTATATGCAGTGCAAGATTTCATTCAAAATATTGGCAATATCAGAACTTATATCTTGATTTATCCTATCAAAAAATAAATGCTACAAACTTTTGAAACGACTATGAATAGCTAGGGACCTTGTTCGATCATGTATGAAAAAAGTCGTCAATTGACTTCGGGAAATATTTCAGAGTTTTCATATTTTATTTGCAAAAAACAACTTGTAAGATAAATATTATGAATTTATTTAAGAATAAAAAAATAAGATCAATTAAAGGAATAAATAAAAAACGTTGTGTTCCCAAAAGTTAAGCATTGTATAGAGTATTATATGCATGAGCACGTGGAGGAGGTCGTGTTGGCATTGGTACTGCATCATCTGTTGTTTTGGGTTCAACTGGTTTCCATTGTTCTTGATAAAGTGCTGCTAAACCATAGGCACCAGCACCAATGAACAATGATATTGCAGGTGTAATAGTTGATATAAGAAAAAGACAAGGTAGACTAAGTAAAATGTACAGAACAAAACGAATAAAATAATTTCGAGTTAATGGACCTAATTTTGTAAGTAATACTGATGGATATTTTTGTAGTGGTCGTGGTTTTGATTTCTTAACAATACGTCCACTACGTGGATATTCGATAATAATAATAAATACTGCAAGAATAAGTCCATAGATACCGATAGGCCATAATGAAAATTGAAGAATAATTGTTAAAATACTAAATGTACCTAATATATAACCGGTTAATAAAACATGTTCATTAGCCCACATAGCCCATTCAATAGTAGATGCAGGTAAAACTATTTTCGTTAGTGCATCTGTTGGCACATCTGTTGACATGTTTATCTAGAATTAATTATATATGAATAACGTATAAAAATATGTTTACAACATTGAAAATGACTAGTTAGTTAAAGAAACAAAACAAAACTAGATAAAAATAGACTATTATGACGAAATTATTTGACAATTCGTAAGAGGACATATCGTATTGTTGTCATTTGTTATTCATCACATGAACTAAACAATTCCTTCAATGTAATATAATCTTTCAATTGTGTTGGTAATGGCAACTGTAATGTTTTTTTCCATGTTCGTTGTCCAAGCGATGAACGTATTCGAAAACGAGATCGTTTTTTTAAATTTTTTACTCGTGTACATTCATTCCAAACTATTCGTTCAATTTCAGGATATTTAGTTAATTGTTTAGCAAGACATAGCGTTGAATATAATTCTTCTATATTTATTGAACAGCCACATTGAACAAGAAGCTTTACATTTTTAAGATTTTCATTTAAAATAGCCAATATAAGTGCATTGAAACCTTATTGATAGGAAAAAATAGACAGATATATTCATTTTAACAATACAATAGTAAATTGATTATATATTTGTATTTTCTTACCATCGCGATCACGAATATTTAAATCACATCCATGTTTAACAAGTACTCGTAATACTTCATCATGATTTCTTGCTGCAGCAACATGTAAAGCAGTCCAACTACGTGTACATTCATTTAAATCAGAACCACCTTCTATAAGAATTTCTGTTAATGTTGAATTATTTCCACATGCCGAAACAAATAAAATAGTTTCATTAAATTGATTTCGTCCGTTATATTCGATACCAGCTATTAAGAACATTGTCGCAACATCTTTATGACATTTCCAAACAGCTAGAAAAGTAAATAGAAATTATGTATCACATAATAAGCAAAATATTCCAATTTATTATTTACCAAGATCAAATGCTCGTGATGTACGTTTATTTCTTAGTACACAACTACGATTAAGAAGTAGTTCAACAGCATCGGTTAAATTATACAATGTAACAAGTTCTAATGATTTGAAATCATTTTTAATAAAATCAATATCACTATTATAAACAATTTGTTTTCTTTTTTTGACATCTTTACGCCGAATTGCTTCGTATAAATATTAACGTTTAACTGAATGATGATTATCCATTAAATAGATACAATTCACAATAATAATAATAATAATAATATAAAAATAGATATTCCGAACATAATGAACGTTTTTTTCGTCTAAATTTTTACTGATAAATCATGACAATTATCAGTAGATAAATATATACGATGATTTATATATGTAGAATATGATTCTTTTGCCGAAGTATGCGTGACTTGGATTTGTCAAACAAAATCACGGAGAGAAATGTTTATCAATATCAAATGCAGTTAGTGAAGCGACATCTAGATTTAAGGGATACATCAGAAAAAATAATTATCGTAGAATGTTAATAAATGAAATGATCTATTCGTTTTGATATTTTACTTGTAAGAAATATGAGTTTTACACAAATCATGATGCCATACTCTTTTTTTAGAACAATGTAGAAGCGAAATATCAATTAAGTTAACTCTCCAATTTTCGTTGATTAAAGAATTAAACGGAATGAATAAACGATAGCAGATAGTAATGGTATATTTCATATACTGTTATAACTATTTGTTTCAAATTAGTTTTACTTGAAGTGCATTAATAAATTTTCAGTTTGAAATTACTTTGATGATTCATGCTCACAGCGTTATAGACTATACTTTAACATAACCAATTACTATTATTAGTTAACCCCTTCTACGTACGTTTAATTCTAACGAATAGTAAAATATACGTACGAAAGAAAGTGAAATATCTACGCCAGATGTCGCTAGTTAACAATAAAGTACAAGTGAAAACAATTAATTTTTTCATTTGTTTTAATATGTTATCAAAATAATTTCGCTTTCGGATGAAACTATAAAAATCTATCTTTGTTATTTCAATCAGGTCAAAAACATTCATTGACTAGTTTAATTCTTGTAAATTCAAAAATGAATAAATATTTTTTATTTAGATTTAATGAAAAATCGAAATGATTTCATGCTTTCTGCCAGTCGTATACGAAATAGTTGAGCAACATAAAAATGTATTCAAGTCAGGTGCTTTTTCATCGATTGTTAATATAATCAATGTGACACATCATCGTTATTCTTATTTATTAGTGATTTATTTTAATACAATATCGAACTTAATGGATACCCAGGTTGTTTCCTCAAATAAATAAATCATTAAAACTAATTATTTTCATTCATGTCAAAAAATATTTTACTGATCATCTTTTATTCCACATTGAATTATCAAATAGCGTCTAAGTGAATGATTTTCCAATCGATTTTCGATATTTAAATTTATTTTACCAGAATAAGATAAATTTTTTAAACTTCCAACAAACTATCATCTAACTATGCTATTAAATAATAACGAAATTGTTTTTTGTTATTTATGCAAATTAACATATTTGAATAGAAAATTCTTTTTCTTTTGTTTGGAACTAATTTATCTTCTCAATAAACGTCTCACTTATGTTAATGATATTAATTCATTGAATATTCTTCGAGAGAAATCATTTCATGCTGATGATCATTATCTCAATATTCATAAGTCACATTTACTATTTATATGTCAATTAAAATCAAACTATGAATTTTATTTTGACGAGTTTGTTTTGATCAATGATTTATATTTATTTTATTAAATATTTCATTAGAACTAAAACTATAATAATCATGCTTTTGTGAATTGAGCCTCTATATACATATAAATGCTAAACCATCTATGATAATAGAAATATATTAAGATGATAATATATGTAAAATATTAATTTCGTTATAGTATTCGCTGATCTCGAAGAGCAACAAACTTAACTCTACGAAGTCTAATAGAATGAAAAGTTTTTTCAATAGTTTGGTTTTTGTGGTTGACTGCTCATGGAAGTATCCTATAAAGAACAGTATCATTTTTTTGTTGCCTATGCCATTTTGTTTCTTAGAATTGAAGTTTTTTGTTTTATTGTATTTAATATGCATGGGTGCTTTGTATTAAATAGATGTACATGTATACTACTCGATTTCTACTGGGCAGGCATATAATCAAATTAGATCAATATTGTGTAGCTTCAATACACAACTCAAAACAAAAAAGTAGTAGCAAACTTTTGACCTCGACTGTATAACTTTGCCATCAAGAAGTAGCGTGTCAGCTTCTTGAGACTCGTTTAGCTCAGCCTTAAAGACCAGAAAATATGCTGTAAGACATTGACATTTACATTGCTAAATATATTAGCTCAAAAGAGAATGAAATAAAACTCAAAAAGTTTTTGTGTAAATGTAATATTCCGGCAGTCTTGAAGTCTATTCACGTTTTTATAGTTTATACTTCATCATTGTTCTGTGTGTAAAATACATCTATGTATACTAATCTTGGGACACATTTCATTAAACTCCGTTGCTAAAAATGTGTAAAAATATGAATACAGAATGTGTAATCTATTTAAGAAAAACACGAACAAAATTTTCTTCTTAATCTGACATAGTTTATACGTTTCCAGTAAACTGATATGACTTGCAAGACTGAGTGGCAAATATTTTTACTCTAAAGGATACTTTAAGAAATAAAAATACGATCATAAATTGAAATAATTATCTCGATTGTGGTTCGTTCGACTAGACTCCTTTTTTTACTTCCTGATAGAAGCTTATTTAAAGTTTCTTTTTGTGTACTCAAAAAATGAGTACACTATAGAATCGGTCCGTGTGTCCGGCCGTTTACACGACAACTCCTGAAAGGCTAATTCGATTGCCATGAAATTTTGTGCACAGCATTATCTCATCAATATATCGGTCGAGTTCGAAGATGAGAATAATTTGCCAAGCATTTACTGAGTTACAGCAAGAAATATGATTATTTTCTATGATACATATATTTAGAATCAGTTTAAAATCAAGAACAAATTAGGATAATTCAATATGTTGCCAGTTTTAAAAAAATGAATAATTGACGCTAGCCGATTTTTTCCATGATGGATGATTATTATAGATATATTACGAAATTGCTGAAACATGCATATAGAGATCGATTGGTATAAAAGATATAATGCTACTTGTATTGAGTCTAGCTTGTTTGTACTGTTGTTAATGGTATTATAATCTGCGGTGAAGATTTCAGTAGTTGTTCTATTTTGTAATAATATAGAAAAATAAAAATATACCAACGTGAAAAAATTATCAATACGAAATATCTTCATAAAAAAATGTCAATTAAATAAGGTATAAAATCATATGAACTGATGTGATCAGAATGAATGGAAATGTCTTAATAAAAGAGTGCTTAAGAAATAAGGAAATGAGTCTGAAATAAGTGAATTTTTCTCTTCGAATTATACCTTAATTGAATCTGCTGAGCCACAAGCGAGATCTTCACCAAAGCCATTGCAACACCAGTTCACAGTTGATGCTTTCATTGGATTTCTGAGTATAATCATGATCATGTAAGACGTTGCTCATAATTCATAGTTGCAATTGATCTCTACAAGAAAATTTAAGATAGCTGAACTTACTTGCTTTTCGACTCACTTTTTCAACGTGTTTTGATATCAAATTATGGAAAGTCGATGAACAATTTGAACACTTCGTTGGGTCGCATGAGTAGCTGATATTACTTTGTAGTAAATATTTACCGCATTTCCACTTTCACATTGGATATCAATTTTTTCCACGGCTACTGCCCAGCTCAAGCAAGCACGGCCATAAACGACCATATATGAACAACATAAACCTCGAACTGGCTCTTGTAATAAGTTTGAATTTATTTCGACGCACACTTGAAACGTTTCCGAATAACGAACATACCAGTTCTCTGAGTTATGACATGACTGAATTACAAAGAAATCTAAAACATAAAATGCTACAGTCAAGATATTACTGAGATTTCCTTCAAAGTTTTATTACCCATAATCTTGTAATACTTTATGAGATGTGTGATCACTGATTGATACGTTCTTCAAGAACTATATAATATTAAGATGGGAATGAGTTTGTAAGTATCAAAATCAAAGCTCATTTCCATCGAATACTATCATATAACATTTATTTATTAAACAATAAAAGTATATATAAATCTTGAGCTATTGTGAATAAAATGGTTTCGTTTCATTGGTTTGTTTGCTCATGTTACTTAACTGATTAATAGCAACAGAATTAATGAAACGAAGAATATCTATGATGTTGTTACTGAATGATATGAAGCGAATTGAAAAAAGTAAATACATTTGTCATGTCATTTTCAATTTATGTTTAATACTTTTGATTATTTATGATCAGTCATTTCCATAGTACGACTTAAGATGATATAATATCACAAAATGCTTTCATCTGACATTGTAATTCTGATTGCTCATATCTCAATCAATAAAATATATTCTTTTATAGATAAAAAAATAATCAAATCATTGTCAAGATTTTTATTACTTTCACATCATATTCATTATATTAATCTCTTTCTTTATATATATATATATACAAACACACATAAACTCAAATAAGAAATCTGACTGAAGAAATGCACACACACACAAATGAAAAATAAAAACAAGCATAATCGTGAAAATTTGCGCATATAAAGAATACTTATTGTTTTGTTCTTTGTCTTTCGATTCAAAACAATCAAAAACAAAAAAAAGAAGATAAAATTAAATATTTCATAGTTGCTCAGGTGTCACCAATGGTGCTGAGCCTGATGCTCGACCAAGTAAAAATGTATATATATCAGCAAATGATGGTCGTTGTGTAGAGTCTCGTTGCCAGCATTCACACATCATATCATAAATTTCTTTTGAACATAATTCTGGTTTTGATAATGAAACAAAAGTATTTACTGGCAGTGTTGGTATTGATTCTTGTGAGAACGTAGCAAATTGTTGTACAAGTTGTTCGTTGGTTAATGCATGATAAGGACGTTGACGTGCATATGTATAAAGTTCATAAAGTGTGACACCAAAAGACCAAACATCTGATTTAAGAGAAAATTGATTAAGAAATATCGATTCCCATGCAGACCATCGTAAAGCAATACGTGATTGTAAATGTCCAACTCGTGCATAATCATTTGCATATTCAGATTTAACCATCGCTATATCTGTTATATGTAATTGATTATTTATTGATGAAACCAAACAATTTCTTGCTGCTAAATCTCGATGAACTATTTGATTTGATGATAAATATTTCATTCCGGACGCAATTTGACATGCTAATGAAAGTAAAAAACTCGATGCTGAACAATTATCCATTGGTATAGATTGCTGACGAAGATATTGATATAAATCAAGGGAATGATATTCAAATACAGCTGCTGTTCGTTGATTATTTATGGTACCCAATAATGAAAATACATGAAAATCGTTGACGTTTGATAGTAATTCAATTTCTTTCCAAAATAATAATCTAAACAAGTTTATGCCGAATTAATACTTAGAATATTATTCAAAATTATTAGTTATCAAAGATTTTGCTATACAATAAAACGAAGTCTATAGATATGAATCTTGATCGTCATCAACAATTGAGATTCAATCAGACTATATAACTGAGAATTTTGTTCAGTAATTTCTTCTTCTCTCTAATCAAGTAGTCAGTAAATATGTCACAATTAGAAAGGCATTGGCAATGTTAAAATCGATCGGCACATTAGTCAAAATAATCCAATTCTAATCGTGTCTTAGGATTACAGTCAATTGAAAACTTCTATCAGTTAACTTATTTACGATACATAGTAGCACTTTATTTTCTAATAAAATGATCAATTTTAATACTTAAAAAAACAGCAACTTTGTTGATTTACAATCAACAGCAGTAGTTTTCTTTTGTGTTAATATCATTTCAATCAATCTTGAATTGATATTTATGCTAAGACTTTATTCGACTTCGTTTCTAATTTTGATATAATGAATACTAATTCTAATGTTGTTTTCTTTTCTATTTGATAGTGAAAATTTTAACGATTGACGTCACGCTGAAAAACTTACTTATGTTTCTCTTCAACATTATCATTTAATGATTTAATAATAACATTTTGCTTTTCATTATCAACTAATTTCATTTCAGCTAAATGTATACTACCAAATAATCCATCACCAATTTTCTCTATGAAATTTATACTATCAGATTGAATTTCTTTTATCAATATTTGTTGATTATCAATAGTTGAATTTATTTTTATCATTAAACTATTTCCACAAAGTGCTTCAATGGACGGAAATTCTTCTGTTGTTTGACAATATAAAATCATATTAGAATTTGATTTTATGGATGGTTGACGATGTTGCATTGTTAAATATTGTTGATGTAAACAACAATGTGTTGGAAGAGGTTTTAATGTTGGATAACGATTTATATTCGCTGGTCGTACTAATCGTGGACTACATGTATATGATGGAGTAGATGATAGTGGTGGTATATGTTTTCTATGAAGATTCATATGAGGACTATGAGCAAATGTCGAATAGAAATTAACATCTGGTACAGCATAATCACGATCATCAACGGCACTTGTTACAGGAGCATTTAAATCATGAAATTCACGTATCGGTAATGTTGGATAAGTATAACATGAAGAATTATTGCATGGTTTTTCTGTTAATCTAAATAAATAAAAAGGAAAAGGAAACGGTTTTGATGGATTGATCAATAGAAAAGATTAAATTGATTTGTTCTTACTTTTGAAATTGAAGTTTTTTCTTTCGTCTTATAAGCCATACTAGTGAAACAAGTAACAATAGACCAACAGCTAATGATGCTCCAATAAAAAATGCTAATGATAATTCAGTCGTAATCATATTAGAGAAATGTGGTAATGAATGTGACTTTGTTGTTGCTTGTACGGATGCTGTTGGTTGTAAGACATCCCGATGACGTTTACGTATATCTGTAACCATTTTCATTGGATCGGACAACGACGATAATGGAGTTTGCCGATTTATATTGAATAGATGATCAACATTTTTATTGTCAAGTTTTTCATTATAAATTTGTGAATCAAATGTTATTTCACTGATTAATAACCATTTTGAATCAAAATATAAATCTAAACGTACATACTTAGCAATATGATTATTTAGTTGTATCAATATTGGACGTGCTATGTCAAACAATTCATCACGATTTTGTTCCGAAATAATTGCATTTGAATAACTTGTTCGTTCGCCATTTATTGAAAATGTAACAACTGCTGTTTTAAATATTGAGATCTGTTTTGAAAAAACATTATTTGTATGAATAGTTACACGATTCATTTGACGTATATAATCAAATTGAAATATGATTGTTACATGAGTATTGGATTCGTTGGACCAACCAATCCATGGTTGACGACCATCAACAAATGACATATCTTCTGAGCCTGTTATACCATCTGATAATTGTCCTAGGCCATCAATTAACATATTTGTTTCTGGCATATATTTTCCATCATAAGTATCATCGCCGAGTGAATTTAGATCGTTTCGTCCTTGTGGCATGCTATAAGAAACAATACCATCGGAAAACAAACAACCATACCTATAGAATAAAAGTAAGTAATTAATATTTATTTAAGTTAAGTTAAGATCTTATGCTTACACTTCAACACGCATACAAACAGTTCGACTTTGTTTACTAACAGGATAAAAACGAAGACGTTTAGCAACAATAGGTGGATCTACAGAACGATAAACATATATTAGTTAAAAAAAAACTATATAATCTAACAAATAATCACATACTTAATTGACGAATTTCACCCACATAAGTATTTTGATTTGCACGTATCCATGATGAATTATAATCATTAGTAGATGTATTTCTAGGTTTATATTCAATCCATGATGTTCTATCATCATCATCATAGTCTTCGTCGTCATCATCATTATCATTAGAATTACCATTATTTAAATGACTTGATCGAGTATACATTAATATATAATAATCAGCATATTCTTTTCCGCGACCATTATCGAATCTTCCTTGTGTTTCAATTTGTGTTAAATAAGTTAAATTACCAAAATCAATTTCTAACCATTCATGCGGTGTTGATGTTATTTGATTCGATGGACACCAGGCACCACCATACTGTTCAGTTCGAGCTCTATACGGACAAATAAATGCATAAATAAATAAATAAATAGGAGAATATATATCTCATTGTCATGCAATAGGATGCCTATGGGATATATTCCAAATGTTATTATTCTTTCAAGTTTCATGTAATAAGCACATCATTGATGTAAGAACAAGGCTCTCTTTATGTCAAATGACAAGTGAATCATACAACCATCAATGTCTCATTGTTGGCATACTCAGAAATAGAAAAGAGCATATGCCAATGAATTATGTAATTACATATATGTAGTTTGATATATGACTTACCGACTCGCTTTAGGTCCAACACTATTTGAATCATAACTACTTGATGCTGATATAGATGAGTCAGGTATAGAACCTGATTGCATTCCTAATGCAGTTTGGCAACTTGATAGTTTTTCTATTTATGAAAAGTCATATAGAATGAGTTTTTTTTTTTCAATAAATATTAATTTACTTAGTTCGAGGCAATTGATTGTATGAACACATAAAAAAATAACAACCAGTATTTTCATCATGTTCTTTTTGTTCATATTACAATGCAGACATATCTAGAAAAGAGCAGATTGATTATCATGATCGCGTAAGAAGACAGAAATCGATGAGCCATTAGGGAGAACAACGGGATGTATAGGTAGGGGTGCATGATATGTATGGCTCCATTTAACCAACAGTAGTGAAAAGGTTACTTGCATAATGTTAAACAAGAAGAAAAAAAAAGAAAAAAAGAAAGATGGGAATGTCTTGATGCGATAACATGCTGAATATAGCATGAGTGTTCGACACACAGACACAAGCATACAGACATTGTCGATTGCTTTAGGGTTTATTCGTTGCTTCTTCTTTTATCTGCTGTCGTTCTTTTCTCTTCATATACTAAATCATAAGAACTATTACTACTCCATCTCAAGCAATAAAACAACGGTTTTTTAATTAGAAAACATGAAAAAGCAAAAAAAAAAAAAGAGTAAAAGAAGATGAAGAATGTCCGCACGAGCGTGCATTTATCAACAGGGGTAATAACAATAAGCGTTATCGCAAAAATGTACGCATATCTATATATATACATATACGGCAAGACATGCAACATGCTTATGATTGAACTGATGCCGATGTTGTTGAAGCTTTCTCGTTTGTCAATAAGACGCACAAGTAGTATGAGTAGACAAGCCAAAGAAAGAAAACTGGTTGATCAATGGGAAAGTCACGTTCACTCTATCATAACGATCGAAAGCAACAATGTTATGTATTTCTCAAACAAATATTATTTACACACGATGTGCACAGAGAGACAAAAAAAAAGAAATGACAATTGTTAGATCAAAAAACAAAATAAGAAAGAAAGATGTGAGAGCAAGTTCTATATAAACAAAATATGTTGATAATTTTTTTGATGTTTCATTTGTCGGTGCTGTGAATAAATAAGATACCTTGAAACAAACAAGCGGAAAGTTATTTTCTTGTTCTTTCAAACACACACACACACCGGAATTCATCTGTTTCATTTCATAGCTCATAGATACTTACTCGTGGCTTTCATGTTTAGAGTAAAGAAAAAAGACGATGAAGAAGGATAAAGAAGAGAGAAAAATGAAAAAAGAACGATGAGAATACATCATTACAGGTAGAGTGTTCGATCAAGCACGAAACTCGTTATTAAGTCGACATCTTCATCACTCACAGATTGATGACTGCCTAGTTCCCTATATGCGTGTATAGGGGTTGTCTAAACTAAAATATAATGAATGGTTGATCATCGTCATAGCTTTTCTTTTCGAATAGCACTATGCTGCTGACTGGTCAGATGATCGATGTGCTATAAGTTGCGTTCATGCGTGTGAGATGAACTCAAGTCAACATAGAACAAAGCAGAAGGAAATATGAAAAGTCAATTTTATGACGATAGATGATGACAGGGAAAAAAAGAGATAGACAGACATATCGTCATGCTTGATTAGTGAAATTCACTAGTCTATATTTCAGAGTCGATAGACAAACTTTTTCATGATAAGCATTACATCATTGTCACATCATGTATGCAACTTCATAATTAGATGGACGTGTATATTAGCTTAGGTGTGTATGAATAAGACGAATAAAAAACACGAGAATGACTAAATAGAAAGAAGAGAAAATCTTTACCGTGCCTTTGCGTGTGAACAACACCCCGACACGGTTGGTGATAGTTAGTGGACGCACGCAGCTTTTTCTTCTTCTTCTTCTTCTTCTTCTTCTTCTTCTACTTTCAGCCGATGAACAGCTATGTGTTGGGTGTGCTTATTTTCTTTTTCTGTTCCTCAGTCTCTCTCCCTCTCTATGTGCTTGCTTCACGCTCACATCCATATACAATTAGTCGTCGATAATCGTCATCCGAACGACGAAGATAAAAAAAGAAGAACAAGAAGCATAGTAGGAGGATAATAACAACCACCACCACCACCACCATCACCACGAGCATCATCATCATCAAGACCAACCGGAAAAGAATGACTTGTAGCACATGAATATGTAGAATAGAAGAAGACGAAGAAGTAGCACTGATACTAACTGAGAAAATAACCTTTTACAAGTAAAGAATGGCAGCTCGTAGCTTTCCCACGATGACCGACACAAGCATGTGTTTAGCAAATAAATTGAATTTTGTCAATGAGGAAAACGAGGGAAACAGAGAAGGCGGATTATTCAAGCCGGAACAAACAGACCTTGACACGATCAAAAATTATTAGCGAAGAAAATAAAAAAAGAATACAAGAAAGAAGTTATTTTATTGAATAAAGTTTCTTCTTTTTGCTATCAGTTCAACTATAGCCACACGATTAAGTGCTAATAACTACAAAAGTGAAAGTAAATGCATTTTGTTTACGTCACATCAGATAGTTTCGTTGATTAGTAGTCTTATTGAAATTGACAACGATGAGAAGGCATCGACCATATATACATATATCTATTTGTCTTTTTCTTTCTTGTTTATGTATATGTAATGATGTAATAAATGCATCATCTTCTTTTCTAGTTGGAAAGATTGACATATTTGTTTACCGCACCTGAATGTAATTTTATGAACATGTTCAGAAACAAAATATAAAAAAGATGATTTCTTTTTAAAGTCATAAAATAAGCGATGATGGCAGATGACATTTAGCTCTCGTTTTGATGATTATAGTTTCATATGTGTCTAGGATTTACGGTCAACTACTTTTCGATTATATTGTCTATTGAGACTCATATGTATTGTTGCAAATTAGAATGTTCATGAGCAGAATTTTGACGTGTGAATGCGCGACAAGGAAGAATAAGAAGAAAAGGAGATGGCCCAAAGGGGTCAGATGTTGCTTAAACTGAATGGACTGCACATACACATATATATCGAGTATTATTAGGCCATCTATAAACGAAGAGTACGAGAAAGAAGAGAGGGTGCTTAAGTGGGTAACTCGAGTGATAGAGAACGATGATGATGATGATGATGACGATTGTTCTCACCGTCGTTGATCGACGAGGACCACTCTAACTGCGATACTTAGTTGGTTGATTAAAAAAAAGAGTTCGCATGGCTAATACACATATGCAATGAATGAATAAGCACACACCGTAGGAACAAAGCGCATCGTCGCATGCAATTAGAACATGAGAAATAGACAGACAGTCATGCATATATATATATATATATATAACAATGAATGAACGACATATATGATCTCAAGGAAAAACAATCAAGGTTCGACCTTTTCCTAACTATTGAATGAATCATCACTCAAGTGGATTGATTATCTTTTAGTAAAGATATATGAGAACATTTCTCATTCAATATTCGTTTAGTAAACAAATGAATATGTCTTAAAACTGATTCTACCTTATCAGTAATTAAATTCATATAAATTATAATATAATGAATCTATTGATAAAGAAAATACAAGATTACTTGTTCTTCTATATAGATTTTACTTTTACGAATTTATTCCCTAAGGAGAAACATTATTTTCATTACCTTAATAAATTAGATTCGATTGTCACTATCACATATAGTTATTTGTTAATTGAAATAAACAAAAAAAATGTCTTACTGTCTGTTATTGGAAATTTCTTAAGTTGAGCTCTACTGCTTTAAAGAATTAGAAAAAAACAGACATTCACATTCGGCTTCAATAGACGACAAACAGAGGATTACTATACAGTATATGCCGTCCATGCATGTGATCAGGGACGGATTATATTTGGACATTGGTTGATTAGTTATTATTGCTGCTAGATATAGATATGAACTCTATTGTTAAAGTCGAAAGTGGTACCCTTTTATTTTGTTTTTATTCTTATTTTAATAGTTAGAAAATAGATGCTGTAGTCGTTTATTTAGAAGCCAGAGGCAATGATCACAGTCGAACGAGAGTTACAATCATTAGAGTAACGAGTAACCATCATCAGACATCTATACAAATTGCCTTTCGTTTATTTCTCAATTGAACAATTCGCTCATATATTTGTCTTTGAAACACACGTACGTCCTCTTCCGTTCATATATATATATATGTATTGCCTTCTGTTGTGCGACTTTTATTTTCAGCATAACTATCTAAAGAATAGCTAATTAAATCGAATAGTCACAAATAAAAACCATTACTATTCATCTACCTATGCATAAGATGCCCTATTGCGTCGCAGTCCTCGATGGTTACAAATTTTATGCATCACCTTATATATACACATACATAGCATTTGTGAAGTTTCCTGCCTTCTTCAACCTATAACATGAACAATTGAATTTGACTATTGAACAAATGCAAACATTGCGATTTTAAAGAAGATCAACAAAAATCTAACACTAACACTTACTCACATCGTCTTAACGTTGAATAGCTTCCATTTATCGTTCTTGATTTTGAATTTTTTTTCTTCTTTTCATTCAAACATCTATTGTTCATTCTCTATGCAGACATCCGTCATTAGTTCGAACGCATGCACCAGAGAAAGAGAAAATGTATGCTCAAATTTCTTTCCTCTCTTTTTCTTTTTTTTTTATGCTCAAGCATAGACTAGAGGTCATCCAACATATATCTGTTCTTCCGGAGTTGTGATGTGAGAATGAGCAACGAACAAGTTGACGACAACATCTGTTCAATGAGAAAGAAAACAAACTAGCTACATAAATGACTATCGGTACACTTTTTTTTTGTGGTAACACAAAATTTATTTAACAAATACAATACAACGACAGACATAATATAAGCATGAATAATTGATTAATAATAGACTGGTATGGATAAAATTATGTCACAGAAGGAAAAATAAGATAAAGGAAACACTGACTTGATAGAAAAATAGAGAACTAATAAAACACCATCTGTCAAATCCGTTGGATGCATTCAAACTTGCTCAATTGTTTGTAAAATTCTCACAATGCTACAAATCAACTTTGTTTCTGTAACATACGGTTTATTTGATAGATAATTTATTGATGCTTCATGATACATTTCAATTGTCGGAATTGATGAGAGTAGTTCGTGTGTAACTAGTTGTACTGTCAGTTACTACACGGGTTGTTGAGCTTACCCGATATGTCGCACCTTCATACAGAGACAGAAAACATACATTTGTTTCTAAATACAACAATAATATTGAACTATACTTACATGGATCATACGAATCCGGAACTTGGTGATCGATTCCAGTTGAAATCATACTATACACAGAAAAGCCATTTTTCATAGACGAAATAGACGATGCATATCCTCCTACACTCGTACGTGCAGCTAATATTGAATTAAAAAAAAAATTCATTCTAAATATAAGAACGTTTGATTATTACAACTGATGCTTACTCTCACATGGATTCATGATCGTCGCCGTAGTTTTCTCGAGAGGATACGCCCGAGAACTGATTGCTGATATTATTATTGAAGCTATGGGATACATAAAAAAACCATATGTATGATAAATATAAACCAATTAAACTTGTTTCTTGTTAATTCAAAAAAACGTTGTGTGGAATTTCCATTGCTTACTAATGCTGCTACTGCAACAACATATTTCCATTCTGATAACAAAATTAAACACGCTACAAAACAGCCTTTCAGATTCTTTCATATCTTTTCTTCTTGTCATATGAGGCTCCTCGTGCTACATATGAAAACTATTTGATATATGCAGTAAAACCTCTCATAGTGGATACCTCCGTATAGCGGACACTTTTTCACGGTCCCGCGGAGTGATTTTGACTGGAATTGAACCTCTGTATAGTGGACATTATTTAAGAGCTTGGAGAGAATAGTTCGAATCGATGGTCAGCAATTAACGACTGCCGAATTCATCGACATCGATTCTTCTATTCCTGTTCTCAATGAGTGGGATGATAATGAACATCTGATCTGATGTGACTAATTGAGGTTGATAGCGAAAGAGGAGAAAGATATGTCTGTGGCGGAAAACCTGCCAACTTTGTCTGTAGTCTTGAAAATTATGAGAAAACTTCATCTTTTTGTATCCATTCAACGACCTCAGCTGCATATTCTCATCTTCGAACTCAAATCGCACTTAACTAACATTTATCTGGATTCAAAAGTGACACAACAGAGCTCTATCACATATTTTTCTTAAATGTTGCTTTCCTTATTTTAAACAATAAAAATACGTGAAGAGAGAAGCAACAATATGCTCCAGTCAGTTATCTTATTCACTATCAGACTTCATATACGTAGAAAATATCTCTGTTTCTCCGAGAAAAAAATTGGTTTTGAAACAGACTTAACCTTCCCATAGTAGACACCTCCCTATAGTGACCACGTTTTCATAGTTCGAATAGTGTCCAATTCAGACAGGTTTTACTCTACGAGAAAACATCAAGTAAAATTTTGCGAACGAATCAGTCAACATCAAGACACATATCATCAATGTCACTAACTTCTATAAAAATATGATGACACCAATAGTTTAAAATCAATACATTGACTGATATTCAGCACAACAACCATCTCCATCTTGGCTTCACCAATTAAACGCTACACATTAAATAATACTCAAACTCCAACGTACCTGAAGTTGAAAGCCCAGTGATACTGGACGTCTTAATCGTAGCAATTCCATCATCCTCCCCACTCAGGTCGCCAAAAACCAAGTCGTCACCAGACCGGCGGACCCCGCTGCGTACTACAAAAAGATTGAACAATACTAACAAAAACAGACCACACTACCAACACTTACGACGTTTCCACAATGTTACCATTTCATAACTTCCGGTCCATGCTAACTCCGGAGACATCAGCTCCCCACCGTACGTGGAGTCAGACAAGCCAACAGATTCAGTAACCAAAGCATTCATACTCTCATTCACACCAACAACCTCAGACACAGGTGTAAACACCGCAGTGATCGCTGTGTCAGTCATCATGATATTCGTCGAGGGAGCTACAACGGTACTCGTTATGCTACTGGATATACCCGTCGTTGTTGTAGAAGCCACTGTGGTCGTCGTGGTTGGAGCTCTGATTGTCGTTGTAGGAGCCATGGTTGTGGTTGTAGGAATCATTGTGGTAGTCGTGCTGGGAGGCATAGTTGTTGTCGTAGCAGTCATTGTGGTCGTCGTCGTTGTAACCATCGTTGTGGTTGTAGGAGCCATGGTTGTGGTTGTAGGAATCATTGTGGTAGTCGTGCTGGGAGGCATAGGTGTTGTCGTGGCAGTCATTGTGGTCGTCGT